TACAGTATCTCCATGGATGTCAAGGCTGATACTACGAAAATATTCTTGACGACGACGAATTTACATTTCGCACAGCATGAATTTTATTCTCACCAATGGGTATATTTATTTTCGATCACAGGCGAATTTACTTTCCGGAAAGAGTGTATAGCGCTGCTGAGTGGCATGGAAAAGCATCAACTTAGTTTTTTTTTTTTTTCATGAGTGGGATAAAGGAACTTATTAATTGTTTCAAGTATTATCCATTCATCATCTTCATAATGTAGCGTTTGAGCTTCTTCTCCATTGTAGACATGGTGATCTCCCTCCAAGTCTGAAAGCATTGCTGCGGGAATTGCTATGAGTTCACCCTCTTTGTTCTCAACCTACTCGGTTCGAAAGTGAATTGCGAACTTGTTGGTAGAGCAGTTCTAACTGCTTGGGCGATAAGTCAAATTCTGTATTAACATTTCTATTATATGTGGTATGCTCCATAACAGCATCCCCAGTGCACAGATTAGAAAAGGATAAAGAAGTATGATGTTTGTATTTGTACTATTTCGAATAAATAAAGCGCGGCTCGAAGAGTTAGTACTACATCTGGAGTCCGACTTGAGTCAACTGGAATTGATTTATGCACGATCAACAATTTAATTCTATGCAGTGAATTCGCAATATTTATATAAACACCACCTTTTTACTCTTTTCTCTTTTCTCTTTAATATTTACATAATGTTGATGGAAGCTAATAATCAATTCGTTTTGGATCGTAGACAAGTCATTAGAAGAAAAGTTCTTGCTATTGGTAGAATGTCTAGAGCCTATCAAGTCTTGAAGACAAATCCTGACCTCGTCGATCAATTGAAGTCGGTGTCTATCGATGGTAAGCTGCCTTCTGGTATATTGTCAGGAGGAGAACAAGCAATGAAAGAAGGTATAGTACTGATATCTTGTGGACTCATTGTTTCTTAATTGACAATATTATATGTATATATAGCCATCTTGACATCCTCAACTACGAATCACAAGAAAGAAAAGGAACAAAAAGATCACCCTATAACATTCTATAACTGTCCTACTCCCAATTATAAAATCACATCGTCTAATAGACAAGGACATGTTTAAGCTTAATTTATTTATGTTTGAATAAAAAAAAAGAATATATCTTTGTTTGTTTATGTAAATCACGCATTATGGAAGCTGCCCTGTTTTCCAAAATAAACACTCCGACATCCCTTGAGCAAAAAAAAGCATGGCACACGGCAAATCAGCCGGAGTGAAGAATTCTCTATGGAATATTCCTAAGCAACGCCTGCTTAGCTCATGGTAACTATGATGAAACAGTGAATTCAGATGATTATGGTATGTAAACCCCTCTTTCTCTTACTAAATGGTAGATAGGTTGGCTGTCACAGGTACGTAATTCATACTATCGTCATCAGCAAAATTACTAGACCATTGATCTCTGTATTGACTATAATGAATGAAATATACCTTATGATTAATTGCTATCAAGCTGAAACATCGGCTATCAATGAAGCCTTTCCTAAAGTAAATGCTCCTAAGTCACTAGTACATTAAGTGTAGTGATTATCTGTAAGTAATACAGTTGAGATACCAATCTTGTCTTTCACTTTAAATATTTTGGTTGAACGACGATCTCAATGTGTTATGTTTGCTTTGGCCTTAATACTATTTGTATTTGTTTTATTTTAATAAAGGCAAGTTAATCTCAAGCCATATTGTCCAGAGCAGAGATACGTTACTTAATTATTTCCTTTCCGGTCTTCAGATCCTACAAAGAATATGTTCAAATGACTTTTAGCATAAACAATCTTTAAGGGTTATAGACTGAAGGAGACAAATGTTGGTCATCTGCCTTCCCCCTCCTGTAACTTGTTTTCTTTAGTTTCTTTTTAACGAATTATATGATGACACTAGTACTTTTTGTACATGTAACTGAACAAGATCAATAAGAGAAAGGATATCATCCCACTTTACTCTTGCTATATATTTTGAACTATATATCTTTAAATGTACTGTAGATTGTGTCATTAACTGAATACATGCAGCAGATCTTTCAAATCTTAAAATAACACATGTGTTACATGAATGCTTGCTACCATTGCTAATTCTTTTAATTTTATTAGTAAAATACATTTAGTTACATTTGGCTATTTCATACTTGGAAATTGGATGAAATGATATAATTCGGTTTTTTCCGTATAACTGCAGTGAGAGAGGAAGGAGAGAAAGAGGGAATGGCTTAATTTTTATATATTTTTGATCTCCTGCTACTGTCCTTCAAGTGTCAGAATTTCCTTGTACTACATTATATTTTTTCATTCCCAAATCAGAGGCAAACGAATCACTTACTATCAGATTAAAGTTGATCGTGATACTACCAACAGGTGGAAGCAGTTTATGGTCCAAAAGAATGCTTGACATGACCAATGCATTCGACGCTTGGGTTCCGATGACAAGCTTAGGTCCATCATTACGTGTCAAAGACACAGGCCAAACATCAGGATGTATAGTTTTGAGTGAAGGAGGAACCGACGTCGTATGGATCCCATCCTTGTGATTACCAAACGGTTCACGATACCCATCAACTATTTTCGTGCGACCGTACAATTCAACCGTATTTATCATGTCTGCTTAACTTTTATTTCTATTCTTTTGAATAGACTCGACCAGGATGATATTGTTCCTCAAATTTTGCGCTTCACGAGGAATGTTTTGAATTGTCAAACACATGATGCCAACGGGACACTGCGTACCTTTGTATGGTTGGAACCGGTCAACATTCGTAGTCAACATGAGATTGTAAACTGACTCCTTCACGAAAGAAAGAGCATCACCAACGTTGAGCTTGAATTCATTCCATACACGGCCATCGTAAACATCACGGAGAGAATAAGTAGAAGCACTTCTTGTTGTTCATTTTTTGATATTCTCCACAAAGCTCTTCCTCGAAAAGAAGCTCTTTAGGGTATTAATGACAGGGTTGTACATGTAAGTCTTGTGTGCAGTAGGAAATGCAGCAGTGAGATTCTTGTAAAGACTGACATTACATTCTCGACAGAAGGCAATGTTGGAAGAAGGCATTAAACTTCATACATGTCTGCAACCACTATTGTTGTAATTACTCCACAACTTAAAAGCTTTTCGCTGCTTTTACTCTTCAGCGGCAGAGGGAAAACTGAGCTAGACGCTCACGGAGATAAGGGTTTTGCTGCTGGAATCGAGCTATTTCAGCCTTGGCAGCAAAGAGTTTTGCTTGTAGTTGCTTCAACGTTGGTATAATATGGAAAGCGGAAAGAAAGGCATTATAGTTTTTTGTATTACGCGATATTACTTTTAGAAAAAACTGTAACATGCCTTATCAGCAGCCATAACATAAAGGGCTCATAAGAGATCTTATTTCTTTCATAAAAAATACAAAATCAGAGGGATATTCAAAATATTTACGCTAAATGAAAATGCTGTCAGCAATATTTGTCCATAATCTGTTAACATTGTTAATAATAGTGTTGCAAACACTATAGAGAATAAAATAGACAAAGTATCTTGTCTATGATTGACAGATAATAAAAAAAGAAAGACTGTGCTGACAATGAATTGTAAATGTTGATGAGTGCGGCATTGATTGATTCTTATGAAAGACAAGGATGGGGCAACTAACGATTGTTTATAAAACAAGTCTACTTTTCAACATGACTCATCCTTTTCAATATCAAAAGAACAAAGGGATCGACTGCGGATAATAGGTGTACAAGTGACGTTTATTTCCCGGTCATCAAAGTGATTGGTTCTGTTCAAAAAGTAAATTTTTTTTGACATTTTCAGGTCTCTCTTTCTCCTTTTTTTTCTTCTTTATTACAATGACTGAACAAGAGTGGCCAGTGAATAAAGTACGTTCGACCTTTATCAAGTTCTTTGAAGAGAACGGACATACGTTTGTGCCTTCTTCTTCTACCATTCCTCATGACGACCCTACTCTCTTGTTTGCTAATGCTGGTATGAACCAGGTAAGATATATATATATAAATATATATAAATATATACTTATTATTTAGTTTAAACCCATGTTCTTGGGAACACTCGATCCTAATTCACCCTTGGCCAACGTCAAACGCGCCTGTAACTCACAAAAATGTATTCGTGCAGGTAAATTATCTAAACAGACACTGTCAACAATAGAATAACATGATTTATACAAAAGGTGGTAAGCACAACGATTTAGATGATGTTGGTAAAGACACCTACCATCACACCTTTTTCGAAATGCTCGGTAATTGGTCGTTTGGTGATTATTTTAAGGTGAATAACAAACATAAAGATATATACAAAAAAAAATATTTATCAATTATTAAATAGAAAGAAGCCACCAAACTTGCCTGGGAATTTTTGACCAAGGTTATCAGTCTCCCTGAGGATCGCTTATATGTCACTTACTTTGGTGGTGATGAAAAGATGGGTCTTCCTGCTGACTTGGAAGCTAAGCAGCTATGGTTGGATCTTGGTGTTGACGAAAAGCGTCTGATTCCCGGTAATGTCAAGGATAACTTTTGGGGTAAGCTTAGATGTGTATTTATTCCAATAAAAAAACAAGCTGATAACACATGCTTTCAATTTAGAAATGGGTGAAACTGGTCCTTGTGGTCCATGCTCTGAGCTTCACTTTGACCGTATTGGTAACCGTGATGCTGCCAGTTTAGTCAATATGGATGATCCTAATGTGATCGAAATTTGGAACCTTGTGTTTATGCAGTTCAACAGAGAAGCCGACGGCACTCTTCGTCCTTTACCCAATCAACACATTGATACCGGTCTTGGTTTGGAACGTCTCGTCTCTATTCTTCAAAACAAATACTCCAACTATGATACAGATGTCTTCACACCCATGTTTGATAGAATCAAGGAATTCACAGGTGTTAGATCTTATACAGGCAAATTGGGCGACGAAGATGTCGACGGTATTGACACTGCTTACCGTGTGGTTGCCGATCATATCAGAACTTTGACCTTTGCCATCGCTGATGGCGGTGTGCCCAGTAATGAAGGTCGTGGTTACGTCTTGAGACGTATTCTCCGTCGTGGTGCTAGATATGTTCGCAAGTACTTTAATGCCCCCATCGGTTCCTTCTTTTCTTCTTTGGTCGATACCTTGATTGCTCAAATGCATGAAGGTTACCCTGAATTGGCCAAGAAGGCCAACGACATCAAGGCTATCCTTGATGAAGAAGAAGCTGCCTTCGCAAAGACATTGGATCGTGGTGAAAAATTATTCGAAGCATACATGAACAAGACGAAAGAGTCTGGATCCAACGTGATGTCTGGTGACGATGTCTGGCGTTTATACGATACCTATGGCTTCCCTGTCGATTTAACTCGCATCATGGCAGAAGAAAATGGATTGCAAGTAAACGAGGCTCAGTTTGAGGCTGCTCAGGAAGCTGCCAAGAACAAGTCTCGTAAGGCTAGAGGTGGTGCCCTTGGTCAAGACACTGTTGCCTTGGATGTCCATGATTTAGGTGCTTTGGATAATGACAGCAGTGTTCCCAAGACAGATGATAGTGCCAAATATTCACGAGGAAACATTCAAGCCAAAGTGAAGGCCATCTTCTTTGATCACAAGTTCCTCAAGAATACAAGCGAAATCCCCGATGAACGCAACTTTGGTCTCTTGCTCGACAAGACAAACTTTTATGCTGAATCAGGTGGACAAGAGTACGATATTGGTTCCATCATTACCTTGGATGGCAATACTGAATTCGTTGTCGAGGACTGCCAACTCTACGGTGGCTATGTCCTTCATGTAGGTCATCTCAAATATGGTCAATTATCTGTTGATGAGGATGTCGAAGTGTCCTATGACGAAGATCGTCGATCACCCCTAAGACACAACCACACAGCTACACACATCTTGAACTTTGCACTCCGTGAAGTGCTTAGTGAAGACATTGATCAAAAGGGTTCACTGGTTGCACCTGAAAAGTTCAGATTTGACTTTTCTTATAAATCACCTGTTAACGTGAAACAATTAGAACAGGTCGAAAACATTTGTAACGAATTTATTGCCAAGAATCAGCAAGTGTATTCCCAGGAAGTTCCATTGGCTGTTGCCAAGGCCATCCACGGTTTAAGAGCCGTATTTGGTGAAACTTACCCAGATCCCGTTCGCGTTGTGTCTATTGGTTTTGATATTGACGAAATTGTACAAGACGTGTCTAACCCTAGATGGAAAACATCCAGTGTCGAGTTCTGTGGTGGTACTCATGTTGCTAAAACAGGTGATATCAAACACTTTGTGATTATCGAAGAATCTGGTATTGCCAAGGGTATCCGTCGTATTGTTGCTCTTACGGGTGAAGCCGCTGTCCAGGCACAACGTGAAGCAGATACCTTTGTGACCAAGTTGGATAGATTAGAAAAATTAAGTGGTTCACAATTAGAAGCTGAGCTCAAGGTTGTTTCAAAGGAATTAGATATTGCCGTCATTTCTTCAGTCTCCAAGGCAGCCTTCCGTGAACGCTTTGCTCAAATCAAGAAAGCCTTTGATAACGCTGAAAAAGTACGCAAGGCAGAACAAGTGAAAGAAGCTACAGAAAAAGTCAAAAAGTACTTTGAAGAAAATCCTGATGCTCCTTATTATATTGCTGAATTGCACGTTGGCAATAACTCCAAGGCTTTGAGTGGTGCTATTAACTATGCCAAGACCAGTCTAAAAGATAAGGCTGTTTATGTGTTTAGTGCCGATAGAGATAGCGGTCGCGTTGCACACAACTGTATTGTGGGCAAAGTGTTTATCGAAAAGGGTCTCAAAGCTTCTGAATGGGCTAATATAGTATGCGAAAAGATTGGAGGCAAGAAGGGTGGTAAAGATGACGCTGCTCAAGGTTCAGGAGATAACATTGATGGATTACCTGATGCACTAAAGGCAGCTGAAGAATTTGCAAAGCTCAAGATTAATTAAATGGTTTAAGACTAAAAATAAAAATAATAATATTTGGCTAATAATGAAAAAGTCATTTCTTTTCGTAAAATGATGTGAATAAATTGTTCAATTGTTGAACAAATTCAGTCTTTGACTTTTCAATTATCGAAGCATATAGAATATCGACAAGATAGCACTTCTTTGCACTATAGAACAATTGTTGTCTCGTAATGGTTGAACAAATGACTTCTTGTGTAATATTTAGAAGTTATTCATACACTTTTAAACTTGAGTTAAGGGCAAAGAAGAAAGAGATAGAACGCCAACGAGACTCTTGTACCTATTTATTCAATCCAAAGACAATATACTGACAGCATTAATTATTTACAAATGTATGCGATAAAGTGTAGACTGGCTGCGATAAGTATAACGGAACAATCTTCACAATTTTTAACTTGCAAGGAAGGATAAATACGACAGCATGAATGTCAATCTTTTCATATTTATCGGCATTCTTTGCATTGAACGCATTCGCAGAAGCTGTGATCCGTTCGGGGCCATGCTTTGATCATCTTTTTTGTATTCCTAAATGCTTTTGCAGCAGCTGACGCGCTAAGTCAGTGTATGTGATGCATGTGCAGTGGACATCAGTATCGGTTAGCATATTGACATGCATAGCAAGATCTAAAATAGAGTGCATCTATCTTTATAATATATTAATGACGTATAGAAAAAAAAAAGATATATGGAGCGTAAGGCTATGATCAAGTTTATTGAAGTTTTATTATACTGACATTATAAACTTATTTAAGATGGTGGAGCTGGCTCTGTTGGACCTGCTGGACCTTCTGGTGCTTTTGGGCCTGTTGGAGCTGTTGGTGCTGGTGCTGGTCTTGGTCTTCTATAGGGCCTTCTAGAGGGTCTTCTAAAGGGCCTTCGCTTTTGAATTACTTCTGTGTCACCAGAATCATTAGCACCAGGAACAAGAAGACCTGTACCATTAGTGTCAGAAGCGAGGTTGCTGCCAGGAATAAGAGAATCCGGGTTTTGAGAAGCAGGAGAAGCAAAGCCAATAGCGGCAAGAGAAGCACAGATAGTAAGAATAACAATCTTGATTTGCATTTGAGTAAAAAAAATATAAATCCAAAAAACTGTTGTGTCCTCTTTTTTTTTTTTGCATAAAATATTGCCCTTCTTTTATATTAAACAGATTCATGTAGATACTACTGTCGTGGCAGTTTAGTATTGGGAATAAGCACATTTGACTGTTCTGGTTAGAAAGATGTGCCTGCCCCTCTTTATCTTGTTGATCATAAGCTGCAAGAAGTACGCTGGTTGTATACAAGGAACCTTTACTATTCTTGGTCAGATGGACGTATCTGTTTCTGTTCGTTTTGTTGATCATTTATTCGGAAATCCAAAAGATGCAGGAGGCATGTTCGCTGTATGCATATTTTTATTGACTTGGATTGACAAAACAGCTTTGGCTTAAGAGAGAAAAGTCTATGTAAACATGTTCTTGTACATTTTTTTTAAAACTTATTATTGTTCATTTCATTGATTAAATATTTATTTAATGATACAAATGAGCACAGAAAAAAAAAAAGATCAACCGTCTGTTCGAATCAGGGTAACTCTTTAGGAAGTTTATGCTAAAAACCCTCTCTAGGTTCAATAGTAGTGGAAGCGTATGCATAAGGAACAACAATCGACCTTTTACAGCTTCAGGCATAAACGGAAGTCGGTGCATATTATCGCAGCTAATAATATGGTTTATCGAAAGCGACCATGTGTAATGCTTACAGCATAGTCTACGTTTGATATTAAAGTCGATGTAAATCTTACAACTGTTGAAGTAAGTATGGTACCGGAAGACGTGACTATTGGAGATAAATCATCTGTCACTATAAGAAGGCTGAACTGCTTACGAGTCATCATATGGCAAGTGTTGTACAAGCAGTTTGGTCGCACTATGAGTGATCGGCGCTTAAGAACGTTCTTTCAGACATTACAGTAAAGAGACGCAAGCTTGTACTATAGTTTCTATTTTTTTTATGTCCTATTTCCCGCCTGCTACCGAACTATATTATGTCATTTATCAACTGCATTTTTTTCGATGGCCAATGATCGCCTACAGTGTTCTGGATACGCCAAATTCATGTTGAAGCTAGTCCCCTAATAAGCTACTTGCATTAAAAGTTGATGTAAAAATGCAGAAAAATTGAGATGTGTGACTTGATGGAACAGAAATTACATTGCGTTCACTTGCCAAAGGACATAAAGATGCTGTATTCAGCTCTTTTTTTATAATCTATAAAGCTATTATCCTTTGTAGAAGTTACAGTATGAAATTTGCTCACAATATGTATGTACTGCCGGGATTGAAGATGGTGAAGATTAAGATTACTTGTAAAATAAAACGCCCATCGGCACCGTTATGTCGCTACTTCAACAAAAAAATAGAAGGTGAAAGCGTGATGAATTTGCTACCAACATACGAAACAAATCCATCATGTATCAAACAGAAGTCGATGCACTTGTACGAGAATTAAGGAGCTTTAAGTTTCAGAGAGATGTTCATTTACTGACGATGACGCCTAAACGCACTTATTTCAAAGAGAGCTTCTACACTGAAGATTATAAGAAACTTCAACACCCAGGTAATATAATTTATGAACTTCAAAACGGCTTTCTAATGCACTTATATTTGTAGATTTTTGAATTGGAGAAGCATCTACCAACTGGACAGCCATAAATTATCTCATAAGACCTATCCAGTGCAATCCTGAAGCTGACAAAAGTAATGGAAACCGAAAGCTCACAGAAGATAGTAAACTTATCTTGAAGCATGTTATTCCGGGCGCTTTTGCCAATACTGCTATCAGCATGCTGATTAAAAATAAAGGGCCAACACTTCATGCACCAGAAAATAAGCTAATGCTAGCTTTGGTAAGAGGAGTCTTCGTAACAGCGGGCGTATTACGGATCGATCTATCATAAGTTGGTCTCATGTTGATATCAAACGCAGACTCATCAGTGAAAATGCAATTTCGCATATAGTCTATATCTGTGGTTGTCCATTTCAAAACCCACTCATATCTGATGTCAATTTGTGCTGCATCATTTCGAGCTACGAGCTGGCGAGAGAGCTTCTTCATTGAGAGATTACATTCATATAAAATAGAGTTGTTGACTGTGCTTCTCTTCAAGCTAAAGCTTTCAAGTGCTTTAGTTAAACTTTCGACAGCCTCGTCAGTTGTTACATAAGACTTTTCGTCATACAATTTAATAATGTGGCATTTTTGTTCCTCTTGAAGCTGGCTGCGAGGGTGATCAACCATACCTGTCTGCTTTTCGCAAATGCTCCATCCAATTTCAGTTTTTAGTTTTTTAGCCCAGGTTTGAGTAGTCCGTTCAGAAGTACCAGCCAGTCTTTATCTTCAAATTATATAAAAACAATGTCTTTTGGTCTTCCGTATAGTTTTTGTAGCTATTGTCTGCACGTATGTTTTCAGCCCTCACTTTTTCGACTCTTAAAATAACGACTGTTATTCTGTTTTCTAAGTTTTCATCTTCAGGGCCAGGCTCAATAGGGGTAGGATGAAGCTCCTTAATTCGTCAAATTGGTTAAGTTTTTCAAACTATATTCATTTTCTTCATCAACGATGTAATCCATAGCTTCATCAACATCCTCTGTGGTAATTTCTCCTCAACTGTTTTTCATTAAAAAGTGAATTTTGTTGCTCATGCTAAAAGTTAAAAGTCTAGAATCTAAAAGAAACACCAATTGACTAAATAAACCCGCTATTTGGCTTTTATAAAACCGCCAGTTGAATTTTTTGAGTGCGCTGATTGGTATTTTGCAGAGAGCTCTTGGTTTATGAAAGGTAAATCGCAATCCGCTATTTGGATTGTTTAAAGCCACCATTTGAGACCGTAAGTACTGTATGTGTGTGCGTACAACATTTAATTGACTCATAATTATATCATAGTAACGAACTTTATTTGGTAGCTAAAAATGACAGACATTTATTTTGTAAGAGTTTTAATGATATAATTGCTGTTCAAACAGGTATCAATCAAGGTTGCTATAGGAACGATCTCTCACGTCACATGGAATAACAAATCGGAAGAAGTAAAAGGGATTAGCAATACATTCATGAAATTCTGCCTATTTCCTTTTCTTGCTATTTTTCTGTTTTCTTCTTTTCAAACCAATCAAATACCCCTAAAAGTAAAAGTTACCACTGGCTTGGTTCGTCTGAGCTTTAAGCTATGGGCGACTTATGTACCATTGATGACGATCACGTCAATTAGATAACAACATCCCCCATGAGCGAACACGGTTGGGTCGATCACTTCATTAGGGGATTAATCTATCAATTTAACTTGTACTTTTTATTTTTATTTTTTCAAACAACGGGAGAAGTAACCGAATTAGAAGGATGCACAGAACTAGAGCAATGTAATACAATAAAACAATATTAAATGGCAAGATAGAGGTAAGGTTATATTCCATATACTTCTTCGCCAATTAAAGTTAGACTGAGTGTAATTGATTATAGTTCGAGCCCCATTTGATCTAATTATAATGTCTCGCAATGAGGTTTCTTACAGAATGGTTGCTGTGTCTCTGATTGATCTTTTTCTATTAAAGATAATGATCTGAAATAGAAGAAAAAAAGAATCTAATTATGGGTGTTATACAGCAATTTAAGTTAATGCCTAATGTCATCATGAAACTACTCGCATAAAACTGTTGAGTTTCCATTTTTAAAATAACCTTGATTTTTTAATCAGTTTTACTATAAAATAAAATAACGATTTGATATTTTCTTTTCTTTTTCTCTTTCTTCTGTTTTTGATGTTTAAAGGTAGCTGATTAAATAACAGAGACACCACGAGTTGTTCTTCTTATTTGCTGATGGACTTTAACACCTTAGATAGCAACTATACTGTCTTGACTCCTACAAGATTCCTAATGGATTCTACTACAGCACACGACTGGAATTTCTCAACAGCTTCAAATTTCTACATGAACACGCAAACCCCATTCCAAGATCCAAAGCAAGGCATATTGATTGCACCGCCTAGTCCAACCATGACTGATTTGTCTCCTATGAAAAGCTATGCACCAAATACTCCTCCCACTCCTCCCACACAAGCTAAATCACCTCCTCCACTTACTCCAAAGAAGACTGATATTAATGAAGAACGTAAACAATTATTAGAAAAGAATAGGCAAGCTGCTTACAGATGCAGACAAAAGAAAAAAAGATGGGTCCAAGAACTCGAAGAGAAATCAGAGATATCCGAAAAAAGAAACAGAGAGCTTCAAGAGCAAGTTGCTAGGCTTCGTGAGGAAAGCATATATTTGCGCAATTTACTGCTCACGCATGGTAACTGTGAGTGCAAAGTTGTTGTAAGTTGTTCATCATGTTTGTTACTCCAATTGAATTAATTTTCTCTTCTATATGTAGCAAGCTTATCTTCGTCGTACTTCAGCAAATCTCTCCAGTCGACCAAGCATGATCCCTTCTGATTCCTCATACAATCCTAATTGTCTATTCACTTCATCTTCTTCCCAAAAACACTATGTATAGCTAACTTATATGAGTCCAATATCCCCTCTTCCCCTTGTTATCTGTCTCTAATGGCAGTTGTGAATATTCTCTCGCTTTTCTTTATGTATTTATGTGTGACCTATGGATTATTCTTTTCTCTTTTTCTTTTCCCTAAGTACATACAAGCATTATAAATAAATTGTTGCTTTATCTTATTACCACGCTTTAAGTCAGATGATAAATGTGCAACACGTATCCCATTCACGCTAGATTTGAAGCAACTACGCATTCGTAAAGAATCCTTAGATATACAAGTGCTTATAGAATCAAAGTTGTATGGTTTGAAGACAAAGATAAAAGTCGTGTTTATTCAAATCCCCATGGGGGATGACAAATCAAATGTAAAATTTCATTCTATGGCTGCCAGTATCCCACGCGGAATACAGTCGCTGTATACAAATAATATTAAGCTGACTATTTGCCGAGGAGCCTAGATCATTCCTCATCTTATCTCCTTCTTTTCAAAGTTCACTGCTACTTTTCCTTGGTATACAACATAATCTTTCAATGTCTGAAGCCGCAATAGATTCTTTATCGTTCCTTTTAATATGCTGATCTTGACAATGACGGATTATACGTGCCATATTGTGCGATGAGGGTCAGTCACAGTACACCCTTATCAATTCCCACCATGTACCCGTCGTGGACAAAATTTCTTAAATGGGTTAATTAATTTCATTAGTTTTTCTTGGTGGTTTCACTTATTTCTTCCCTTTACGTGTTTGCTATTGCTTTCATAGGGGAGGTTTTCAAGAATTATATATGGACATGGGAGTTATCTCTGCGGTTATTTGCGTCGTGTAATAAAAAGTTACAACAGAACCCTGGATAAGGAATACTCGCATAACGAATAATTTCTAGTAAAGGGGGGCAACTGACGAGCCAGCCATTCGGCTTTATTTAAAACCAGCTTAAACAATACAAAAGAGGAAAGTGAAACTTTTGCAAAACCCTCGAATACATAGCAGTTCTTCCCAGCCAATTATTCTATTTTGGCCGTTGAAATAAAGAAAGAACTGGACGCATCAAGGTTATTTCAAGTGTTTATTTTTATCTACAAGAAAGGAGACACTACAGAAAAAGGTAATTAGGTCAAAAATCACTTATTTTAGATACCTATAATGAAGATATAAATAAATTGACAACATTTGATAAGATTGATTTGCATAAGTTGCTATTATTTTATTGTTTCGTATAAAAGTGTTGATTACACGTAATATGAAAAAAAAACACGTCGTTTTCACAAAAAGCACAAAGACATTTAGAATCCCATTAGTATTTATAGAGAAGCATCAATTTGTCTCTTTGTAGCTGATCAATTCATTCTTGATAACGCTATTCCGTTCTACTGCCATATCTTTAGTCAATAGTATCCAGCCACTGACTGATTACTTCTTAAGCTGTTTTCTTGTATATTATAAAATGTTGTGTTTTCAATAGATATTCAGTATTTCAGAACATCAAAAGAAGCTCAAATTGTTTGGCGATTAGAAGTAAATATCACAAGAATAAAACAAGAGGAAAAGATGCTTAAATATCACGTCGACTATGATATTGTTGGCCAACTTTTTGCGTCATATGGCCAACAAGGTGAAGTCTGCTACATATTTGGACACTTCTTATACAAGGGCCTACTACCAACGCAGTACTTGAGACTTATTCTCATAAGCGAGGTAATTGTTGCATGGACACATCTGCTGTTTGCCAGCGACTGTTTACTTAGTGTGTTACTTTTACAAGTTTGTTTGTATATCACAAATCGACGTCCAATGTTCATTTGGATAAAGTTGTACAAGTAATATTTTTGTAAAACCCGCTTTGTTTTCTCCCCTTTTCTTTCGCTTTGTTTTTTCTAAATATGCAGGTTGTTTATTGTGAGGATGAGTTGCTGCATAATCCACCTATGGAATTAACACGTGGTGAATGGAAACCTTACGTTGGTATAGTATTTCCTTTTTTGTTCAACTCATTTCTCATCGCTAGCCTTTAGAAAGTCCAAAAAGATTAGAGGCTATCAAACAAGTTATTGATCAGTATCCATCGGATTTTGAAGTCATTCAAGCCAATGATTATTCCTTAAAGCCAATCCTTGATGTTCATTCATCAGACTATATTCAGTTTTTAACAGACATTTATCACCAGTGGACACAGGCTGGTTATCCTCCCGATGCATGCGTAGCTGACACCTTTGCTTCGATCACAAGGACAGTCAATAGAGATGTTGTTAAGCAAACAGCGAATACGAGCCTAAGCGGAAAACTAGGATTTTATACTAGCGACCTATCTGTCATGTTTATGAAAGGTAAACGATTGATTATAAGAATTTTCATCTAATAACAATAACAGATACATGGAGAGCCGCTTATGCCTCTGCTCAAGTCGTCTTGACAGCTGTCCATCAGCTATTGCTTACCTCAGCTCCTGCTATATATGCTCTTTGTCGCCCACCAGGACATCATGCATCGGATTCGGTAGCTGCTGGCTATTGCTATATCAATAATGTTGCTGTTGCTGCACGTTTTATACAAAACAACACTCTTGAAGAAATGAACCAAATCAAAAAAATGTACAGTGACGATAATGATGTCAATCGAACCGAAAACACAAGCAAGAGCAATGGAAAGAAGAAAGTTCTCATTGTCGATATTGATTATCATCACGGTAATGGCACTCAAGAGATATTTTATGATGATCCAACCGTATTCTACATATCCCTTCATGGGTACCCTGATTACCCTTATTTCACTGGTTCAGCTCAAGAGACAGGTTCAGGACAAGGTCTCGGACACACCATGAATATTCCCCTTTTATCTACATCAACTACAGATACAATCTATTTGGATTCCTTAAATCGTGCGCTTCAGGATGAACAGGTAGTACGATTCAATGCAGATATAGTTATTGTCTCGCTGGGCTTAGATACGTGGCATGAGGATCCCGTTGGTGGCATGAAGGGCTTTCAAGATCCAAATACATATAAAGCAATCGGTGCACTGATCAAGTCATCGAATGGAACAAAGAATCGACCTGTTCTATTTGTTCAAGAAGGCGGATATACCATTGACAAACTAGGGCAGCTCGCAGTAAATGTATTAAAGGGCTTTATGGAACAATGATAATAAGCCCAGTGTTTTGCGGGTCATAAATGCTTCCAAAAAAAAAGTCATCCCATTCTTCTTTTTTTTTTTTTCATTCAATAATTAAACTCTCCTTTCCCTTACCTCTCTTTTTCTATTTCTATTACCATGACAATGTATAATACAATATTGCTACTTTTATTACTCATGGTTGGCTTGGTCTGTTTGGCAAAGCCAATCAATCTTACTAGCACAGTACGACAGTTTTATATCGCAGCAGAAGAACAGACTTGGGATTATACCCCTTTACACTGGAACAATTATCTCAATGAGTCCCTAGAAACATCAGCTCGATTTTTATTGCATACAGATACCCGAATCGGCAGTCTTTATCAAAAGGCGTTTTACCGTCAATACACTGATGACACATTCACCGTGCCCATTCCTCATGACGCTTCACTTGGCATACTAGGACCTATTCTTCGAGCAGAAGCAGGAGATAAGATACGCATTACATTTCTCAACCGTGCAAGATACACACACAGCCTATTTCCTCACACTACAATACCCAAAAACTCTCGACACAGACTACCAGGTCAGTTTGTGGCTACAGGCGAACGATACAATTATGAATGGAATATACCCGCTGATTACTCATTTCCACTTAATCAGTCCTCTGTTGTCTGGGCCTATTCATCCAAATCAGATCCTGTGAAGGATGTGAATGCAGGTCTCTTTGGACTTGTTGTCATTTACAAAAAGGGCATGCTTGAATGGCCATCGCCCGGTGCCATGTTTCAACATCCCAAAGGAATCGATCGAGAAGTATTTACGTTCATGTCCATTACAGATGAAAGTGAATCGAGATACTTTAAAGAATCAGCTGCACTGGCCGGTTTTAGTTGGGATCATGTCAAGAAGCTTCAAAGGACAGATTCCATGTTTAAGCATTCAACGCAAATGTTTCATATCAACGGATACCTTTTTAATAACAACAAGCCATTCACACTCGAATGGGGTACAACTGTGCGCTGGTATGTCGTCTCCTTTGGGGTCTCGTCTGAGGATCCACATACGGCACATTGGCATGGTGCTTCTGTCTTGTATCATGGTCACCGCGTTGACGTGGTCGATCTTACGCCAATCAGTTTTGAAGTAGCTGATATGGTGCCTGACAATGAAGGAACTTGGTTGTTCCACTGTCATGTTGCTTCTCACTTGAACATGGGAATGACATCTGTGTATAATGTAGAAAAAGTCATAATTACAGGCGATGAAGGCTGGGAATAAAAAAATAGTAATAATGCGATGTGTTTTTTTTCTGTTTTTTTTAAACAAGATTGACGATGAAGCGACAGGCAACTATAAGCTCCTATTTTCCTTTCAAGAAACCAAGACAGGAGGAAACAAGTAAAGAGAACCAAGCTCAGGTTGTAAACATGACAGAGAAGTCCACCGAGATGTCTACAGAGGACCGAAAGCGACTACACGAGCAGTTTGTCGAGCGTTTTGGCGCAATAGAAGAGAAGAGACAAAACAAACGTCAACGAGTCGGTGAACCGCCACAGCAAAAGCTGAGCCCTCTTGAAGTACAAGTGACAGAACTGAAGGCTCGATATCCTGACTGCCTCCTCCTAATCGAAGTAGGATACAAGTTTCGATTCTTTGGAGAGGATGCTAAAGTAAACAACGACGTAAAGTGGAAAAAGCATGAGACTAATCCCAATTTACTGATAGATTGCATCAAGAGTACTGCATATAGCAAACATGGTCGATCGTAACTTTTATGTGGCAAGTATACCTGTACATAGATTATCGGTGCATGTTCAAAAGTGAGTATGAACTATATGAAGCAGAACAGCTAATTGAGTACAGACAGACTAGTGGATGCAGGATATAAAGTGGGTATCGTCAGACAGACCGAGACAGCCGCCTTAAAGGCTATTGGATCCAACAAAAACCAAGTGTTTGAGCGCAAATTGACTCAGGTCGTAACAAAAGGAACCCTGGTAGACGAAATGTATGAGCCAGTAATGACCCATAGCTCAGGCTATTTGATGTGTCTAATTGAGGAAAAGCGAGGGGGTAGTGGTGCTGATGAGCTTGTACATATCGGCATGGTCGCCGTTCATCCATCGACAGGTGATATTGTCTATGACACCTTTGACGATGCCTTTATGCGGAACGAGCTCGAAACACGGTTGATCCATATTGAGCCTAGTGAAATCCTCGTACCTCAGATCATAAGTGTGCCTACTCAAAAACTGATTCGTCACTTCACAGTTGGCGAGGGTGCGGTGAGGATAGAAAAAATGCCGTCAAGTGACAATTTTTGCACAGACTATAATGCGGCAATGACATATGTCTCGGAATTCTATTCCGAAAGTGAGAGAGCTAAAGTGCTATCGACTGTCATGGAACTTCCTGGGATCATCATGTAAGACATGTTTACAATACAAGTACAACATTTAATATGAGCTTTCCTCATTAGTAAAGCACTTGCAGCCTTGATTCGTTACCTAAAAGAGTTTGGGCTATCCAGTATGTTCCACGTTGGTAAATACATTAAAAACTTTGTGTCTAGAAGTCATATGCTACTGAATGCCAACACCTTGGTCAACCTTGAAGTGTACCGCAACAGTACAAACTACAAAGAAGAAGGCTCTCTCTTTTCTGTTTTGAACCATACGCAAACAAAATTTGGTCAACGGTTGCTTAAAAGATGGGTGGGTCGTCCACTGATTGACGTTAAGTGAGTAAAGTGAGGTGCTACAGGGTGAAACGAACTAAACAGTCAACAGGAAATTGAATGAGCGAGTGGATACGATCGAAGAGTTAATGATGACAGATAATCCAAAGAAGAACAAGTTGGTAGGACTGTTAAAGAAATTACCCGATATAGAGAAGGGAGTCTGCCGCATTCATTATGGGAGGGTAAAGGATTAGTTACACGTTGGACAAAAAGAGGTTCTTATTCCTTCTATATAGTCATCTCCAACTGAGCTAGTACACGTATTGGACGCTTTGGGAGCTGTATCGACGCTTTTCAATAATGATATAGAACCTCGATTCCAATCCGAGATGCTGAACAGATTGTTTGATACATTATCAACTATTCGAGAAGACATTTTAGAGTATAAAGAGATGGTTCATCCTCAACATGCTTCTGACAAAACTAAGTTTTTGAAATCAGAGAAAAGATGGCCAGATATTCCTCGAGAAAAGAACAATATCAAGTTTGTGGAGAGCTTATTGCACGAACATCTTGAAGAGATGAAGGCTGCTACAGGCTTGAGTGATTTGCATTATGTTGAAGTGGCTGGAGTTGAGGTAATATCGAGAGATGTCTTAGTTTATAAAGACTAATAAGGTATAGTTTCTATTGGAAGTAGCCAATACAAAGACAAAGTATGTACCAGCAGATTGGATAAAGATAAGCGGTACAAAAGCAGTAAGCCGATTTCATTCACGTTATATCATTCAACAATTAAAGGAAAGAGAGCAACACAGGGAAAGGTTAGGTCTACTGGTAGATCAAGCCTATAAAGATCTTCTTGCGTATGTTTAAGGATATATATCATACAAGTGATTAACGCACTTTTTTTTTTGATTCCTGTAGAGATATTTCAGGAAAATATGAGTCATTTCGAGACGTTGTATCGTGTCTTGCTCAACTTGACTGCCTCTTGTCTTTATCTGTAGCATCCAGCCAGCCTGCTTATATTAAGCCTGTGTATAAAGAAGAGAAATCAATACATGTCAAGAATGGTCGACATCCTATTGTCGAAAAACTTACCACATATGTGCCCAATGACATTCATTTTGAAAATACCCAGACCACCATGATTTTGACAGGCCCAAACATGGGTGGCAAAAGCTCCTATATCCGCCAGGTTGCCCTTATCTGTATGATGGGCCAGATCGGCTTATATGTGCCTGCAGAGTCGGCTACTCTTTGCATGCTAGATGCAATCTATACCCGAATGGGCGCCTCTGACAATATGATAAAGGGTGAAAGCACCTTCATGGTTGAACTGCACGAGACGTCAGATATAATGAAGCATGCTACGTCAAGATCCTTGGTCATTTTGGACGAATTAGGTAGAGGCACGAGCACGCACGACGGACAGGCTATTGCCTATGCTACACTTCGATATTTTATAGAGCAGATACAATCGATTACCTTATTTGTCACGCATTATCCATCCATGAGCCAATTCGCTACCTTATATCCAAACCATGCAAATAATTACTATATGGACTATATCGAAGAAATGAACCAAGCTGGTACAGTTTATGATAAAGGATTGTAAGGGAGGGATATTAACCAATCCGTACAGATGATATTCCGAATATAGTGTTTTTATATAAACTGCGTCAAGGCGTCAACATGAAAAGTTACGGGTAAGATAGTATATTTAAGAAAAAAAAACGTTTGTAATGAAGGATGTATTAGGATGAATGTAGCTAAATTGGCGAATATACCAATTGACATAATCAAAAGAGCCAAAGAGATATCCAACAGTCTACAAGAGGATGTTGAACAGAGGCGACAAAGAAAAAGACACGTCAGTCTTTTGAAAAAACTCATGTCGAATGAAAACAGTTTTGCTATAAAATAAAACTTGTGTCTTTATATTTATTGTTTAGAAGAAAAATGAGTGTCAAAAGAAGGGAAAGGGAAAGGAGATGGGCATAAGGAGGGACATTAGATGAATAGACTTTCTTTTTTCATTATATTATGTAAAGTCATTTCTTGAGAATTGCTGTAATTGGTTGTTAAAATATACAATGGGGGGCATCCATAAACATATGACTGGATGTTCGTTCCCCCTTTGAGAAAAAAAAAATGAAAGAACAGCAAAAGCAAAGAAAATAATATACAAAAGAAAAGAAAGCGGATAAGGGAAGAAATATACAGTCGTGAATAAAGAAAGAGTGAGTGGATATAAACGTACTACCTTCACATTTTTAAAAGAGCTCGTAACTTGCTCTGTATTTCTGATAAATCAACATCAAATTCTCGAAGCGAAAATGATGGAGAAGCTGAAGCCGATAATATGCTTACAGGTTCTTGAACTATGGGTACAATAGGTGATGATGAAAAGGTGGGTATAGGTAATGTATCTGGTGCAGGAGAATTGCTAAACATTGGTCCAGCATACACTCTACCATCAATCGCATTGTTTGAATGATGACGCTTTCGTATAGTAGATGTGTCTTGTCTATATATTAAAAAATAGTAAGAATTTGAACTAAATGAGTCAATTCAAAACTGTATAGGTCCCACAAAAATAAAAGGAGTAAAGGGATATGAGTACCTCTTTGAGCCATTTATAAACATTGATATTCTGTTTGCTTTCTTTTTAGCAAGACTTGTATCAGAAGAGGATGAAGAGCTATCTAAGTCTGGAACTGGTTCTAATTCGGCATTTAATACTTCATATATCTCCTTTCTGCGTTCGTTTCGTTTAGTCTTTGAGGAAGTATATCTTCTCTGTAAGGGAGTGGTTGGTGCAGAAACAGAGGGTCTTCTTGCAATAGGCGTCTTTAATATTACACTATGTATTTGTTCCTCTCTCTTTTGTGGTTTTTTATCATTATTATTATTGTTATTATTACTCTTATAAAGTTTCTTGAGATGGGAAGGTTTATTATTGTTATTATTAGTGCCAGTATTAGTACTCTTGTTACTGTTACTACTACTACTACTGCTGTTGCTAATACTACTGCTAGTACTACTGCTGCTGTTACTACACCTACTGTTACTACTACTACTGCTGCTGCTGCTGCTGCTGCTATTATTATTATTGCTATTCCTGCCACGATGGCTAATGGGACTAATGTGAGACGAGCCACTTGTTTGAAGCTTGGATTGTTGTTGTTGTTGTTGTTGCTGTTCATGAGCAACAGCAGTGATCTTTATGGAAGGCCTATTTGTCATTGATATTTTATAGTGATAATATCATCAATTTAATATAGAAAGAAAAGAAAAAAAGAGTAATATAAATGCACAAGCGTTTTTTATGAAATTTCACAAATTTCAGCCCCCTTAGTCCAATTGTTATTAACCTGTATCACCTCTGCCTCCTTGCTACAGTTATAAGGGGAGCATACTCTTGCTTCCCATACATAGCAAAAGCAATAACAATGATGACAATGAACAAACTAAAATATAACTTATATTCTAAACCACAGTATACAAATACGAAGGGATAAAATACTATATGCTTTACTCGGTGAATACACTCCATTAAATCACAAAAATAGTTTGCAACTTGTTATGATACCAATTTTGTCACATGCATGACCAAAATGGCTGTGTTGGCTCCACTCCGATTCCTGATGTGATAGATGTTCTTTATTTGCATATAAAATACCGCCTTCTCTTTTTCTCATATCTTTTCAAGCTAGCAACGTGAATATTAAGACGGTTTTTTTAAAAAAAAATATCTCCAATACGACGCTGTCAGGGGCAGTGTATCTATCACATTATTCGTTCTTCGTTTGACTATTTGCTCCATCCAATTCCTAATCTGGTAGTGTTTTGCCGTTGAAAAGTTCAATTGTGACATAATCAGCTTGATCCAATCGGTGACTATGTTGAAACAGCCCCTATCTATTCTTTCCAATATACGCCAAGAACAACGTGTGGTTTACTGCTAATCTTGTTCGCAAATGTGTGAGTCTTGTTAATAAAAAGAATGTAATGTATCAACTGTATCTTCCATAGTACCCAATCATGACAGTCTTGACTTGAGTTTCTTTTGGCTTCCTGTCAGCGTATACTGTGATGTAGTCATAGCATCGCTGTCAAACACAGGGGTGTGAGGGTCTTTAGTTGTATAAGGATAGGCTTTTGGAACCGGTCCATCTTCGTTTTACAAAAGCTGTTATCGTGTCAGTTTCCCCAGGCTGAGCGTTATTGGCGAACGATTACTTTTTACGCCTAGATCTTGTCAGCCACTAATACCTACGTAATGCTCGAAATCGCCAAGTTAGAAATTCCCCAAATGCTTGGCGGGTTTACCAAATTTGATCATAAACACAGCAAGTTTATTATGGAGCTTGAACACATTCCATCGTATTTTGTGTGCAAAACCATCCCTCATTAATTTTTCGCAAAACATCATATATCAATCAAGTTGGTGCACTACAACAACATTTCCTCACTAACCGTTGGAAGTACAAACTCAAGAATGTGCTGCGATTTCAACATTATTCGCTCCAATACTTAAACGTCCTGAGACCCTCCACTGTACCAGTTTTCAGGATCATACACAAGGACAAAGAATCAATAGCAAATCAACAACTTATTAAAACACGTTAACAGCCAAGAAGAAATGTAAAGTCCAACTATCCTCTCAGCAAGGAACGTCCACTTGGGGTCTTGATACATTGTTGCAGTACTTTGTTATTTTCAACATAGTGACTCATTGTCCCTTAATCAACTACAAGACATATGTCGAAGAAAACTTTCATATTATGGCAGCTGAAGCAATGGTCACAATGGATAATAAGCTAATGAAAGAAAGGCCACTTCAAGAAGAGACACATTTGTATAATGAATGCAAGGTGCTTCTGCTACTTCGTATTGCAACAATGTTCCATCCACGCTTGGATATAGGCGCCTTACAACGTAGAGACACTTAATTTACTTTTGAAAATAACAGTAGCTCCAGCAATCAATCCGTGCTTTGTATGTTACTGTACGGTCAACAACCAAAGGAAGCCCAAACCAAGATAGAAAGGCTTGGACGATTAGACCTTGGATCAATGTGCCTCGTACGAACGACATGGCCTTTCATAGCCAAGACCGAACATCTTCGCTATGAACCCTCCGAGGACCATTCACTATTCCTGACAACTTGATGGAACCCGGAAATCTTCGGCCATCCAATCTAAATTCAGTAGCGAACATTGTTAAGAAGCAAATGAAAGCTGCAGGGATAAACACAATGGTGTATGGTCCCATGCTCAATATGTTCCGCAAAGCATCACAGTTTCCGTTAAAGTGAGCAACGAGATAAGATAAAGAAGCATACGAGTGGGAGTCTATCTCCTGATATATTCGAACGGCTCTACTGCAAAACATGCTGACAACAAGAAGGTGACAGATTCCATGTTTTCTTTTTGTTCTGAAAACCACATCATATTCGAAGTCCGACCAAAGTCAACTGGAATTGGGTTAGGCACGTTAAGCAATACTACTGTTGACAAAATGAGGATTGAGGATGTGGTCACTCCAGTCCAGATGGTATTTATATATCTTTAACTTATTCGTTCTTTTTAAAATAAAGAGAAGAAGAAAAATAAAATGATCAGGCAAAAGGGTTAAAGATAGAGAGAGTTTATTATTTTTCGTTTACAACAAAAGAGTTTATACCACGCCATCAATTGTCCATTTAGAAATAACAAAACGTCATTCTTTGTAACATACCTTTCATTGTTTTTTTCTCTCCAAGTCTACCAATTTAAACAAAGGGTACCTCTCTTTTTCTCACAAACTAAGCATCTGGGGCATCTATAAATTTCAAGCACAGAAACCAATCAACCCCTGACTGACTCTTTCTTATCAGCGCGATAATCAAAAAACAAAATTTATATACATGTATTTCTTTCCTCTTGAAATAACAAAGCATGAATTCAAATACAAGGGTATCTACTTATGACCTTTCCCCTCTTTTATTTGACAAACCTTATGAATTCCCGCGGCATTTATTGCCTACTGTCATGAAAGGTTTATATCAAATATCATCCTATCATTTGTCTAACCCCCTACCCCCATATATACAGACGACAGCAAGATTCCTCTTGTTCTCGTAGCTTGTGGTTCATTCTCTCCAATAACCTATCTTCACTTGAGAATGTTTGGTAAGTTGCTTAGATGACATTACACAAGGTTGATTAAACAATGGTAGAAATGGCACAAGATCACTTCAAAGAGAGGGATGAGTTTGAGTTACTAGCAGGATATTATTCCCCTGTATCTGATTACTATATGAAAGAAGGCTTAGCAAAGGCAGAACATCGTGTTAAAATGTGTCAATTGGCTGTTGAAACAACCTCAGACTGGTTAATGGTTGACTCTTGGGAAGCGCGCCAAACAACTTACCAGAGAACGGCTATTGTACTTGATCATTTTGAACATGAATTAAACAAAGTGGGTAATGGTATCTCTACAAGATCAGGTAACCCTTTAGTCATGCCTTAAAAAAAAGAAAAAGAAAGAAAGAGAAAGAGAGAGATTGACATATACATATTATTTAGGAGAGAGAAAGGAGATACGAATCATGTTATTGGCTGGTGGTGACCTGATTGCCTCTTTTGGTCATCCAGGGGTTTGGGCCACTAACGACGTAAGATGAAATACATACATGTGTAAAGGGGATATTTATGCAATATCGGTTATAGTTGCATCATATCGTAGGTCGATATGGCTGTGTGATCATTGAAAGGACAGGCACAGATGTGTATGGGTTTTTACTATCCCATGACATCCTTTATCAGCATAGAGTAAAATAATTACTGGAGCGTATTTACATGTTTCTTAACTCTCTTTATTATAGATGAATGTTACTGTTATTAAACAGTTAATTCATAATGATATCAGCTCAACAAAGATCAGGTATATCATCACTCGTATTACGTAATATACACAACCTAATCTTTTTATGAATGTATAGATTATTTGTCAAAAGAGGCATGTCTATCAAATATCTATTGCCAAATCCAGTGATTGATTACATTAAGCTTCATGGACTTTATCTGCCGCCCGCTGAAAACAAGGATCAAGTATAGAAATATACATCAAATACCATACATGTACAACACGACTGAATAATCACACACAAATACACACATACACCCACACACACACAATACAAAATCATGCACATATATTCATGCATTATTTAAAAAGAATTACGATAGACCCCAAAAATATATTTATATTTACAAAAAACTATATCATTTATTATGGTTTAAAGATGAGGTAAGGGCGTTCATTGGCGATCTTTAGTATGGCTTGCCCAAACAATCCATTGGCCCATGCAAACCATGATCTAGTGTATCCTGAATTGTTATCACCCCCTGAATTTGTATAAACATTTAGAGATTCATGTATTAATCCAGTATTGTCAGTTGAGGCTAAGATGGTATCCAATGCTTCTTTGATCTCATTATCATTACTTGATGTTAATATCTATGTTTCAAATACAAGTGAATAAGAAATTAAAGCATTTTAACTAAACATACTCGAACAATCTGTGACATAGGCCATGCATAGTTCAAACCAACCTAAAATAATGCATGTTAATCTCTCTGTTACTTTTGCTGTTGTTTGTCTTACATGTGGACCTCCGATGCCTGATCCTCTTGGACCTGAAAAGAAGTAGGGGTTATCCCTTGACCAGACCAATTTTCTAGTATTTTGATAAATTATGTCATTTTGGTCTAAAAATCCAATCAAGCTAAGGGATAACAAAGAGGGAACGTTGGCATCATCCATTATTAAACTTGATCCATAACCGTCTACTTCATCTAGAAACAAAATTAACACAAAAGGTTTATGGTTGGGCAAGAAGCAAAATAAAAAAATAAAAAACTTACATGCAAACACTTTTCCGTAGGTTGGATGATCTACAATCCCGTATTTATAGATAGCATCTCGGATCTGCTTCGATAGTCTGAGTGATTCACTAGTAAACTCTTGAATTTGACTGTTTGATCTTGAACTGCTACTGTTGAGTAGTTGTGCTAAGTGTCCTAGTTCAACCGAGAGCATAGCATTACCAGGTATAAAGAAAGGATATAGAGCTGCGTCATCTGAAGGTCGAAATAAACTTTTGACCATGCCTGTATATTTCACGGGTTGTCCACGGCCCAAGAGGAATTGCGTCTCTGTTGGCCTATCAGTTGTCTGAAAAAACCTGTAATCTGTCGGTAGGGGCTCTCCTTTTTTTATGAAAACAAAGTATTATTATTTCTAAATTTTGCTGTATAGATAAAATGATGTAGTTACCTGTTGTTTCATTAAAAGTAGGCTCTTGTTGTTTCTTTATGGTCGTCAAAATTGAATCGACTGCATCTATCCATACTGAATTGTTTACAAAGGAGTTATCGCCCGAGGCTTCCCAATAACGGTAAGATAAGTTGATGAATGATGCAAGTGAGTCTATCTCCCATTTTCTCTCGTACACTATGGAAATAATTAAGTATATATATATATATATATACATATATAAGGAGAGAACAACTTACCACCTTCACGCAATGGAACTTCTCTTTTAACAAGCGTCTTATTATACATAGAAGACGCAAGAACATCTATAGACGATGGCTCATTAAACGCATTGGCATAGTTATCTATATTAATAAAGTGGGCCTGCATATAAATGGCTCCCAAAAATAAGCGTTTAAGTTGAGAGTCATGCTTGATGTAGTCAATGTAGGGCATGATTTGATTAGCAGAATCTCTGAGCCACATGGCATTGATATCACCAGTAATAATAAATGAGAGTGGTAAGCAGTGGCTGGATGCCTTGAGGCAGGCAGTGCTCTGGATAGTGGTATCTAAAGTATTTGGATATGCATTTGTAAAGAGACGAGCGAGATCCAAATTGGACATCTATGTAACATGAGCTCAGATGATACTCAACCTATGCATGATGCTGATGATTGTTTTACCCTGGAAGTGACATTGCTGATGACAGATTCAATGACTTGACTTGTGAATTTTCTGCATGATTCAATGGGCCGCTGAAACGGCAGATTCAATAAACCACCACTTCCGGGACGATGAAATACTTTGGAATACCTGTAGAGCTCCAATATTTAGTAAGGTTATTCATTATATGTTATGATGAAAGTACTCTGAGTAGTCAGGACAAGAATTAGGCATAAGGATCAAATAGAAAAATAATAAAGAAAAGAAGAAGGAAAAAAAGAAGAAGGAAATAAGGAGAATGGTGGAAATTAAATACATGAAGGAAGAAAAAGAGAGGTACAACTTGCATATGATGATGTTATATATACGAATGACAGCTCACGTCGTCTTTCTTTCTCTTTTTGTCTCTTTGTCTCTCTCTCTCTTTTGCTCGCTCATTGTAAAGAATGCATCATATTACACACTAAAAAAAAACTAGGTTACCAAGTTTTTTAAGCACATAATGTCGCGTTTTTTCCTTTTTTGAAAGTACGGCACTCCATTTATTCTACTCTTGTCCAACGACAGCAAAAATATGCTCGAATTATAGCTATGCTTTCCTGCCTTCTTTTTCTTATTAGTTGCCAAGGAAATAGCAAGATATGTGTTGTGAAGGGGATGTATCGGGATAAGTTGTCGATATTGATTCTTTTTCTTTTTCTTTTTGCTTGTATCTGATGTTAACGTAATTTGAAGTAATTCTGTTTCCATGTCAAAAATGTGTAACGGTTGTACGTTCAGTAATTTCTGTCTCTTAGCACACAATTACGTAGTTAATAAACCTCAGGTTTAAAACAGTGGAGTATGGACGCTTTTCAAAGAAGACTCCCCTTAATTAAATACTAATGAGACAATTATATAACAAGATTATTTTTTTTTTGAAAAGGAAAAAGAAAGGAAAAAACAACCCCTATTTTTTTTTTTTTTTTTTTTTTTTTACCAGAAGGGCATACATCAGCTAGGTACACGGTCAAACCTTTTTTTTTTAGAAAGAAGGTCGGACATATTCTACTGTATTTTTTTCCATACACTTTCTTATTAACAAGATACAAAAAGTCATCAATTCTGTTGATATAAAGACAAAACCAAACCAAACAATGCATTGATTCAGTGATAAAATCATCTATGGTTCGGTAATCCATGTCATCATTTTATGATTATTATCAGCAGGTAGCCCAGATGCTCTTTCTTCTCCTTTTTTGTATACTATGACTTTAGCCAGTTTAAAGCCGGACACTTTCAAATACCTCACAACAAGTAGAGCTCATATCATGAAAGGCTAGGTTAGCATAAAATCTTTGGTTTAATAAAATGTATTTTCTTTTTCTGTAAACTCAGAATTTCTTGCATAAAAAAGGGCAGAGAACCCCATGACAAGTATCATCAAGTATTTTTTTAGAGTCATTCATCACGCAAAAAGTAACGATTAATACAGGAAATCATTGATTTTTAATGATCGATTCCCTTTGAGTTGTAAATAAGCCTTATAATCATTGGCAGTAATGGCGGAATCAAGACAGTTAATGATAGCCTTGCATTATCAATATTCTGCTGCTTATTAAAAAGTTAGACTTCACTAGCATTGAAGTTGTAAATGACTCTTCAAAATGAAAAAGTGTACATATCTCCTTTTTACTACCTCGAATAGAACACTGTGCTTAGTTATCTACCATAGTTGATCCCTAGGATAGCTTTAGTCATCAAAAGGGAAAAGAAATATCGCGTAGTCATACGTATTCCCACACGTAATGAATATATATACACATACTTTTGGCTGAACATTTAGCCTCTAAATAATATGATGATGATAATGATGAATATTTTTATTGTGTAAATATAAATATATATATCTTTATATTAAACAGTAACTTTCCAAAACACGACTCTGCGTACAACTTTGGTTACTATAGCATGAACAAAAGGCATGATGCGATCCAGAATCGCATAAGCAATAGGTGACTTTTTCTTCCAGAGAACAAGAAATAGCATAAACAAGATGGTAAAATCGGCTAGAGCATGTTTAAGCAAGGTCACGACTATCCTTTGCATTGTCCATCCTGCTTTCTGCTGATGTTGCCGATGTTGCTGTCGTAGTCTATCTATCTGCTCTGTCAATGCTGTTACCTCTGTCTGTAATTTCTCTAATGCGCGATTGCTTTCGTCCTTTTTCATTGTCTTTTTGCTTGAACGCTGACTACTACCACTGCTACTAATACTGGCACTGCCGGTCGAGCGATGGTGAGGTTGTTGGATGGCATAGGGGGAATGTTGTGGTGCCGTGATACTTAAACGAGCAGTGGCAGCAGCCACTTCACGATCCAGGGTATCTGCCTCTGACACTATATCGGACTGTTGTTTCAAATAGTCTGCGAGATATGTATAATTTTCATGTGATGAAGAGATGGCGCGTCCAGGAGAAGTAACAGGTGTCAATGGATAATCTTGGTCTGACGGTCGCCTATAGGGTTTGTGATAAAATGGTGGTGAGTCAATCTGGGTGACATATTGTGGGTCAATCTGGCTTAAAAAGTGATTTTTGGTTTCGAAGTCTGCAGGACCATAGGCGTCTTGAAATATCTCTAAGTGAATAGGGGGTTTGAGTTTTGATTCTTAAAAAAAATAATGATTTACCTTCTTCCTGTTGTTCTCCATCAATAGATTGTAAACTGTCCAATGACTTTTGAAGGAATTCATAATATTGATGATGAGGGTATCGATGCACAAGCTATGTGATAGTGATCAATCTATAACTCCTATTCTATCTTTTGTGTCGGTGTAACTTACTTCTGTTAGCAACTGTATAAGGGAATCAACGTACAATTTTTGGGCTTCAAGTGGACTCATTCCTTTCATTTTATACCATGCTTTCCTATAATACTCTTAATTGATGTTTTGTAAAGAATAATCTTTATTTACCATTTGGCGTATTCAACTGCTTGTTTTGATGATGGCCTTGGCATGTTAATATCCCCATGTACTGCTTGCTTATATAAACCATAAAACTGTAATTTATCAGCCACTGTCGGTTGTAGTTCAACCATCTCTGGTGGAATCGATCGTACAATCGATAAAGCACGAGAAAACTTTAATTGTATTGCAAATGTTGAAGAAGAGTTTATGGCAGACATGGATAATAATAAATAACAAAAAAAAGAGAAAAGAAATACGAAAAAAAGCTGAGTAAGACAATATTCCTATTTTTATTCAACTGTTACACACCCCGCATTTTATACATCAATTAAATCTTTTATTGCTTGTCTTCTGCTGTCTGCTTCAATTGCTTTATTGAACCCAGATTGACTTTGGGTGGTGTAGCAAAACCAAAGGCTTTGGCCACTTTTGCTAGATCCAAGTTGTTGATATCGAAAATCTTTTTTAAGCTGAATGAAGCATAAGCATGGAGATAGGATCGATAACCATCCTTGGCAGATTGGTTCAGATAATAATTCTTTTCTATCAGTTTTTCTAATTGTCCTTGTACATTGGCTATCTTGTTGGAAGGGAATTGGTACTCGTTTAATGGCACCTTGGCGTGTTTTAAATATCTTAAAAAGCCAAGTTCGCTTGGTAATAAAAATAATAAGCTCTTTCCCTGGCCTCCCGCACGGGCCGTACGACCTACACGATGAATGTAGTCACGAGGATCATCAGGTGGGTCAAACTGAATGATCCAGTCTACTGCTGGAATATCTAATCCTCTGGCTGCAACATCTGTACATAACAAAATACCCCTTTCCGCATTACAGAATTCAAAAAAGGTATTTGTTCGTTTCTGTTGCTTTTGCTTACCCTAAAGTGGAATGAGCATTTTTTTGTTGTTGTATAAAGAAAGAACTTACATGTAAAGCCAATACGGGCACATCAATGTAATTCAATAGTTCAGCATGATATTTCACAGAATTACAGCTTGAAAAGAACACAATCACTTTCTTCTTCAAATTCTTTCTTAAAAAGGTAAATAGCAGTAAAAATCGACGATCAGAATCACAGACAACGTATCCTTGCTCCAATCCATCGGCTGTTGAGGTATCTCGATTTTCATGGACGTTGATATACAATGGTCCCTTTTTTAATGAAATACGGGCCAAATCTTGAACCTTGGTTGTTTGAGTAGCAGAGAATAACATGGTCTGTCGTTCTGATGGCAATATATTGACAATCTGTCTCATTTCGTCTTCGAAACCAATTTCCAATATACGATCTGCTTCATCAATAATCAATGCCTTCAAATTCTTGTATACAAATCCACGGGTATTCTTTTGATATGTTAGATTTGATTATGTAACAACCTTATACCTTACTTGTAAATGATCTAACAGTCGACCTGGTGTAGCCACCAACAGGTTGACACCTTTTACCAACTTGTCTGCTTCTGCCTTTCTATTAGCACCACCAATGACAATACCAAAGGTCATTTGATGATACTTTAACAATTCCTTGGCAACACCAAAAATCTGCAATGCCAATTCTCTTGTGGGTGAAACGATGACTGCACCTGTACCGTTTCTAGGTTTGAACTTTAAACGATACAGGATCTCAACAGCTGGGATCAAGAATGCTAATGTCTTGCCTGATCCAGTCTTTGCAGCACCCAAGACGTCTCTACCTGCCATAAGAGGTGGAATAGTCCGTGCCTGAACTTCTGTCATCTTCTCGAATCCAAGATCTTTGATCCCGTTCTTTGTACGTTCACAGCAATCCAAGCTCTCAAAGTCATAGCTGACTGGTAATTCATCTTGCTTTGAAGATACTTCAATGTTGTCTTTTTGGTCCTTTTCTTGTTTTTGCTTCTTGGCTGTTGCGACTGAACGATCAGATGCTGCTTGTCTTTTTTCACCCATTATTTTTGATCTAGAAAAAAAAAAAAAAGGAAAAAAAAAGTTTCCATGTGTGTGACGATGTTTAAGCGGGTAAAAGTTTATTGGAATAAGAAATGACTGGGTTTTTGTGGTCGCTGTTGGTTCTCACAGAGAGCAAAAAGAAAAAAATAAAGATAACGGTGAATATCACTTGTAAGAATATGAATAAATGTCAAACTTTCATATACAAACATGGTTATAAGCGATTCCTTAGACAAGCCTTTTATCAGCGAACCCTGAGAAAGCCTCGGAGAATTGTTTATAGTGGTTACAAATCAATTGAAGTACAATTTTATTATGCAATAAAAAACGGAAGAGGGGGGAATGATTTGGGGGGTACTTGAAACGGGAGATCAATTTCTCTACAAAGATTCTTTGGGTTTATGAGCGGAAATAAAAGAAGAAGGCTTTTTCACAAGTGAAGCGCGAGGGGCGCGTAAAGGAAACGTCTTTTTTGGATTCTTCAAGTCGAGTAATAAGATACCTGAAGGAGACATGCTCGGTATCTCTTCTTTTACATTCTTTTGTTCCTTTTGTTGTTGAGTAGATCGTTGAAGTTTAGCTCTCAAGGCTTCAATGACCTTGTTGTGGTTCAAAGGTAGTGGCTCTTCTGGAGGAGTATCTTTATTGTTTTGCTGTTGTTCTTGTGGATGTACTTGAGATGAACGATTCTTTTTAGACAACACTTTTATCGATGGTTTCCTTGTTGATCTCGTTCTAGATAACGTTCTCTTACATGAAGCCCTTGCTTCTTGTTTCTCTTCATTTATCTCACACTTCTTTTCTTGCTGTAGTTGTTGTTGTTGTTCATCTTTATTGTTTTCATTAAAATTATTATTATTATTACTACTACTGCTATTATTATGAATGGTAGTCACCAGGCTTGAACTAGAGCTATTGTGTGGAAGTATATCTGGGGAAGAAGGAGCGGATAGATTCAAATCAGCAAATGGTACTTCAAACAGGGTATATGGTGACAATGGCTGTTGTAACTGAGGAGAAGGGGGCGTATTATTCAGAAAGGGTGATAGTAAATCGCTTTGAGGTGGATAAGATGACAGCCAATCATTTGATGATATACCTTGTGATCAAATGAATATTTATTATAAATATCTGAGTTTTCTCATGTTTACCTCCAAGTGAAGCATCATCAATAACAGATGATGCACGACGGTTTTGGTCCAACTGTAAATCAATAAACTTTGACTGTAGCCTGGCTTCCTCTGCTCTTCTCAGTTCTTCAGCACCTCTTCTCTATATATATTTAATCTATGTTAGTTTACTATTACTTGTATATACACACACATACTTTATCTTCTTCTGCTTTTGCTGTTAATATATGCTTTAATAAATCTGTATCATGTTTATATAATTCAAGTATCTCCCCAACTGTGATATCACCAATGGATTTTTTGGTTATTAAACCATTACTGTTATTATCAATCAACATTTATAAAAAAAAAAAAGATGATTTATTTTGACAGCTTTCAAGGGGAAAGAAGAGAGAGAAAGAAAGTAATAGAGAAAAGAAAAAATAGGGAAAAAAAGGATTCAAAGGACTCTTTATTTATACAAATCAAACTCCCCCTCTCATCTGTCTTTCTCTCTCTACCTTTCTGGAAAATCACCGCCCTTTAATGTGGAACATAACAAAGTCACTCTTTTTTTTTTTTTCTTTTTCATTAAGGGATCGGAATGACCAGTCAAGCATTAAGAGAACCATTAGCTTATCTGTCTCAATTGTTTGGTAGGATCACTCTCTTTTTTTACCTCTTTTTTTTGTTGATTATAAAAGAATAGAACAACATTTGAAAAATGACTCGGACGCAACTACATTTGATCCTTCAGCTTCATTTCTTGACATGTTGAATGAACATAAAGATCAAGTAAAGTTTTTTTATATCTTTACATATATAATTATCAGCTCATTCTTTGTTATTTTAAGATCATTTCTATAAATGATGTACCTGTGCAACAAGTACCTAAAAATACTTTGGTCCGCTTTCGTTGCATGATTCAAGATACGGGCCTAGGACAAGAGATGTTTCTTTCTGCGTACGAAGTAAGAAATCAAGATGGATCAACACGACTGGAATCTTCAAAGTATAATGATGAACCCATCTCTGTTGATGTAAGTTGTCATATTTAAATTACTTTGACCTTAATCATTTATACATTATTATAGATGAGTGAAGACCTTCTTTATAGTCAACATCTATCTGAGCGTACACTTGTCTATTGTGTCTCTCCCCCTGGTGAGACAGAGTGGTCAAGAGAAGCGCACGATATCTATAAAGGTAAGGATCATGTTTACTGAACACATGACCCCCCTTTTGTAATTCTTTGTTTTCTTTTAGGTTCTCTGGAAGATCAATTGAGCCGACTAGGTATCCATGAGAATAAGAGTAGCATAAAAGATAAATATCCTTTACCCGGAAAACAACATACATCAGCCATAGTCAAATTCTACAACGACATGAGCGAAACGTTACGCATCGGGCAGTTGGTCGAAGTCATTGGTATTCGAGGACAAAATATTCCAGAAATAGAGACAGACGAAAGTAGCTTTGGTCTTGCCTCTGTCCTGTCTGGATTTCCCAATACAGCTGTAATCCATGCCATTGCTTATAACAGCCTGGATCAAGCTACTCCTTTACATGAGGATCTGCCTGATGGATCAATTGAAACAATTCGTGCCGAACTGATAGACTATATCGCATCTGTCTTGGGTGGAGATAAACTAGCAGCTGAATTTGTCTTGCTTCAATTATTGTCTAGAGTGTAACACTAAATATTTATGTGACGCATTCATTACTTATATGTATATTACAATAGAACAATGAAGAACAGAGGATTAAAAATCGGCCATATCACGATCAACATCAATGGTCTACCATCTTATAGAACAATTCATGAGAATGAGTCACCTCTATTTGGTGTAAGCAATCCTGTGACTAAACCACTGTCAGATCTATTGAACAGCCTCAACATGCATTCAGTCACTTTACCCTTAACCATCGACGGACTCAATCAATCTAGATTCTCACCCAAGAGTATCAATGAAAACTTACAGTCTGGTGTACTCCAATTGGTTGATGGTACTGTGCTTTTGGTAGATGAAACCGTCTTGGACGAAGGTCAACTGAAGGATACAGGTGTTCGTAACTTCCAAGCCCTTCAGAATGTCATTCAAAATCAATTGTTGAGCTACGAGTTCCCTTACAGCCAATATAACTTTGATACAGATATTAGTCTGTTATCCATCTCTACAAACAATTCAATCTTATCTGTAAGTCAGCTTTATATATATATTTCTTGATTATTAACTCTATATAAATTTGTAGAACCATTGCTCTGTGCGAATCCAACCTCTTTATCCTCTAGAAGATTCTGAACAGAGTATGTTAAAGTTACCAAAGGACAAGCTGAACCAATTTAGGAAATTCATTCATTCTGCCAAATATGGTGACTATGATATTCCTGCTTCTGTATCTGAGGTAAGGAGTAGTAAAACAAAGTGTATATGAAAGCTAATAGAGAATGTAAGTATATTCAAAATGCATTTGTGGAAGAAAGAAAGAAGGCATCAGAAACAGGCGATGATATGCCCATGCAAGAAGATTTGATGCTACACATGAACTTGGCTAGACTTGTGACAGCCTCGTTTGGAGAGAATGAGCTTTCTAAGGAAAGATTTGAATATACTGTACAGTTGGATAAACAGCGTAAATCAAGAATGAAAAAGCAAGTCAATAAGGACACTATGTACATGAACAAGTAGATTATACATATCATTTTTATGTATTGCAATAAATATTAGAAATAAAATAATTACAAAAGAATCATTTTTAAAAAAGAGGAGGTTGATAAAGAAGAAGCGTAGTTATCCTTTAAATGAAAAAACCCAAGTTTTTGGGTTGTTGTTGTTGTTGTTGTTGTTGTCTGATTATACATGTATATAAATGATCCCCTTTATATGTATCTGCATGTTCCCTGTATTTATTACGCTGTTATTGTGCATGAATAAAAGTATAATGAAAACATAGTTATTTTTATCATTATTATTATTAAAATGAGAATATCAACCAACAGTTATCTTTTTCTTTTTCTTTTTCCTCTTTCTTTTTTATGAATCTATTGAAGCCTATAAAGACATTCAACAATACTTCTTCCACAAATGATATCAGCTATATTGAACGCGATGTAAACTATTTAAATCAACAGCAACGTATAATGAATCACTCTGGATTGATAAAGAAAAATAACAACCACCTTCTTGATAAACTCCTAAGTAAATAAATATTATTTATTTAAAGAAAATAAGAGTTGATATATGACTACGTAGAGCTTTTTAAAAACAAACAAAACAACGAGGACATGGTCATCTCTTGGCCATTTGATGCCATTCATAAAACACATTTTCATTTGGATACAGCCACAGGTGAACTATCTTTGGGAACAGCTGCTGATTGGAAAAGCAAGTGTTGGACCTTGCTTATGATAAATAATACTTACCTCCCCATTGCTTATATAGATAATCTTAATAGCGATCATTTGCTCTCAACATTCATAAAGCGAGCTTATGCCGAGTTTGAAAAGTGTAATGTGCTGATACCTCCTCCTATGCGACGTAAAAATTTGACAACTGCTGAAGCATCAGAGATACTCTGTAAGATCTGTAAACAAAAGGATCCATATCAATTATATAAAAGGATGGTCAAGATTGGTGAAGGGTACAACCTAAAAAGATCAATAATTATTTGCATCTAACATCTCATTATAAAGCGCATCTGGTAATGTCTATAAAGCAATATCAGTTCATGATGACCGTACAGTGGCAATAAAACATATCAAACTTCGACGTCAAGCCAGAAAGGACTTAATTATTGAGGAAGTGCGTATAGGTAAAGAAGAACCAACCCATGAAAACCTAGTGAAGCATATCGATACTTTCTTTTGGAGAAAGAATGTTTGGATTGTGATGGAATACATGGAAGGTGGCAGTCTGACAGATATAGTAACACACAACTATTTAACAGAGGCAGAAATTGCTGCCATCTGTCTTGAAGTGTTAAAAGCACTGGCATATTTACATTCAAAAGGTGTTATACACAGAGACATCAAGAGTGATAACATACTGATTGGCCTTCATGGCCAAGTGAAGCTTTGTAAGTTCCTCTTGTTTAGTGGTATATTTATTTATTTATTCTGTTAGCCGATTTTGGATATTGTGCTCATCTGGACAAGCCATATTCAAAACGAACAACGCTTGCTGGTACTTTATGCTGGGTAAGAGCCGCAGTTTGTGCTTTGGGCAGCTGATTCTTTTATATTAATAATGGCTTCTTCATAGATGGCACCCGAAATAGTTCAAAATAAAGAATATGGCCCTACAGTTGATATTTGGTCTTTGGGTATTACTGCTATTGAGATGATCGAGGGTTCTCCTCCTCATCTAGATGATCCTCAACAAGCCATCGAACTATTAAAAACAAAGAATGTTCCGCCTGCATTAAAGAATCCTGACCAGTTGTCTTCTACCTTTCGTGACTTTTTAAGCCAGTGTCTTCAGTTTAAAGCCGAGAATAGACCGACAGCTCATGATCTATTACAACATCCTTTCCTGTCAAAAGCCGCTCCTCTTGACTCGTTAAGGCCGCTCATAGAATCGACCAGAAAGCGTATTGTATCGAGTACTTTTTCTTTGTAACAAAGCATTAAAGTTTTTTTTCTTTTCTTTTAAATTTTCTCTCTTTTTCTTTGTCTTTATATTTATTTGACGCATATGCCAACTTCTAATGTTCAATCGGTAAATTAGTCTCTTTCTCTCTTTTTTCTCTCCCATTTAACAGATCTATATTTCTTTGTTTTACATAGTTTAACGATTTAGAACTTTCTCAAGGTTATCATCTCCTAACAGAATCTTCTCATCCCATCACTGTCAATACACCTACAGTATCACCTGATCGTACTCACCTTTACCCCAGGTTAGCAGGATCTAACTGGACAAGCTACTTGACACGATCAAGCGTCATCATTGGCCGTTCAGGCGCCAACGGAAAAACACGCCCAGATATTGATTTTGGTAATGCCACCAAGGCCGTATCGCGTAAACACTGTGAGATTCGATACAGCCACAGACGTGAGCGGTGGGAGCTTATCGTCTTTAGTCGGAATGGAGTAATTGTCAATCGATTGATGAAGAAACCAAAGGACAGACCGGTCGTTTTACAAACTGGCGCATTGATTGAGATAAACCATACACGATTTGTGTTTATTTTGCCAAATCAAGCATTGAAGCCTATTGATGAGAATACCCATAGTACACAAGAATCATCGCCTTCGATCAAGGCGGTCACACCGACAGCAGATGAGCTCTCAGAGGAAGGCGCAACGCCAGATGCAGCAGATGATACAGTAGCTGTACTAGACCAAGAACTGGAGTCTGCTGTGATTCAGCTATTTGAAAAATACAAGTCATTGTCGACAAAAGAAATTCTAAAAGAACTAGAATCTGTGTACACTAAAAAGCCCATAGAGAAGGTAGTTATGAACAATAAAAACCAAAAGTATAATAATAACCATACAATAGAATAATATCATGCATCTACTCGTACTCAGTCCTCGGTTTAGTCTAGCGCCGACATCCATCAATATGTCATCAAAGAATTCAGATTGTGCAAAGTGGGTACTTATACCTAATGATACCTCAACTACATCCACACCACCAACCCCTCATGCATGCATATCCAAATCTTTTGATGAAGACGATGATCATCTTGATTGGATGCCAAGCACTCCTCTTGACCATCAATCTCAACCAGAAATGATACAGTCAACACCGTCCATTGGAAGCGTTCCATTCAAGAGTATGCCTTTGGAACACATCTATTCCATCTGGACAAGGTCATCCTCTTTTCTACAAGAAGCTGAACATGAAGAAAGACCGAATAAACGACCCAAGAACAACCATGACCAAGGTATATATAAAAAAAAATAGTTCAAAGCTTGATATTTATTTTAAAATAATAGACATATTCAAGCAAGTTCGTACCAGCATCCTTTAATTTATTTATACATGTCCCATCACTACAGTAAATCTTAATGTTGATCCATTTTGACCATGATTGCTTGTTTTTTGAATATGAGTCGTGTTTATAGATTTGGTAGCCTTGATTTCAAATATACTGTTTTGTTGAGTTGAGGGTGACTGAGGTGGAGGTGGTACGAACGTTTTGCTGGTATCATTCAAATCTATCTCTGGAATATTTGACGAATCTTCTTCAGCGCATAATGTCGTACTTCTCCAACCCTAGCATAGAATCAATCACTGTGTCTGTAAAACGTTCTCAAACTTTACCCAACTTTGCAACACAGAAAAATTATCGGGACTACTTTGGAAAAGGGTGAGTGCGTGTTTTGGTCCTCTTGAAGGACAATAGATTTTGAACCAAGTCTTTACAACCTTTCTTTTATCAGAGTACCGAGAAAACGAGTAAGGCCCCTGTGGCTCTTCTTGGCTGGGTATAGACTGACGATGCAAATAAACACCGAGTTGAAGTACTCCTTTTCTTTGAGAGCGTGTCTTTTGAATGTACATGTTCCAATTAGACCTAACAAGTGGATTATTATTATTGTTATTATACGTTTTTTCTATCTTTTAATGACCATATCATTTTACCCAGCATAAAATATCGAGTCTGAATACACCCTCGTACCATGCTTTAAAGAGGTAACATCTGCAAATTCTACACTAAAGCGAAAAGGAGGATACATGGAATATTCTTGCTTGAGAGAAGTTGATTTTTTTGCAGTAGCAATTGCGCTAGGCTCACCGGTATAAGTTGTGGTATCATCAACGGGTATAGGGTAGTTGTTAATCGTTTGTTCTTCTTGATCCATGGTTGGAGACCGAGTCGTAATATTGATCCCAACATCTTTGTCATTAGCAGCCTCAATCTTTGAACGTAACTGAACTTGTAACCACAGAGCTTCCTTCAGGATGTGTTCATGCACGAGTGGATTTTTTGTGAATGGATGGATATCATGCCTTATAGCCTGAAGCTGCTCAAATGTCATGTGCATATAGTGGATTGATTTACGCAAGATATGGGATGGGTCATCAATGACAGTATCTGGATTCTTTTGTGATAATTCATATTGCGCTTGAATTATCTGTTGTATAAACTGGTATCTCTCGTACTCGCTGCATTACATCACATGAGGAAGGTACGATTAAATTATTGCATATATTAAAACTCACCTTGGGACCCAAAATGCATCACTCTCAACCACCTTCTCTAACCAATTTAACGGTAATATGGCTAGTATATGTCGATCCATATTGTAAGCTTCTCGACAAAGAAAAGTAAAAGCAGCATCAAAAATGCGATCAGCACCCTTGACCATGTGTTCATCTGCAAACAAGAGATAGTCGATCACATTTTGTTGATTCAAGATCTTTAATATGTACTCTACACAGAGATGACACACCTCCATCACCTGAAAATAAGAGCATGTCGCTAATATCTGCCGTACGTTGTCCTTGCTTATCTGTGGTTCTTCAATCTTTCCATACAAGTACTCGAGAACGAATTGAAATGACTGAGTATTAATAAAAGAATGCTCTTCAAGATACAATGTCACCTCGTTCGCATCAGATTCCCGAAACCCACCAGCCAGCAGCAGCTTAAAGTATGGATTTTGATCTAGAATAAGTCGATGAAGACGATAAGATCGGCCAAAAGCACGGATAGTCAAGTCACTGCCTATGCCCTCTTCCAGTCCTCGAGTGATGATATGTCGACATAGCAAAAGAGAATGTATACGCCAGTCGTATTTTGACATCTGCTTTGAGTACTCTGTGATCGTAGGTGCTGTAGTATCAAGCGAGGTATTTATGACTGACCAAGAGTGATCAGTTACCTTGGTTGTGGATCTAAAGGATCGCTCAAGCAAAATGTCATTTCGAAGTGAATCTCTTATAGGCAGCGACTGTACTATTCTTTCTTCATTTCTATCTTCCATATCTTTAGGATGACAAAGCAGAGAAAAAGAAAAACTGGAGAAAAGGTGATTAAAATCATGCTTAAAAATACACAGAGGGGCCACGTGATCGATATAGCATAGCAAAACAAAAGGGGGGAGATGATGAAACTTGTTGAATTTATTGCTTTTTCAATTCTTTCAATTCTTTTCTTAATTGTTCATTTTCTTTTAAAAGTTGTGCATTTTCACGTAATGTACATTGTATTAATTTCTCCAAGTGCTCCTATGATCAATAATGAGTCCCTTTAACGTAAAAATTCAGTAATAGCCCACAACTTACCACTGTTGAAGAAAGTTCTTCGGACATAGGCGTCTTTACATTACTGTTGCTGCTATAACTTTTTTGCACACAGTTAGTAAAGCATATACATGAGAATGTATAGATTTTTTACCTTGGCTCTGGTGCGATATTAATTGCTTTTCGATGCTGAAACGCTAAACTTAGATCTTGTAAAAGAGATCGCTGAGATTCATTGTATCGAAGTAGTTCCTCGATTTGTGATTGTATATGCATGACATCGTGTTCCATGACTGTATTATTAGAGGATACGCTTCCTCTTGGTGTCGTAGCAGCATCATTGCTTGAGGTCAATTCAAATCTACCAATCTTTCTTGAGGATTCAGTTAAAAGCGCAATGTTTTCCGAAGTCAATAAATCTTTAGGCTCGCTCGTAGGGTATCTGGTAATTAAGTTCGATCTAGAGTGGTTAGAGTTACCTGCTGATGAATAAGAACTGTCTCGTGAAAGTGGAACGGGCTGATAAATCATAGGCGAACCAGGTACACTGCTATGCTGGATTTCAAACCTAGATTTACGATCAGCAGCTAGAGAGGTAATGGGATGTGAGCAAAGCACAAGTAACCAAGATATTCTTACTCAAAAGATCTTGACTTGCGACTTTGTGAAGTGATTGAGAATCTTCAAATTGGGGCGATTCAGTCACAATGGTCGGAGCACTCTTGGGGTGATTCACATAGAATCGTCCCTTAACAATTTCACTATCCTAAACCAAAACGTTCTGTTATTGTTCAAGATAAACAAGATATCAACGTACTGAAGGATGGTCAGCATCTTTATCTTCAGGCATAGGGCTTGACGATCGAACAGATGAACTGTAAGTATCCGTATGATCTCGCACAGTTTCTTCTATCACAAAGCGAGATTTTCTTGGTGGGGTAGAAGATATGCTTGTGCTGCTTGATTCAGCTGGGTGAATATTGGTACTATTAGTGCGAATAACAACGTCACCAAATGATATATGTCGCTTGGGTGTACTCATCTTTTGTTTCTGGCTTTGAGTATTTGGCTGAGAAGACTCTGTATTATTTTGGTCTATTGCCTCGTTATCCTCATCGTGATGATTTTCATCCCCAAAATCCCACGCATCATCTATTTTTGTAATCGTGATCTGTTTTTGTGGTATCTTTTTACGTGGCCTTTGCTCCAGTGGTGGTAGCTCTGTTAATATAGCCTTGACAAGGTATTCTTTCTTTTTAGCTTGTTTAAAAAATGAATGTTGAATCAGTTTTTCAGCTGTGGGTCTCTTGTTGGGATCCTTCACAAGGCAGCTATCAATCATGTCCTTGAAGGCCTTGGAGTATTTGTGCATCGTTGTTTCTCTTTCTAACGTGGGAGGGTCATTGGAAAGAGTCATCATGAGAACCTATGCTTTGGGTCAGTCAATGTGATGAAGCACTTTATTTATTACCTTTAAAGGAGGATACTTTGCAAATGGAGCATGTCCCGTTGCCAATTCAATAGCCGTGATACCAAAGCTCCAGATGTCGGCCTTATAATCATACTCAGCCTGCTCCATCACTTCAGGGGCCATCCAACAAGGCGTACCTACAAATGTCTTTCGCATACCCTTCTCACCTGATTCCATAAGAGATGACGATACGCCAAAATCACCCAGCAAGACGGTACCGTCTTCGTCCATGAGCAGATTACCTGCCTTAACATCTCGATGGATGTGGCCATTTTTATGCAAGTAAATCAAGGCTTCTAATGCCTGTTTCAAGATGGTGGCAATGCTCAATTCATCTAGTCCTTCTGGAAATCGAGTTTTCATGATATCCAAACATGATCCACCTGACAGATAAGGTGTTACAATATACAGTTTTGAACCATGAACAAATGATCCATACACTCGTAACACATTTGGGTGTTTACATAGCGCCATCAAAGCTGTTTCACGCTATAAATACATGCTCATATGTAAACGTTATTTTATATCTGTGGTCTATTCTCTTACTCGAAGTTCGTCGATTTGGTTTCGTTCAAACTTGTCAAGATCAATCATTTTCAAAGCCATAGGTTTGTTTGAAGGTTTATAGATAGCTTTATAGACAATAGCAGATGACCCATAGCCTAACCGAAAAATAAAAAGTGTCAGGTACGACCTTATCTTTATTCTTGCAAGGACTGCTTTACCGATGGGTTCTTTAATATCAAAATCGTCAATCTGATCAGCAATGTGATGTTCAGTTACCGGTGTATGAGCCGAAGAAGGTATAGGTGAAGGTGGTATATCGTTGGTTGATGTGCTAGTGATGATCTTTAAACCATTTAGAAAATCTATGCCACTAATAGATTTCCTAGAGCTATGAGTGCCCAACAGTATCGGCTTAGAAGGTTTTTCATCAGTAGAAGAGGTATTTGTATCAACACGCTCCATGCTGTAAGATAGAATGACTAGAAGAAAAAGAAAAAACGCTTGCTCCCCCTTCTCAAAGTGACGTAATGAGGTGGTGTGCCACGAGGTAATATGAAAAAGTTTGATGAACTTTCTGCACCTGTTGTTATTTTTTTATATTTTTTTTGTGTGTTCGCGTCAATTTATTTCAAAGACACCGGTCATTCTCCGCTATCTTGATCAAAGTGAGTTGGCTTGTTCACATGGTATTTTATTCCTATTTTCAACTGATGACTGATATATGTCATGCTTTGAAGACTGTTTGGAAAAAAAAAGAAAGAAAGGGAAGATAAGCTTATGCGTGACTCATTAACAAACATATAAAAGACATTCAAGGGCTATTTTGTTTTTGTTTTTTTGCTTTGTTTTGAACATGCAACAGCCAATAAGAAAATAGTTCGCTTGCACATAAATAAACTTTTTCTTTTTTTTTCTCTTTTCTTCTTTTTCTTTTTCCTTTTTCCTTATTACGCCTACTCAACCAAAACAACGCTCGCTTCTATGTTCGGTCGCAAGTCAATTCACGGTATCCGGAAGGCGCACCACGCACTTTGCCCCACACTGTAACCTAGCACTTCCTTGTTGGTGATTCAAGAGGAAGCAGGATACTGGAGTTTGCCACGGAAGGGATGCCATGGATCTCCTAGTGATTAAAAAGCACGCTCTGTATTCTGTGGGGATCGTGCCCTCTAAGTGTGGCTACTTGAAAAAATGCTTATGCTGTTGCTAGGCGGTATCGAACCAAAAGCTATTTTGGGTAGTTTAATGCGTGCTGAAGCGCGAGTCGCGCGGCGGTTGTTTAGGGGTAAGGCTTAGGGGGACGGGATGGCCTTTTCTTTCTAGACTGGTTTGATCAGTTGTCTGGCCTGGATCACAGACGCTGCGAAACTGTCTCCCTTTGTAGATCAAATGAATATAAACGAAAAATGAAACGAAAATAATAACTTTAAAGTGCTGCTTGTTAATAATTTAGTGTACTTTCTCTTTTTTTCTTTTCTTTAATAAAGTTGGCATATTTTTTTTATTTTTATTTTTTCCCATGTGCTTATTTGTTTACTTAAAAAAAGCTAAGCCCAACTAATGCATGAAAAAAAAAAGTCAACATTCATTAAACGCATGCACTATGTAAAGCACTCCCACTGTGGTTATTTCTTTTATCACGCGAAATGACTGATATCGTTGGTAAGTTACAAAAGTCTTGTTTACGCATATTCAACAAGATTACGTCAGACATTATAAAACCAATGTGTTAGGAAAAGGGTAAAAGAGAAGGCTGTTTCTTAAATCTAGTTGACTGTGGAAGCACTTGTAATTATGCATGAGTCATTTGTTGACTTTACTTTCCCTTCTCTTAAAAAAAAATAAGCATGTTTGTCATTTGTGTGTACAACTTTTAAAAATGGGCTAGTGTCACTCAATGCCAAACTATCTTTCTCTTTGTAACACTAGCTTGAGGAATAAAGTTTTCACAGTGATAGAAATATTTTGTCAGAAGGCGTATTGAACGTAAGACATGAGGGCGTTTGATATTATTATTGCACTATCTTCTTCAAAATATATCATTTCGTTGGCTTTTGTTGATAAGGAAAATTGATACTATTACAGTAGATCAAGCTTAGAGTTTGTGTATCCACGTAGTTAATTAGCAACAGCCAGAGATGAGCAAAATGCTCATAACGTGTATATAAAGTACAAATCAAAGACATATAGATGATTCCTTTATTATAAAGAAGCTAGACCTAAGTATAACCAGACGTAGTCTAATAGCAGCACTTGGGGTTGTTAACGCATCCTGCACATCTACCACTGTCACGGGTAGGTTCGGGATTGGGAGCAGCAGAGGTGTATGTAGCCAAGGTGACAAGAACAGCAGCAATGAGGAGTTGGAACTTCATTAGAGTATGATTGACTTTAGTTTTGAATGACAAGTAGAAAAAAAAATGATCCAAGTATTTATACGAAGAGAAGATTGATGAAGCTTCTAGTAAATACTGATGGACACATGACGCATTACTACGTTTGTTGCATTTTTCCTTCAACTCCTTTTCTTAATCAAGAGAAAATCCCCTAGGATGGAAATCATGGAGAGTTTGCGAAGGACCGAGTGTGATACCAGGGTAGTGCATTTAAACATTCTGTACAATGGTAATCAACTCAAATGATAAAGTATTTTGCCAAATAGCTTTTAGCTCTTATTATATTCGTGACACATATATATTCAGAATGTTTTAGACAGATTGGCACTAAGAAACTATATGTAAAGTATTCATTAATCAAAGAAAGCTCCTTCAAAAAACAAAACATTACTGATCATTCACTTGTCTCTTTTATCTGTAACTACCTTCAATTTCTGTGTATAACGCGTCTATTGAGAAGAAAGTGCTGTATGTAGGCAGAATTTTGCTCCACTAGTGATGTAACCATGAAATTAGCTCAACATATTGACACCATATGATGAATGCCACAGTTCTACATGAAATCTAGCGTCAAAGTGTTCAGCTGGTCAAATTCATAAGACTTCATGAGTCTATAGCAAAACTGTTGCCTAAAAGAGCTTTCGTACTTGTAAGCTATATTTTTACGCGGTTTTATTACTGTTGTGGGTATTTTATATTTGAATGTAACAAAGAATCTGTTTTTTTTTTTTTTTATATTTTTACAAAGTCCCTAATTTCCAGAATTACCACTGTCTTCTTCATTCCCGGGCAGTTTTTAATGCGGGTACCAATGACCTTCACAGTAGACTCTCGATTGCGGAATACAGCAATACGTACTATTCGCGATATCGGAATACCATTTTCGAAGGACTTCACAGCCACTGCTTTAAATTTCCTGCGATATTCGCCTGGATTGTCAATACATAAACTTTATTGCGGAATATCTTGATTATGAAGTGTCATTTGTGCTTCCAATAGGTATTCCGTAATCGAGAGTCTACTGTAAGTTCCCACTGATTCGTGTTTTCTCTAAGAGAACGAAAGCAAGGCTTATGAACAATACAAATATGCATATCAAAGTTAAAGTCAATGTAGAATTATGCACGTACCTTTCTTATTTAGACATTTTGCTAAGATTTCCTATAGTACTATTGTTTGTAAAGAGACACCTATATAAGCAAAAGGCTACAAAACACATCTGAAAGCGGGACTCTTTGCATGGCGTTATGGTACACCTAGCATCTGAAATGATATCCCAAGCTTCTCCAAAGTCCAATTATCTGTAATGTAAAATAGGCTATTTGAGATTGATACTTGGAGAGTAAAATGTAACTATGGATCCCTTTTTTTGTGGTTTTTTGACTTTTTAGTGCGCTAGTGGTACTCTTTGAAAACATGTTCATGCTGTAAGACAATAGCTGCTTTGAAAGGCTCTGGCGTACGCTGCTTACAGAAAACAGCTATCATGGATATCATTGCTTTGTCTCTTCTGGTTCCAAAAGCGAGACGTACGCAGAAGAAGAAAAAGAAGAACTCGGTACATCCAAGCGCGTTTGAGCATTTTGAGCACTTTGATTATTCTGGTGCGATTTTTCGTGTAGAGCCGTGGCATTCGTCATATGTTGTCAAGAAGATGACCCAATGACATGATTATATTTATTAGAGAATTGCTCTTAATATAAAAAAACGCGTACCTTTCGTATTTTCTCTCTTCAATCAACCAGTTTACCTCAGATCAGATGAATACATAGCATAACACTATATATTGTCCGTATATACCACCACGTTCACAAGATATTAAGTAATCAAGAAAGCAAGGAAAACCAAACTATATGGCGCAATTATTCCCTTTTTGTTCCCTGAGGCCGTCATTTAAATGGTAATTTGTAACCATAACGCAAATATACTCTCATACTTTGCTGGTAAGCCTACACAAAACAGCCATGAAGCTAAGCTTAATATGCTCAATACCATCTTTGACTTGTCAAGTTTAAAGATAAACAGGTATTTATTAATGAGTCACATGCGCATGTATATATCTAAGGGCTAATAGTAGCTCATAGTGAATATAGCTTTGAAGATTTACGTGAACCAGCTAAAAAAAAAAAAAAAAAAAATATTCGCTAAACTTCCATGGCATCCTTTGTGAATGTGGGATTACTTTGACAACATAACACAAATGCTTCAAAAAACATATTCAAGATCGCCAATAGTATCTTTTGTGGATGTAGCAGACCACATACATTTCGTCGCGATATAAATTGCCATATGGAGAACACAGTTCTCTTCGTGGAATTTAGATATTTACGACTAGTACTTGGAATATATAAGTATTGGTTATGCTATTATCCCTTTTTTCTTCACTGTATTCCGAATAAAGATACACTCAGTCCCATCGTACTTTCTACTTTGTCTAAATCTACTACAAAACCAAATACAACAATTGCACCTAATGAAATATTGAATTAGACTTATAATAGCCTGACATCCTTGCAGCGCACCACTGCCAAGCTCCCTACCAAACCTTTTGCCAAATTTCAAACTATTCACAAAAGGATTAAAGCTCTCAAATATGTACACGTGCAGTATGAAGTAGAGCCTGTTATTACTCTTGGTAGATATGCAAAGTCAGCTTCAACCAATCCCGAAAAATATAGAGAAATTTGTTCAGAAAACGGAGAGAACAACGAGGAACAAGGAGACGGTGATGAACAAGTGATGAACAATGAACAGCAGAGTGATAAACAAGAACACGAAGAGAATAAGTAGGAGATGCACTATTTTTCAACTAGTTGCGTGTAATGGCCAAAAAAGGACCCTTGAAGGTACCATACCACTTTCTGACTCATTATACATGCCTAAAAGGGAAGGATTGTCATCCTTTCTGCTAAACAAGGCAGCTAGGTTACTACTCTAATAAAAAATGGACTGTGAAGACATGGAATTAGTGAAGCTGTGCTTGCCGCCCAACATCAATTTCATAAAGCGTATGCACCAGAAAATAAACTAAATAATGTAAATACGAATTTATAGTAATTACATGTGATTGATCGAACTGACAACATAAAGTTAAAATAAAGTAATGGCAACATTATCTTTTATATCCTTCTTCTTCTTGAAAAGAAATACAAGCCGATATGGCGACTATATAAAATCATGCTTAGCTGACGCGACACATTAAAAAGTATTGGTGATAACGTCATAGTTAGTAAGTAAAGGTAGCGCCCATAGTATTCGTCTAACTTCTGGTGCATGTAGTAACTACAGAGAGAAATGTGCAGATGAATTCGATATGACAGCATATAAAGAGATTATGGACGAATGCAAAAAACTTAGAACATTACTACCAAGCTCAATTACTGTAAAAATTGTCAGTCTTTTCGACGGCCTATTGGAATATCGTTTTGATAAAAATACTAATAAAATATTACAGCACTTTGACGATCAAAAAGCTGCTGAATTAGACAAATCCTCTGAACATTACAAATTGCTGCACACTGTGCAGCAAGCGGTTTTCAATTTTAAATTCTGGACGAAGGAGTCTGATGAAGTAATGGGTGCTGTTGAAGAGCAACAAAAATATACGGCGGCAGATATTTCTACTTCCCATTGCAATTAAATTGTCTATAACCCACCACGGTCACCAAAACCTATGCTTGCACCCTTTTTTCACGCCAGTAAGACCTAATAAAAGGAAAACACCTCATGAATATAACCGGGATGAAGACAAGAAGTAGGCGTTGCATCAGCCAAATGTAATTACATTATAATTCTTTTCTATTAGTCAAATAAAACGAGATATTTTTTTTTGGGTAAGAAAGTGAATCCCAAGATAATTCTGAAACCATATCAGATAATACATTTAGATATATGTATAAGCATTATATTCTAATTTTATATAAGAAAAGCTCTTGGAGATCAGATTATCCTTGACTGTGTGCTATAGCACAAAGCTCTTTTGGGTTAATGCAGCCGGGACAATGATGGCATGAATACTATACTGTATTTTTATTAATTATTGACGTTAATTTTATAAAATATTTTCGTAAAAAGACGACAAAGAAAAATACGTTTGAATAAAACAACATCATGTCAAAAAAGAGAGAGATAATGAGTATATGTAGAAGAAGAGAGAAAAAGTATGTTAGTATTAGAGCACATATCCTAATATTAGTTTTACTTACCACCAAGGTGCATTCTGGGGAGGGTGGCGATAACTACCCAGGAAAGTTTAAAAAAAAAAAAAAAAAGAACAGAGGACAGAGAGAACCCAGGGCGTCAGAAGAGACTAGTAGGGAACGTTCTAGATACACGCCAGAGAGCAAAGAGGGCGGGACAAGCGAGTCAGAGCAAGGACCATGAGAACAGGCTAGTTTTGATTTGTGAATCTTTGAACACTCAGAGGGACATTTGATAACTGCTGTAAAGAAGCAAAAAAAGGACTCGATTAAAATGGGTTTCTATATGTTTTTCTTTTTCAAACAAGCTTCAGGATCAGGTACCTGGAACAAAGAAATCATATCAAATAGGAGAAATCTACATGGTGATTATTCAAGGATATGCATTGCCAAATATGACTATATAGAAAAACCGAATAAAGAACTTAAACTTTTACAAAGAGACTAAAGAGGGGCTATTTCCAATATTAACTCCAAGACAGCTCACCTGCTAATATTACTGTCAAATGGGATAGTGAGCCATATTCTTTTTGTATTTGTTATTATTACAACGGTTTCAATACGACATCTAAATTTGGAAATATAGTATATCGATGAATGTCAAGGCTGATACTACAAAAATATTCTTGACGACGACGAATTTACATTTCGCACAGCATGAATTTTATTCTCACCATTGGGTATATTTATTTTCGATCACAGGCGAATTTACTTTCCGGAAAGAGTGTATAACACTTGGGACATAAGGGATATATATACGCTTAATATAATAATTATATTAAGCGTAACAAAACCTCTTCATTCTTTGCTTCTGTAATAATATCTACAGACCTGCAACATACTCACAATGAAGATTAAGACTAACAGCAATTCAATAAACGCAATCATGATATAAAAATTAATTTGTGGCATTAGTCAACCTGTACTCGGAATGGCGTTCATCCCACATAATGGGCATTAGATAAAGATATTAAACATGACGAATGCTTATCTGATAACGAAGTAGAACAAGGCCTTTTGTTAACCATCTAGTTTCTTTATATCCCACATATATATATACAACATATACCCTCCTTTTCTCTTTATATCTTTCATTCATTCACTTACTTTTGTACAGCATAAATACAAGCATAAACGTTATTGAAATATACCTTCTTTTTTTTATTTTTTGATCATCTTTTGCTCAGCAAGTGATCTCGGTTCATGACAGATAATAAATGTTCCCAAAACACCAGCATCCGCTAATGCTTTTTCCATCCACTGAATAGCCGTCAATGTGGTCATTTGATAATAGTGACCACTTCCAAACACGATAGCATGAAACTCGGAAAACCGAGTACGAATTTTTCTTCCATTATTTAATTTAGACTTTTGTGGAGGGAGTTCGAGTAACTGAAAGAATTCGGTTGAAGGCGCATCCTGGATGATGTGTACCTCAAGTGGCGGAAGCATGGTCCAAAGGTCTTGATCAAAAGGTGTGTCAGGATGACCTAATGAGTGCCTAAACAAATATTGAAACCTGGCTATTTCATTCGGTCCACCCACGACATCTATTATACTCTTCAATCGATCATATGCGGTTTGAACCATGTATAATTCTTTGCCTTCCACGATCCGCTTCAGCTGAGGCAAACACCTTACAGATGCCTCTCTCTCTGCTTGCACCTTGATTGGAATTGCAGATATATCATCTGGTGAACAAGAATGATGAGAAAGTTCAGAGATGAGAGCAAAGATACTGCTTACATCCAAGTTCAACTTTTCGGTCGATGGGTTGGTCACGTCGATTCCTTTTAACAAGGGCATATATGTCGCTTGTAGATCATTATCTGGTGTCTGTAGATGGACAACGATACCCATCTCTGTCAATCTGTCCATGATCCTTTGAACAAACACGTCTTCTTGAGGTCGAATGCGCATAAATGCAAATACGACTATAGGTGTATGGTAATGGACGTGACAGGCCTTTGCTGCCATCAGATAATTGCGAGCCTTCTGGAAGATGGGTAAGCTGTCAAAATCACTGGCTGATGATTCCTTTATATCATCATCATCACTACAATAATCATCGTCTCCTTCCTGTTCTAAGCCCATCACCTCATGTCTAAACGCTTTAGCATTGCGGGCAATCACCTTGATCCATACAAGGCCATTCTGAGCTATAATATCTACTTTTACACTCTTGCGTTTGATCAAGGCAACTTGAGACAACCACATGTCTTGATTGGGTAAAGGTACACCGATAATTTTCATCACTTCATTCTTACATTCAATAGATTCTAATGCTTCATAGACTGGTTCTAAATAACCGAGATTTGTACTCTGAACGTGTTCCTTTTTGATCAAGGTCGGCTCTTGTAATAACTAAAAATGGATAAATACAATAATAATAAACACGTAACAAGGGATACCTTTTCTATAAAGTGTTTTTCGGCAGTAAGTGAGTTTGTGTACCTGTATAAACCAAGGATGGGTCTCTGTTTATCCCATTGTTGACATTTCTCAAGAATAAAAGAATAACGATCGTGTAATGTCTTTATGGCTGAAATAAGAGACTCATCTTGGCTATTTGACATTTTAAAAAGGTAAAAAAAAAAAAGAGAGAAAATTAAACTCCTTTTATGATAATCATGAAGAAGAGGAAGAAGTTTTGTATGGTGTTTTTTATTGAAAAATGATCGGAAAATTATAATAGAAATATATAATAGAAAAAAGAACCATAGAAGAGAATGTTGTATTAATATTCTCTACCTCTTTTTTCTTTTTCTTTTTCTTTTTTCTCTTTATTATGGCCATACTCACGTCTTCCTTCATATCTCCTTCGACGATCAAACTTTTGTCGTTTATACAGAATAACAAGTTAAATGTATTTCATAATCAAAGTCAACCACAAGAATTAAAAAATGATGCACCGACTTGCATTACTATCATTATGCGTAAAGATGGCACTCCGACAACAAAATGCTTAAACCCGAAGACACCGACACGTCATTGTAATCAAAGTAAAAAGCATCGTCAAAAGCTGTCGACCTTGATCATACCTCGTTTGGTCACATCTACATCGAATCAATCCATCAGATTACAGCAATTGCCATTAGAGCTCATCATGAAGATATTGTCTCATCTAGATTACAAGACAGTACTTGACTTATCCAAAACAAGCAGACAGTTTTATACCCTTTGTCATGAAAACACATTATGGCAGATCATGTTTAAACATGACTTTATCATCAAAAAGCATTTAATCAGACACATACCATTTTATGAATTGTATAAAAATCACTTTGAATTAGAAAAAAGGTGGCGACGTGGCCATGTAAAGACAAGATACTTGGCAGGCCATGACGATAGCATCTATTGTATTGTTTGGTTAGGTAATCATCATATCATAAGTGGCAGTCGTGATAAATCAATTCAGCTCTGGGATCTAAATTCGCCCAGATCAACCTCCATCTTGTCCAAGACCGCTCATACTGGTAGTGTGCTCTGTCTTCGAGTATCCGATGACCACTCCTTTCTGGTCTCTGGCTCTTCAGATGCCACTTGCCTTATCTGGTCCCTTAATGACTTTGAACCAAGAAAACGGCTCTTGGGTCATACTGGTGGTGTTTTAGATATTTGTATAGTCCATCATTACATCGTTAGCTCGTCACGAGACAGCACCATCCGTGTATGGAATAAGGATACAGGCGATGAATTAAGGAGACTCGTCGGACATGTTGGACCTGTGAATGCCCTCGGATCACAGGGTACACAGGTAGTATCTGCCTCAGGGGATACGACGATTAAATTATGGGACGTTGAAACAGGTCAATGTCTAAAGACATTTAATGGTCATACCAGAGGACTCGCTTGTGTAAAGTTGGAAGGAAGCGTCATTTACAGTGGTGGTCAAGATAACAAGCTGAAAATATGGGATGTTCATACCGGTAAATGCATATCTTCTCTATCAGGTCATTCAGACCTCATCAGAACCATAGATAGCTTTGAAGTAAGATCATACTTTATGGCCGTTCTATTTCATATTAAACTTTTTTTTTCTGCCTTATGCAGGGTAGAGTGGTTACTGGAAGTTATGACAGGACGATTAAAGTATGGGATTCGAAAGAGAACAAATGTATTTTAAGTTTTCAAAGCGGGCATTCGAGTTGGATATTCAATTGCCTGTTAAACAATACCAAGATTATTAGGTATATTCATGCAATATATTTAAATTGACTTATAAACCATATCCATTAGTGCCGGACAAGATAAAAGGATCATGGTCCTTGATTTTGGTCATGATTTAAAGTTGCTTTAAAGCACTGTGAATAAAGACCAGTCTCTTTCTTGAGGCTCAAATGACTTTGACCTTCTTGATTGAATATCACCATTTAAACTAGCTTTGATAGAAACACCTTTGGAATTATCATGAGCATGTACATTTTCACATGGCCACGTTCACCCTGGTGCTTTCAAAAAAGGATATACTACCAGCATCCATGTCTGAGTTCATACTGTTGTTATGCCGCTTTCTATGGTAATGGTCCAGCGTTATGAGGTGCTCTTTCTCCTTTTCCCCAGAGTTAAAGAGAGTATCGTCATCTTATCCTGATAAGGAAAATTCTCAAATAAAAAAAAAAGAGGCGTAGAATGTCCTCTTTGTCTTTTTTTTTTCCTTATTTCTTTTTCTTTTACATCACTCTTTCAGAACACAAAACCTCTTTTTGTGAAATCCATTTTGATGACTGGATAAGTAGACATTGCGACTCAATGCTTGGACCACATTTGAATTTTTCATACTCTTTTATCTCCCAACATTGATTAATGGCTGAAAGAGAAACATGTGTGTTCTCTGACAAAACCGGTAAGCCTATGGAGGGAACTTTGGGAGATAGAAGCTTCCACGTCTTTTTAATCTTTATCACTCAGGGTCATCCCAGATTCGACAATAGCTTCTAAGCTAATAAGTTGTAAAATCTAATATTTGATTCAGAGACTTATAATGAATAAAGCTCTTGAGTAGACTTTTCCACATGAAGACTGCTGAAGCTTCTTTTTCAAGAAATTCACTTGAACGATGCTCATCAGAAAGAGTCCATCAAATAAATGACATGTTGATATACATATACTAACTTCTTCTGTGTAAGCTAATAGTATTATTTACAATCACGTCAAATAAATCGATAACAAACAAAGTGAAAAGAAAAGGGCTCAATATCACAATAATGTTTAAAGTTACTTATATGCAAATGCTGTCAGTATCATTGCACAATAAACAAAATGCTATTATAACGGTTTATTTCGATTGTAGAACTCTTGAACAAATGCGCCAGCAAGTTCTTTTATAGTGAAGTTTGTTTTATGAATCAAACTTTTCAGGCAATACTCTCTTGTTACTTCAGATTCAACCCTGTTACCCAGTTGGATAACATTGAGAATTCTCAAAGTGCAACAAAGATAAAGAGATAATACCACTATTAAACCTCCAAGGAGAAGATCATCCAAGTACAAAAACTGCCTATTATTGTAAAGCCAATAGAAGAGAAATAAAAAGCAGCAGACTAGCGCTTTTATAGGCAAGTGTGTTTAGAAAAAGGTAGGCTAGTAAAACTATGGCTAGAGCTACCGTTGATCATTGCAGATCATTTCCCAGAGTATATATTTTTGCCAGCCATTTACTTTTAATAGCATATACAGATATATCGAAAAACTGATAAAGCAACCATGTTTATGATGGATTTAAACATTCCCTAACTTAGGGAGTTTTTTTTTCCTTTGAACAAAGAATGTTAATTAATTCCGTTTTTCCTTTTTCTGCTTATTGCATTCACACGTTCTGTTTACACATCTCACTTGTTTCAATATCATGCCACCTACAAACAAACAACTGAGAAGGAGTTTATCATACATCATCAACTCATAAAAAGATGACGCTCTATATGATGTTTATCAAAGTAGCATGTTACAGGATAAACTGAGTGCACATGGAACCCAATCACTTGTGGCAAGTGAAATAATAAACAACACGAGTTTATAAGGGTTTTTTTTTGTTTAATGAAACACCCTTCATTTACCCTTGAACACAGGGAGAGTTTAATTCTTATAGAAAGCAGTAGTTACAACAAGTAATGACACCCTCCATAGACACAACTTGCATCAGATCCGAGGAAGATGATAAAATCCTTATCATATTTCAACGCTTGTATCGGTCTAAAACAAATGGTACTTTATCATTTAAGAAAAAAAGTCACCAAATAAGAAAAGTATGTGTTTTCATATCTTTGGGAATAAATAAAAACAAATCACAATTACAGCAAATGCTCGTTTTTGTAGTAAGGGTTATTGTCTTATGCAAGTCTATAAATATTTATTAAAACACACCTCCAAAGGAAACTCTCCTTTTTTTATTATTCAAAATTCAAGTCCGTCATTTCTGATATTTTGTGTTTTCGAAATATCTTTTTTTTTTTTTTTTCTTTTTCTTTCTTTTCAAAAAAAAAATGAAATTCTTTACCAAAGCAATATTTTTCTTACTAGGTACTCTTTTATATATATATTCTCTCAATGTGAATTTTTACTAAACTATTTTATATTGTAGCATACATACTGTTATCAACCACATCCATTCTTGCATCGCCACTTCGAGATGTATCCACTACATCCGTTGACTTGACAGAGAATCCAATCGACATAAACGGGGATGAGACACTTTATGTGACAGTGACAAGAGTAGATGATCTTCTTGATGATGATGGTTCTCTTTTGGCTGAAAGAGTGATGGCTGTGCGTGTGACCTTTGATGTCTTTGAGAATAGAGTAAAAAAAAAAAATATTTATTCGCATGAATACAGTCTAAAAAAACTATCCGTAGTTGATGTGTAACGGTCAGCCGGTAGAAATTGGTGTATCCAATATCCAAGTTGAGGCTCAGATGGTTTCAAATCCTGAAAAGTTGACTATCACAAGCGAAGAAGATGCTGCGATATTGGCTGATAGCTTTGATACTGGTCTTGTTACAGTCGAAATTACAGCAACTCTTTTAGACGAATTGAAGACGGATGATGGTATGGTCTTCCGTCGTCTGAGTGTCAAGGAGCTGATTACGGAAGTCAATGGCGCCAAAGTAGTCCAAACTGAGGCTGCTCAACAGATCTTGGATGTTTTTGATAATGGTTCCTTGGTCAAATGGACGGTTGATCCTTTGACTGGATTTATGCTTCCTGCTGATGATAATAGTGATGCTCCAGGTAAAAAAAAAAAAAAGACACACACACATGAATGAATGTAAATGTTGATCAATCATCTAAATATTTCATTGCTTAGCCTCATCAGAGTCAGCCCTCGATTCAGTCTCGACTTGGTGGCACAGCCAATCCTCTCTTAATCAAGAAGCTATCTGTACTGGTGCTGCGGCTTCTGGTTTCCTTCTTTTGACTCTTGCATTTGTGCTTATCCACAGATCATTAAAGAGAAAGCGTGAATATGAACTTGTTCAAGAAGAGCAACCCCCTGCCTATGATGAGCAGGAAGAGACAGCTGTTGAAGAAAAGAAACCTTTCTTGGCTTCCAACTAAGTCATGTGTACATCAAGCCTATCCATATTTGTTGCAATAAATAAAAACATTACGTTAACTAGTTCTGGATGAACGCAGTCTGTATACATATCTACATTGTGTCACCTCATTTTACGCCTCACCGCCCCCCTCTTTTTTACACAGACTGGGGCATTATAGTTGCACAACGAGTTCATTGTTAAAGTCTTTTTATTATGTGCATGAATATTGATATTTAAAACTCTAGAAAATGGTACAGTTTATTGGTTTTTTTTTTTTACAAAATTCAGAGATTTTTTTTGAAAAAAATGTATATAAATGATGATTGCTGTTGTTTTAATCAATGTCCATTTCGTCCTTCTTCTTGTTATCTGAAGCTTCTTCCATAGGGGTATCGGCATCTGCTGCAGGTGTAGTATTTTCACTCTTATTTTCTTCATTAGCAGCAGGTTCCTCTACCTTAGGAGCAGGCTTAGGCTTGTTCAAGATAGGGTTAGCAAAGTAGATGATAGCTTCTTCTTCCTTCTTGATATCGCGAGAGAACAAGACAGGTGTTTCGCACTTGGGAAGTTGAGCTTGCTTGGCATTTTGTTCATCCATCCATCTGCCAGCGCGTTCACAACGTTCGACAATGTCTTGCTTTTCATGAGCAGGGATGTGAGAGTATTTTTCGTCGGCGCTCATGGCTTCTTGAGTCAAACGTTGGATGGTCTCTCGGAGTGAGCGTTCGGCATGAGGACGCTCTTCGGCTTCACGATAACGTTCAACAACAGGGTTACCAATCTTCTTTAAAGCTTCAAGCTTTTCAACATAAACGCTCTTGGGAGCATCATAACCTTCGTCGTAGATCCAGTCGACAACGGCATTAAGATCATCAGCAAACTTGTCCTTGATGGAAGGATCAATGTATTCAGAAAGAGGACCAAGGATCTTGTCACGCATTTCGTAACCGTATTCTTCAAGAGAGTTCTTGGCTGCTTCAGTAGCGGCAATGAGCTTATCATTGGCATACATTTGGCTTTCCTTTTCGGTATATTCATTGATGAGTTCCTTGGAAAGAGAAGTGTTTCCAGAAATAACAGGGAGATCGCCAGTCTTGACGAGCTTCTTGACCTTCTTGACTTCCTTTTCACCGTCCTTGTTCTTGGTCTCTTCATCAACCATCTTTTCTTCAACAGTGTATGCTGATTCAACAGTCAAGATACCGTGAATATTGAGTCTGACCTTAACCTTGATCTGAGCAGGTTCGCCGTTCACAGGTTGAACATTCTTGATGTTGAATTGACCGATCCAAGGGTTGATACCACGAGGCAAGGCTTCAGGGTTAGCGTAAACAGCTTGTAAGGTGAAAGGTTCACGACGGTAGAAGGTCAAAATCTTGGTAGAAGGAATAGAGTTGTTGTTGTCGAAAACAACGATTTCAGTGTCTTCTTCTTCAGGTGTAGCATCCCAAGTGAGCTTGATGGGATAAGAGCAAACGTCATTCACACGGAAGTCACGAACCTTGAAGACAGGAGAGAGCATGGCACATTGAAGAGCAGCACCACGAGCCATGGCTTCATCCTGGTTCAAAGTGGTAGAAACGTCCTTACCGAAGAATTTGGAAATAGTGGTCTTGATGGCAGGGATACGGGTGGTACCACCGACAATTTCAACAGAGTGAATATCGTCAATAGTCATACCGGCATTTTCAAGAGCCTTGGCCAAGACGGATTCGGTACGAGAGAACAAGTGGGAGGCCCATTCTTCAAATTCCTCACGGTTCACCATAGCGTTGACATCCTTATCATCCATGATGGATTCAATGTTGACAGGGGCTTGAGGATTGGCAGAAAGGACTTTCTTGCAACGTTCAGCAGCGACACGAAGACGCAAGAGGGCCTTCTTGTTGCTATAGACGTCAATCTTGTACTTTTCCTTGAATTGTTCAGCAAGGTGGTCAACAATGACAGCATCAAATTCACGACCACCAAAGTGGGTATCGTAAGCATTGCCGCGGACAGTCAATTGTCCCTTGAGGAAAGAGACAATGGATACAGAGTAAGAAGAGTGACCAATATCGACAAAGGCAACGTTTCTAGGCTTATCTTCAGGTAAATCGAGCTTGGTAATACCATAACCAAGGGCAGCAGCAGTCAAATCATTGACAAGACGAAGACAGTTCAAACCAACCATTTCAGCAGCAGAGAGAACAGCACGGCGTTGAACTTCAGTGAACCAACCAGGAACAGTGATGACACAGTCAGAGACAGGACCCTTTAATTCAGCGGATGTGATATCCTTGAGCTTGTGAAGATACATGGCCAAAAGTTGAACATTGGAGAAAACAGTTTCTTCGCCAAGGTAGTTGACCTATAACAAAAAGTGTTATCCCTTGCTCGCACACGCACACACAATGTAAAAACTTACCTTGACACCAGCCTGTCCGTTGGCATCAGCTAATTCGGCCATAAGGTGGCTCTTTTCAATTTCTTGAACTTCAGGGTCGTTGAAGGTGCGACCGATGAGACGCTTCAAGCTGATGACAGTATTCTTTGCATTGCTGATTTCCTGAGTCTTTGCACCTTCACCAAGATATCTTTGCTTAGGACCGAAAGATACGATGGCACTATAAACATGAGTAAAAATAATAACAATAATAGTAAAAAAACAAGACTTACGGTGTAGCACGGTTGGAGACTTCGTTACAGATAACATCAATACCACGGTTACGAGCAACGGCAATGACAGCCTGAAGATTACCAAGATCAATACCCTATTAAGGCACATATTAGTACATGTACACACAAGCCTCAGTATATATCCTTCACTCGTTACTTACAACAACTGACATTCTATTCTTTCAAGTTATTTCGGTTTGAAAATAAAAAAGAGGACTAAAAACAATTTTTTCCCAATTTAAAAAAATTAGGTCCAAGTTTGAGAAAGAGTTTAGACTGTAAGCCAATCAAAAGACTCCAGATTAACTTTCTACAACTTTCTCGGAGATTCTAGAGAGAGAGTCACTCTGGACTATAAATAAGCCACGCTAAAGAACTACAAGTCTCAATGGCTTTACCTTCTTCTTCTTCTTTATGTTTTTGCAGCAATGATATGTTTAAATCCTATTGCTTTGTAGAAAGGATAGCAGTTTGTTTTTTGTTGCTAAGAGCGCTTAAAAGGAAGAAAATAGAATGGACAAAAAGGAATATTCCAAGCAATCGAAAGAGAAAACCTTATTTTTTTATGTATTATTAACGACACGGCTGTTATAAATGATGTTATATATTTTGAAAAAGGGAATGTTGCAGAAAATGAGGGTGTACACACAAAGTAGAAAATACAGCTACTACTTTTGACAATAAGAATATAAAAATTAGAAAAGATATACAGATTGAGTTAAGGGTAAAGACGACACAGGATCACAAACGCATTCTTGTCCATCAGCCATTACTTTGTATGTCTCGGGATCGACTGTAATCTTTGGCATGGCATCATTTAATTTCATGTCTGCCTTAGTCACAGTACGACATCCTTTGACGGCCTCTATACGTTTACGTAACCCATAAGCTTGCACAACACCTTCATCCAAAGAAAGCTGTGACACAAACACTAGACTCGAAAATGATATACTAGATGGGTAGGCTCCATACATGGGTCTTGAGATAGTAGGTTCCGTTGTAGGAATAGATCCATTGGCATCGCCTGTTTATGTATTTTCTTTAGCCTTTGTACAGGGAACATATAAAAATAAAAATAGCTTACCCATTTGACCCCAAACGATAATACCTGCCTTCAGGATAAGCTCAGGCTTGGATCCAAAGTATTCAGGAGTGAAGCAAACTAAATCTGCTACTTTGCCAACTTCAATGGACCCAACCAAGTGACTAATGCCGTGAGCCAAAGCACTGTAAACAAAAAGAATGAGACAGTGTAAGCGATTATCCTCTTGCGTTACTTACACATTAATGGTATATTTAGCGATATATCTTTTGATTCTATAATTATCTCCCTCTACACCTTCATCTTGCTGTAATTTACCACGCTGCTGTCTCATCTTACTAGCCGTCTTCCAGGTACGAAGGATGACTTCGCCTATTCTACCCATCGCTTGTGAATCAGAACTGATCATACTGATGGCGCCCATATCCTGGAGGACATCCTCTGCGGCAATTGTCTCGGCTCTGATTCGACTTTCTGCGAATGCAACATCCTCTGGTATAGATTTAGATAAATGATGGCATACCATTAACATATCAACGTGTTCATCTAATGTGTTTGCAGTGAATGGTCGTGTAGGATTAGTAGAGGATGGCAAGACGTTTGGCTGGCTACAGACAGTGATAACTATAGGAACATTAGTCCCACTTTTTACAACAGATTAATATGACTTATACTTTACTATCTGGAGCGTGACCTCCTCCAGCACCTTCACTATGATAGGTATGGATAGTTCTTCCTTTAAAAGCATCGACAGTTGATTCTACAAATCCAGCCTCATTCAAGGTATCTGTATGAATGGTAGCCTATATATAGAAAACAGTAAAGTTTACAAATTTCATCTTAGCCTTCATAAAAAAAATCAGACCTGAACATCGTACTTGTCGCACACTTGCAGACATGCATCAATGGCTGCTGGTGTCGTGCCCCAATCTTCATGTAGCTTTAATCCAAGACAGCCTGCTTTGATATGTTCAACCAGCTCTTCCTGTCGTGAGCAATTTCCTTTTCCAGTGAAACCAAAGTTTAAGGGAATATCATCTGTCGCCTTCATCATCATTTCAATATGATGGCTTCCTGGTGTACAAGTCGTTGCATTTGTACCTGTATTCGGACCCGTGCCTCCTCCAATCAGAGTTGTTACACCGCTTGATAGGGCCTCATAACATATTTGTGGACAAATATAATGAACGTGTGAATCAATAGCACCTGCCGTAAATATCTTTCCTTCTCCTGCCAGAGCTTCTGTACCTGCTCCGACAACCATTCCAGGAGTGACACCATCCATGACATCGGGATTACCTGCCTTACCGATACCGACAATAATACCCTTCTTAATACCAATGTCCGCCTTATAGATACCGGTATAATCAATAATCAATGCATTTGTAATCACCAAGTCAAGTACTTCATGATCTAATTTTCCGGTTGCTTGACCCATACCCTCGCGCAACACCTTACCACCACCAAACTTGCACTCATCACCATACACGGTATAATCTTTTTCGACGCGAGCCCAGAGCTCTGTATCTCCCAAACGAACCAGATCGCCTGTCGTGGGTCCAAAATGATCTGCATAATATTCTCGATCGAGTGTTGTTGATGATGCTGCAGTCAAGATAGGTGCATTCGCATCATGCTTAAATCCTCTTTCTGCGAGTTCTGATACAATGGTCGGCAAACGGATGAGATCTAGTGGCCCTGTAGCCAAATTGTTGCCACCCGTAATCACCTTGTTACCCCCAATCTCTACCAGTGTCACCGTTTTGAAATCGCCAGGTTCAAAACGAACGGCTGATCCAGCCGGAATATCTAGTCTCATGCCATAAGCCAAAGCTCGATTAAAATGAAGTGCCGCGTTGGCTTCAATAAAGTGAAAATGAGATCCAACCTGGCATTAAAGGTTAATCAAAGATGATTGTCAATCGCTGGTGATATTACCTGAATAGGTCTATCGCCGTAGTTTGTGACAGACAATGCTATCTTTCTTCTACCAGCGTTCAATTCGATCGTACCGGGCTTAACAACGATAGCACCTGGTGCAGATTTTGGGTCGAGGTTGTCAGGTAATGGAAATTTGTCTTGTGATGGCATAGGTAAGAAACTTCCATATAAGGCTATTTCAAGATTGCCATTATCAGTACAAATAGGGTCGTGTACAGTGACAAGATAGGTGCCATCTGGGAACGTGCCTTCTACTTGCACTTCATGAAGCGTATAAATCACATCTGGCATGACATGTCTTCTACCCAACATCTGTTTTCCAATATCCATCAGCTGAGCTACTGTATAGACACCGTCACGCATCATTTCGAGTAGTTGGGAGGCAATTAAGGCTGTTGCCTCTGTTCTGTTTAACTTGACGCCACGTGCCAAACGCTTTTGTGCAAGATATCCAACTATGACACATTATATTTAATAACGATACTATTGTCTGTTTTCGATTACCTTGATGTAATAATAGTTTATCTAACTCTCTTGGTACTAAACGCATATATGTATATAAAAAGAAGAGAGGAGAGAAATAAATAAATAGAGAAGGTAGACGTATTTTTCCCCTGTTTATCTATTGTGGTACAAGTCACTCGGGATATGATAAGCAGAAAGCGCCGGTTTATTCCAAGTAGTCTATATTTAAATTTCCAACGAACAAGAATCAAAATTATAACAAAGGAGCTATATGATTTACGTGTTCCATTGTTATTTAGGTAATAATGGCTACAATATGCAAGTGATAGTCAAAGTAAAGCGTACTACTATCTGATGTACACTTGTCACATTGATATCTGTTGTTAAAAAAAAAAAAGAGCCAAAATTGATTATAGTAGATGATGATTTATTGATTGACAAGTCAATATAAGATAACTATGCTTATTGAATCGTAAATGTTATCATTAAAGTATCTTTGGTGTCTCTAAAAAAAGAGAAAAAAAAAAAAGGGTAGACTACTTTTTAAAAGCGATCATTATCACTTTTGTCATACAATCTCTTTTTTACCATTTATGGAAAAATGATAACCAATAGAAACATGAATTATTGTTATAAATAAAAAATTTGATGGATGTGTCTGGACACATCAAAATAAAGCCACTCCAGGAGGCAAAGCATGAATTAGAATGTTAAGAAAGCTCCCCTATTTGATGATATCATAATCATATACCATTCTACTATGTAAATATGAATGCATTAATCAGCCTTCCTTTTAAGCACCAGATTGGCTTCATAGCCTATATAAAAGTAAATACAGCTCATAAGAACGTCAGTGCAAAGTAGCGTGTATGTGTTTGTGTTATGGTTAAAATACATTAACACACATAGTAAGTTTGTTGATTATAGACGCGACTTGGCTACAGCGTGTTTTATATTACTATATGACACATTTTTAGCATAACACTGTGCCGGAGCTGCTTATGTCCTTTTCTCCAAGGGATGTACACTATCAAATGAAGAAGAGTGCTTGACATGTTTGGTATAAATCATTATAATAACTCGAGTATAATCTTACAGTAGAGCATACATCCTACTTTATATTCCTCTATCATATCTCATAAGAATAAGAGTGCTGACAACAGTATCATAAGCATAAGTGAATATGCTAACGACGTTAATATAAATAGCAGTCATAGATTCTCTCCCCCTATAAAACGCACACACGTCTTATTTTAATAATATTTAGCTCTTCATTTAGAATTTAATCCGCAAGTTGTCGACTTGTGCAAATATGCCATTATGGTGACCAGTATCGAGCAGCGTTAATACCATCATCATACTTGAATGAGCATCTTTTACACTACCAGCTGTATCCTCTCGTGATAGAGCCAGTCGAAGAAGTCTCATCGGAGACAAAGTTTGGTGCATCTAGGGAGACAACCTCTGAGAGCCTCATTCTTTGTAAGTGCTGTTGTAAAAATACAATTCAATTCCAAAATTTTAACATTGCATTTCTAGATGGTGATTGTGACATTCTCTCTTTCTTCAACATGGCATTTACACCAAATTCACCTGCAAAAGATGATAAGAGGACGTTTTCTTTGGAAACTCTGAACTTGGAAGAAATATATAAGCTCACAAAAAATTATATTGAACGCTTTAGAAATGAAGAAGACAGTCTACAATCGTTCATTTCATGGATTAAGAAGTAAAACCCTGCGTTTATGTCGGTGGCTGCAAAAAGACTGCGCGTTAAGGATGATATAAAAAAAAAAAAAAGTAGTCCAAATCAGAATGCGAAGCATATATGTGCTAAGTGAGAAACACTGGAATGCGTTATTAAAAGAAATATAATAAAATACAATATACTCTAATGCTGTCTTTAAATAATTACAGAAATTGACAACATAATTAATCTGTTACCACATCATCTGGCGTAGATAGCCAATTAGAAGAAAGATAACCATACAGCAATCGGTTATGCTCGATTCTTCATTGAATGAATTCTCTGGAGAATTTTATGAGACGGTCGGACAGAACCAACAAGGAAGGATATATGCTGTGATATTCTTTTTATTTAAAATAGCAAAATATAAAATCAATAAAACCAATAAAAGAAATACAATGACAATAGCTATTATTTGATCTTGATGAGCGAGGTTTTGATAAGGAGTGAGTGGACAGGTGATGTCCTTCCTTGCTGGCCTATCCTCTGGTTTGTTGACAAAAAAAACAAACAAACATTAAGATACGCAAATTTAGTAAGCGTGTTCTAAACAGATGGACAAAAAATTGATCTCCGTTTGACAGTACGTTTGACAGTACGTTTACACAATTCTATACGTGTGACATGGGCAAAACTGACTTGAGACTTTAATGAACTGAGGGATTTACACATTTAAACACGGACTTACTGTAGGGCTATTATTTTAAAAGGCACGCTTTGAACTTGGCTGTAAGTGACAATTCTCGATGCAGTACATCTCATAAAAAAAAGAAAGGGCATTATACATCTTTTTATTAATCATGTCCTTTTTATAAGAACGTCTTTTGCTTGCATAGGCTAACCATGAACTTATTAGCCAGGACGTCTATAAGCCAGCCGATTAGAAAACACGCATTACCTAGTTCATGTCTATGAAAAGTTCTTAAATACTTCTTTACCAGTTGGCGATAAACCTTATCTAACCATCTTTGCTATATGTGTATTATTTCCCTCATATTTTCTCTCAAATAAGCCAAAAAGTTTATTGTTTAAGGGAGCTTATTTTGTATTTTGTTCTTAAAATAACGCGACTGCCAGCTGATTTCCAATAAGCTCTCCTCTCTTTCCCAGGTAAATGAAAGACCGTCATTATAATCATTTTTGTAAATCCAAGGAATGTTCAGAAGCAAGTGACATTGTGTTTGCTTTTATTACAAAAAAATGAAGAAAGGGTGTTACTTGAAGTGTAACACAGGTTTATGCAAAAGATAATTAATTTGTTTTTTTTTTTAGATATCTCGCTCAAATCAAGTCCGCTTCGAACAATTTCACATCGCCTTAATATAAAATCATTGCTGATCTAAAACCTGAAGCATCGCGTTTCTTTAAAATATCAATCTATCATACGATATTACGCACAAGGGGAATTTGTAATGACATAATCGTTTTCTCCCTTTTGTTAGATAAGCGATAGAATAAATATAGGATTTTTGAATAGAAAGAAAGAAAAAAGGAAGGGAAAGGAACCTATTTTAAATGAAATAAACTCATGGACATTATTTCATATTGACAACTATTTTATTTATACATAAATCACTCTTTTATTATGTAATATTGTAACATATAAAGCTTTTTGACATATACTTTGTATACACATAAAAACCCACTTAAGACATCATTCAGTAGTCCTATATTGGTCAAAATCCAGCTAATTCCAGACTGAGCATGATCTGTCAAGATTTTTAATTAAAAATTTAAAGTCAATTATCATCTCTTCCCTTTTTTTCCCAGTCGTTCAACAACGGGCAACAAGAGCAAAGAATATGCTTAGAGAAAGAAAGAGAGAGTGAAGGGGAGAGGCATGGGATTTATCGTAGGAGCATACGCTCCAAGCGAGTTAGACGAGTTCATACAGAATAAAGATAACAAAAGAGTCAAGTGCTCCCTTGAAAACAAACATGGAGATACAATTTATCCGAACGTAATCACACATTTCAAATACTAAAGACAATGTATTTTACAAGAAAACAAAGTCAATGATCTGCATCTTGCATGAATTTCGGAATATCAATCGATATAGTATACATACTCGCCTCTTTTTTTTTGCTTGTAGCAGTCTAACCTCTAAAATATCCACCATAAGAGATGTTTTGTGATTCATCACGTTTGGAAAGGAGAAGAAAAAAAAATAAAAAGTTCAAATTATTGTAGGACAAGGCATAATCATAAGAGTGCTACAGTAAAGATTTATTGTCACGTATCAATCAAAATATCTCCAAGTACAACAGAAGAACTACATGTGATACTTTCCGAATAGCCTTTCGCGATCTATAAACAAAACAAAAAAAAAAGGAATATATAGTACTAAGAAAGCTTTGGTATCTATTTAATTTGATGGAAGAGAGAAAATTAAATCAGAGTGAATGATAGATATTGTGTTCTTTGATTTTATCCTCGAGCATTATATTCTGGACCACTTTGGGAATAAAAAGATACAAGAACCTTACATAATAAGAGATAAAGGGAATTGTATATAAAAAACGTCATCACCTGTGACAAGAATCACTCGACCCATAGTTCGGGATTAAGTGCAAGTGTAACTGCATTATTATCCTTCTCTGAAAAAGAAAAGAAGAAAAAAAGTAAAGGGGAGCATATTACAAATGAAAAATAGCAAGACTCTTCTCATAAAGTTATAGGCTGATAAAAAGAATAACAGAAATATTTCAGTCAAAGGGTGTGGAACAGAAAACGGAAATGAAGTGACGCTTAGGTCAGATTCTGTTTCAGCTTTTAAGGAGTCAAAAAAAAAAAAAAAAATATTCAAAAGGAGCACACCAAATGTTGTGCTATGATAATGTAACTCCAACGCATAACGGTTTACTAAAAATAGATGTAAACAGATATCACGGACGTTGGTCGACACATGAAATGATCGACTAATAACATCTTGTACTTTTCTGCATTTAAAGTTGACAGCCCTATCTAAAAGCTGAGATATATGCAAGTGAAGCTTAAAGTGCGTAAAATATCTATTCTATTGTTAGTATTCAGTTGTGTATTTAAAATATTCAAGGAGGAAAACAAGTGTACAGTCTAAGCTTACTTGCCCGATATGATACTTTGCCTCACAGTTTTGATTGCTTTTTTGGGTCCCATAACTTTACTCCTTGCTACACAAAACAAACTTTATTCTCACGAAAGCTCTCTTTTGACCAGGGGGCGTCCACACGCGCACACATACACACTGTTACTAGTCGGTCGCTTGGATTATGCGCTGTTCTTTTCTGTATAAAAAATTTTTTTTTTGGAAAAAAGTACTCAGCAACTCAGTGTTGCATCTGCCGTTTCTTGACATCATATCCCAAGTGGGTTAGGTTGACGCTTATTTACTGGTAACTAACGCCACTCTCATGCTTACAAACTCTATTCTAATTATGATTTGATCAAATTAGTATATGCTTACAGGGAAAACCTTTTTTTTTCCTTCTTCTTGTGATTTTACATTCGTTTGCCACTGGTGACAACGATTTTTGTGTCAAATGAACCCAAAATGTCACATTATTTCTCCTGAGGCTTTACTCCTTTTATCTTATCGCCTACCCCCCCTCAGATGTTTGTGCTCTCGATTGAAATGAGACTAATGAACCGAAAGAAGAAGAGAGGGGGGAGGGACAAGCGATGAAATCTTGCATAAAATAAGCTTTTTTGTTTTGATCATCAAGTGAATAAAAGTGTTTGAACGTTTTATATGCAAAATGTACACAGCGTAAGAATACAGTCGTTTGCATTCCGAGTTAGTGTGACCTGGAAAATATATTCTCATCTTTATTCTTATGCGCTATATAAATGGTAAACGTTCATCCCCTTTTGTATAGAAAGTATCCCTGTAAGAAAGCGACAAAGGATATTTAACACATTTCTTTCTTAATTTTAAAACTAGACCTTGCTCTCTCTCTTTTTATTAATTTACATCTCCTCACTTTCTGTCATGTCATTTGGCCTATCACATTTGAGGCAACAAAGCCAAGAAGATTTCTGTTATGACATTATGCCTTTGGATGTTGGATTGAATGAAATAGAGAGGTAAAATGTCTTTAGAATATCAAAAAAGAGTGCGGAAAGAAGAAGGGGAAAAGGAGAGCAAAGAAGAGAGGAAGAGAGGAAGAGAGGAAGAGAGGAAGAAGAAGAGAGAGAAGAGAGAGAGAAGAGGAGGGAGTTAAGTTTTTACAAACCGGTTTACACAATATTACACTGCATAAACTTTAGTATTGATTTATTTAATGCAAATAACTAAACATTTATCTTTTTTTCTTCCTTTTTCTTTTCTTCTTTTAGTGCTCTGGATTATCGTGTAATGTCGAGGAATATGACTAATGATAGGAATACTACGTCGTCGTATCCTTCCATTCATCCTGATCTACCAGCATTTCACAATCCTACTTACTCTGATTGGCCAGTAAATAAATCACGACATTCTTTTATACTTGAATCAAACCCACCATTGTATCCATCTACACCCACTGCATATCCAATCTACAGTAACGCAAACACCCTGACTTCATCTACATCTCCATATCACAGTAATTTTTCCGAAGCGAGTCAATCATCTCCCACTTTATTCTGGACAGCCCCCACGACAAATAGTACTCTCTTTACTACGGACGTTGCATCTTCCGAGAATACGCCAACGTCTGCAAAAATATCTTGTTCTTCTTCATCCGAAGCCATCTTTGATTCTACAGAGGCCGAGATCGACGAAAGAGATTCTCATTCGCGGAATCCATCGTTTGATCAGCAGTTCATGAATGTCTATCGGTCACAACCTAAACCAACAGAGGATGCTTATTACAATAGCAGAATATCAAAAGTTCATTCTCGGTTTAAGAGCGCCAACGCTTGTCTATCATCTTATGGCGAAAAGCCCAAACAAGAAAAGTTCCAGCAGTTTTTATCACCACCGCTACCCTCGAGTTCTTTGATGCAATCAGGGCAATCCCTGGCAGAGAGTAATACACTGACAGTTGGCAGTAAAAGATTAAGTAAATCGTAAGTATAAATCTGGTAAATAAACACGCAATGCACGCACATACATTCCTAAACAAACCAAGGAGAGAGCATGCACATATAAATCGAGAGACAGTGAGGACAAAAAAAGAGAGCTTATACATAGGAGCAAAGGGGGAGGGAAGGAGACTGGACCCGACGAAGAATACAAAAAGTTCGTACAAAGAGTATGTTATTAAATAAAGGGAGACACATAAAAGGCAAAACCGTATTGACTGTTGTTACAATTGTCAATAACCCTTATACCATTTTTGTTCTCACTGTGCTCATCTCTCTCTCTCCTTTATATATATATATATCATGAAAGTAGTTCATTTACTAATTCATGTTATCACATAGGCCATTTCAATTCCATGCGGTCCTTCATTGTAGGTATAGCGAATAAAGAGACAAGAGGATATATAAGCTAATGTTTTTTCAATAGCTCCTACAGCCATGATGAAGAAAGAAGATCAGAGACCAATTACCTATCTGAACCGTGGACAGTCGTACCTTTTGGAACTTTCGGCATCAAATCAGCAACGTGGTACCTTGACGAGTACGATCTCGATTGCATTCCACGAATCCAGTCACCGACGTGTAGCGGCGAGCTATTGGAGATTTTGGATGAGTCAACAGATGAATCCTGAGTCAGCAAGAGCGATCGGTTTAGACGAAAATCAGACCACTGGTATCTATAATATCACCTATCCTTCTTTTGACAAGGTCACCTTTGACTGGCATGGTCGCTTTGGAGCCAAGGTCTATATTCGCTTTCATTGCCTGTCAACAGACTTTTCGAGAATTAAGGGAGTCAAAGGCATCCCCTTACGAGCTGTAGTCAAGACAGTGACGAGATACGACCATTTACCTGATAATACATCTTCTTATTCAGGCTCATTTTCTAAAATTCAACACAAAAGTAATGATTCAACAGAAGGAAGATATGAATATACTGAGAGATGTTATTGCCAAATCAAACTCTTTAGAGATAAGGTATATACACACTTTAACGTTCTGAAAGTCATTTGATACTGACTCTTTAAAACAGGGTGCAGAACGAAAGAATAAAGATGATAGCAAACAGATCAATAAACAAATGGAAAAAGCTATAGGTAAACGTTTGCTCAAAATACAAGACTTTGAATAACTTATCAAGGTTACCCTATAGCCCTTACACTAGGACACCCTGAACAGCACCCTCTGTGGCCAATTATCAATCAGCCTTACAAACCTGTGACAGTGTTGAATGAGGTGCCTACATCTCCTGATATCGAACTACATGACGATTTTCAACAGGATATAGCCAGCCCTTCCGTCTTATACCCATGCGCCATCATAGAAAACGCCTCCCCCGAACAAGAAGAACCTATGCCCAGTACTACAAGTAGCAGTAGCAGCAGCAGAAAAAAAAGAAAACAAATGGACGCACTTGAAAGCGTACAAGAAATGACTGTCGGCCTATCTTCGCCACAATTTATCGAACCCTCTTCACATTTGCTAAAAAAGCATCGAGCAGTAGCAGATACACTCAGCTTTTATGTATGGTCCAAGCGGCAATTTCCTTCAAGTGGACCCAATCGAGTAACTCTTGAATCTCTAACAGCAGAAGAACTAAAACTCAAGTTAGCCACCATTCTTTCCCTTCACCCATCAAGAGTCTCAGAAATACTATGGAAAAGAAAGAAGCCAGAGATACTTTGTGGAAGAGAAGAAAGCGAAAAGAAGGATAATGATATGCTTGTATTAGTAGAAGATAACTTTGTAGCAGAACATATATCTGATGAAGAGATCATTTGTGTAGACTGGGAAATTAAGTCTGATAGCTATGTCAGGCTCATACTTGAATTTTAAATCAGAGAAAAAAAAAGAAATGTTATACTTTTTATGGCCTTTTTTATATATAATTCTATTACTTTATATGTCACATTTTTATATTGTTCAAGTATTGTTGTTGCTCTTTCTTTACTTCCCATTTTATGCATTCACTTTTTTATTATGTAAATATTCTTTCTTTCTTACTTTTCTCTTCCAGCCTTTCAAAGTTTCTTCATTATTATCGTAAATTTTATTATAATAAACAGGGACAAAAAAAAGTGTACAATTGTATTTGAATGGGGAGAAAGTATTCACGTGACATTATCTCTCAAGACGTAGCATGTGAAATAATAAACTAAAATGCTAGCATACCAACTCATCAGGGTTGTGGTTTATGCCGTAAGATGCTGTGTGACCAAACTCAAGTTACAACAAGTGTGGGGTTGGGAAAAAAAAAAGGCACTTGAAAAGTATAAGAATGGGAGAGAATAATCAAGATGGAGAAATTGTTTATCTTTTTTTTTTTTTCCTATTCATCATTATTATGCCTTCGCATATCGGAAAAGGAATTCTCGCTACAGTTTCTTTGCTTGCATGTATCTATCACGATAGAGCCGTGTTTGATCCAAAGAGACCTGATATCAAGACACAGCCCGGATGGCCACTTGTAGGAAACCTGCCTATCTTGCTTCAATACTTGATGTATATCCATGATTTCTTGTTGGAGGGTTTCACAAGATTGGACGATATGACTTTGTATGTTCAGTTACGTTCATCTTGGTTTCAAAGCTAACACTCTAGTTAGAACGTTGTCGGCTTTGGGCATTCCTAGACATGTTGGCACTATTGATCCCCGAAATGTTGAGCATATTTTGAAAAGTAAAAAAAAAAAAAAAAAAAAAAATGCCCGTGATTTGCTTCTCAATTAACGCAAAATGATAGCCAATTTTGAAAACTACATCAAAGGACCTGAGTTCCATGGTTCGATGAATGATCTCTTTGGTAATGGAATCTTCAATGCCAATGGAGAAGAATGGAAATACCAGCGCAAGACTGCTAGTATTATTTTTAATGTAAAAAACTTTAGAGACCAATTCACAGAGTTAGTATATATACATGTATATAAAATCAATGACCTCAACTGCTATCTGTAGGGTCTTTATGAAGGAGCTTCAAGTGATGCAAACTAAGATATGGGATGTTGCTGCACAAAATTTTGAAGTTGTTGATTTCCATGAAGTCATGTACAAGTTTACGCTTGATTCCTTCATCATGCTTGGCTTTGGTGTCGAACTGAACTCCCTTTCTGCAAAAGAAAAGGTTCCCTTTGCTGTTGCCTTTGACGAGGCACAAAAGAATACCTTTTTAAGATTTGTTAACCCCGTTTGGTCCGTCACAGAACGTATAGCTGGTCTTCTGATGCCTTGGAAAACCAGCATGAACGAGCATCTGGCCGTCGTTGACGGATTCGCTCGAGAAGTAACTGAAAAACGAAGAGCTCAGCTGGCAGCAGGAGAGATTCATACTGATCTCTTGTCTCGTTTTATGGACGCTCGTAACAACAAGGGAAACCCACTGAGCAATGACGAATTACGCGATATCGTTCTTAATTTTGTTATTGCTGGTAGAGATACCACAGCTCAGGCACTTTCATGGACGTTCTATATGTTGATGTGTCATCCTCGTGTTGAAAAGAAGTTACTGGAAGAAATCAATGAACACATTACCGATGTTGATAATCTCGATGCTCCCACTCTTTATGAGAAAATCAAGAGCATGAATTACGCCCATGCTGTGTATGGATTCTATTTGTATAAATACAGAAAGAAAAAAAAAGATAAGCTAATACTATTTATAGCTTTTATGAGGTACTTCGACACTATCCTTCTGTTCCGCTCAATCAAAAGTACGCTCTGAATGATGACATTTGGCCAGACGGAACTCGTATCAAAAAGGGCGATTATGTCTTGTGGTGTCCCTATGTCCAAGGTCGCTCAGAAAAAGTGTGGGGTGCAGATGCCAAATTGTTTAAGCCTGAACGATGGATAACCCCAGAAGGAGAACTTCGTCGGGAATCGCAAGGCCAGTGGCCTGCGTTCCACGCAGGACCTCGTGTTTGTTTAGGTAACGATGCGCGATCGTTAAAGTTTTAAATTTTGCTAATCATCTCTTGAAATAGGTCAACACTTGGCCACTCTTGAAGCTCTGGTAGCCATCACCTTCCTTCTTAAGCGTTACAAGTTTAGTCTAGTCCCTGGCCAAGATATTAGATATCAAGTATCATTGACTTTGCCAATGAAATACGGCATGAAGGTCATGGTTGAAAGGCGTGAACAATAAAAATAAAGTTCAATTTCTGTTTTTGGACAAATTTCATTGACATATTGCTTATGCACCTTTAAAGATATTTTATTTATATGAACATTGTAGGCACGTGATGTTTTTATGAGGCTGAAAAGCATTATGCAAAAGCGAAAAAGACATTTAGGTAGTCACCGAACTGGATTAGATGGCGAAGATAGCTCCCTTTCCCATGACACAGATAATCTACTTCATATGAAGTAAAGATAACGCTCAAATAGTTATAGTATAAATAGCGCGTTGTACGCGTCAACAGTCATACCTCCCCCTTTCTTATTTACAGTGTTTCCATTTAAAAATGGAATTATTTAAGAAGATCAACACCACATGCACCAGAAAATAGGCTAATGCTACGGGTGCTGCCTGTAATTTCATTTTACAGCTTCACACTACCAAATTCTCTACCTAAACTGAGGCTGTTCAGTGGGATATCCTTTGATATAAAATATGCATTTATCATAATTACACTTAAATTATCTTGGTTGGTCAAACTGACAACATAGGATTAGAATAAAGAAATAACAGCATATCTTTTTTATCCCTTTCTTCTTGAAAAGAAATAAACAAAGATGGAAACTTTATAAATTGGTATTCTATATCAAAGAAAGTGGAAAGATATCTGCCTCTGAGTAAATTTAGCGTGGTACCATATAATGACGAGCTCTTTTGAAGACATCACGGCCTATTTTCTGGTGCATTTTCTGGTGCATGTTGTGTTCATCTTTAAGAAAGCCCTGAATCCCCAAAAGAAGCAAAGAGCGAAACGAGAAACAGTCATGTATCATGGCCTCTTGCGGTAATAATCATATTAATTCAAAATAACAATAATAAGTAAAGTATTGAGAGAGACAGGCACAAGACCAGCGCGATTTGAAAGATCAAAGGAAGGAAGCAGTACAATTTCTGTCATCAACGCTAAGGATATTTTATACAGGAAACATCTGTTTGTACAATCGTCCACAAATCTCTTAGTTCAGTACACGAAACAACAGTAGATGTTTATGTGTTCTTTTGTTACTTCAAGGTTTTTAGAGACTGTAAAAATACAAATCGTCCAGTTCAAAACCTGTATAATACAACAGTGATAAAATAAACTGTACGGTGTTTTAGGTTATTTATTGATGCGACATTTACAATAAAAGAATGATGATATGAAAAAAATGTATATACATATGCTTATCACGACAAAGGGTTGTAAGTCGATCCGATGACTTCTGGAGCTGTGAAAATGTCTTGTAGGTCATTGAGCCATTCTGTCTGTTGTAGAACTGTCTTTGGCATGACAGATATTCCCTCTGGTGTAGGAGCCGCGCTTGAAATTGAGCCTACGTCGCTTGTTAACAGACCTTCAATATCATTGATATCAAAGTTCATATCCAAGCATAGTTCTGGAATGCTTTTAGGGCTTGTTTGAGAAGATGTAGATGTAGTGGGAGATCTAGTAGGTGTCTGAGGCAATACCAAACCTGTACTAGAAGTATTGTTGAGATCAGCTCTAGGTTTGGCTTTAGGCATATAAATGGATGAAGTAGTGGATGTAGCGACTTTGGGTTTAGTCTTTGGTATATAGAGTGAAGTAGGAGCTCTAGGTACACTAGGTTTAGCCTTTGGCATAAAGATGGATGTCTTTGCAGAGGCCAATACAGGAGTCGTGGGTATGGCCTTGAGGGCAACAGTGGGAGATGGGTTGTCAGAGGAAGCAATATTTGAAGTACCAGCAAGTGTTTTAGTTGCAGTAGGCGCCAGTTGAGAATTAACGACTGGTTTGACTAGAGAAGCGACATCCAGTTGTGTGGTATTGAAGCCAATATCCTTGGAAGTAGTGACATTATTATGAGCAGAGTTAGGCTCTGTAGCTAGTTTTGAAATAGACTTGGGAGTGATAATAGGACGTGAAACGATACTTGAGTGTTCTAAAGAGACAACATTAGAAGAAAGTTAACGTAAGCAAAAAATGGAAATCTACCTTGAATATTTTGAGTATCATGAAGTACGCGTGTATGTGTAGCTTCTTTAGCAATAGGCAAAGCCTTTAATTGCAGTTGCTCTTTCTGCTTTAAGAGTGAATCACTAGGCTTGGTAGCAATCAAACCTTGTCTAGGATCCGTAGCAGATTGCTCACTATGTACAACTGAAGCTGCAGGTACGCCTGCGGTATTAGCAGCTGTAGAAGGTATGATGCGTTTTTTAATACTATACCCTTTGTATGTGTCAGGACCTTCAATAAGAAGATCGGTTATATCACTTTGAGTGAATGGGTATACGCACTAAGTAATATAGATTAGTGAATTTGCAAGTTGATCGACTATAGATTATACAACTTACTTTAAGATTTTCACACATAATAAATTGACAATCAAAGTTTATGGTATATGGCAACACTTCAGAATCACAAATAGGGCAAGATCTTTGTCTCTTTAGGCTTGACATTTAGATAAAAGTTTAAAACCTGTGCAAAAGACAAAGAGAAAGAGATTACAAGTTTAAAAAAAATACGCTCTTTCCCCCTTTTCTCATAAAAATAAATTCATTGGCTATTCATGTTATCTGAGCAAAAATACAAGCCACAATCAGTTTGTTTGTAAAGAACACATGCCGTGCTAAATTAATGAATGTACGCCGATGTACATAAAAAGCAGTAGATGTTGTCCTCTCTCTCTCGCTGTCTCCCTATTTTCTCTTGTATTAAAATTGAAGAAAGAAGGATGAATAATAGCCATGATTATTAGTCCAACGATGATCATACCAATGATGACCATTTCAAGGTACACAATATCGTCATCTTGATTCAAGAGAAAAACAAGGTCGTCTACCCTTGTAGTCTATTACTGCTTTAATTTTATCCATCAAGAGTAAACAGAGACATAGACAGCATGTATTCAAGCGTCAATCATTGCTGTCGATCTTGCATTGTTCTTGAAGGGTTTGCTTAAAAAAATATAAAAGTACTATTAGCCAATGAAAACTCAAGATTACCTGCATTAAAGATAATCCTAGTAACACAGACTAGTTATGCGATTGTTTTGCCAATAATTTCCCAAAAAAGTTGAAGTGCCCAAAGCAATAATGGGCAAAATGAAAACATTTACCAAAGATTGACATTTGTTTATATCCTTTATAATCATTTTTATTTTCACTATTCTTTGTCTTCTTTTTCTCCTTTTGACATTGTTCCCCTTGTTCATAAAGAGACAATGAAGTTGCTACTAATTTTACAATTGATATGCACCATTACTGTTGCCTATTCATTCATACTGCAGCCACTGCCAACAAAGACCGCAACTGTCCCGACTAATGGAAAGCATCTCGATTCACCAACACCTGCTCCACAAAAACGATTAGTGAAGCGTGATGTATCTGATACATTGAGCTTATACGAGATGTGGGCGGATGATTGCAATAACAACAATAAGAATAATGCAAAAGTGGCTATATCAGGCCTAAATGCTCTCTGGCAAACTGTAACAAGCACTGTATATTGCGGAAACGGCCGCGTTACTACTATTACAAAAACTGTAACAGCAACATCGACGGCAACTGCTACAAAAGGAACCGGAGGAAGTGGTAGTAGTGGTGGTAGTAAAGGAAACACCTGTGATGATCAATGCTGGAGCACTTATTTATGGCGTAAGATGTGTATAATGAATAATGAATGTCCCTTTTCTAACTACCTCTCATAGACACATATGGCTACGGTATTTCTGTTGCTCAAGGCATTACAGGCACGATCTTGATGATTCTTGGTATTTGTTTCTTAATCTTTGGCTTCAGCTCTTTCCGTGGAACTTTGGCTGCAACTGGTTTCGTCTTTTTTGGTAATACGGTTGATCTATATTTATCACTAAGACTCATAACATTCGATAGCCTGTATGACGTGGATTGGCCTAGTCAATAACGAACCCCAATATGGGTATCCAAACAACGATGCCGTTTATCTTTCAGTCTCATGTGGTCTTGGTCTCATCGGCGCCTTTCTCTTTATGTATATCTACAGTATAGCCGTGTACTTTATCGGCTGCGTCGGTGGATTCTTTCTCGCTGTCTTCATTCTCTCATGGAAGGATAGTCTTACTATTCAGATTGTAAGTTCATTATTTTTAATTCTCACACGTCTAACCTTTCACACGCTTTTAGCAAGTTGCACGTATTTGCTTTATTGTTGGCATGGGCATATTATTTGCCATATTTATTTGTTTAGCAGAAAGTTATTTTGTCATATTTTGCACTTCCTTTATTGGTGCATACATATTCATGCTTGGCCTTGATCTCTTTGCTCATACTGGTATGGTCAATGCTTTCCTTGTGATCTTTGATGGAAACCAATACCATCATAATGTGTATATTATGAGAACATCTGTTTATGTAATGCTGGCATTTGTTATATTCCTTACCATTATTTCTTTTATTTGGCAATATTATTGGAATATTGTCTGTAAAAAGAAGGGCTTTGGTATTAACCTTGAAGAAAGAGTCGAAGAAAAAGTAGTAGAAGCTTAAAGTGATATAAGTGTATTATTTACCCTCTCAGTATTTCAGTATCTCATACTGTATTCTTATTAATTATTGATGTAAAATAAAGAATTATTTACGTAAAAAGACGACAAAGAAAAATATGTTTGAATAAAACAACATCATGTCAAAAAAGAGAGAGATAATGAGTATATGTAGAAGAAGAGAGAAAAAGTATGTTAGTATTAGGGCATATATCCTAATGTTAGTTTTACTTACCACCAAGGTGCATTCTGGGGAGGGTGGCGATAACTACCCAGGAAAGTTTAAACAAAAAAAAAGGAACGGAGGACAGAGAGAACCCAGAGCGTCAGAAGAGACTAGTAGGGAACGTTCTAGATACACGCCAGAGAGCAAAGAGGGCGGGACAAGCGAGTCAGAGCAAGGACCATGAGGACAGGCTAGTTTTGATTTGTGAATCTTTGAACACTCAGAGGGACATTTGATAACTGCTGTAAAGAAGCAAAAAAAGGACTCGATTAAAATGGGTTTCTATATGTTTTTCTTTTTCAAACAAGCTTCAGGATCAGGTACCTGGAACAAAGAAATCATATCAAATAGGAGAAATCTACATGGTGATTATTCAAGGATATGCATTGCCAAATATGACTATATAGAAAAACCGAATAAAGAACTTAAACTTTTACAGAGAGACTAAAGAGGGCCATTTCTAATATTAAGTTAATCTCAACTCCAAGACAGCTCACCTGCTAATATTACTGTCAAATGGGATAGTGAGCCATGCTCTTTTTGTATTTGTTATTACTCTGATAACATTACAACGGTTTCAATACGTCATCTAAATTTGGAAAGCACGACATTCAGTCTCATTATTTTTTGGAAATGCAGTATAGCTTTGACACCTGATTTACTAATTATACATCTATTAAGAACGAAAAAGACATACTGATCTATAAAATAGTACAGAATTTGTTTATTAAATAAAACTTTTTATAAGGAGAGAAGCATCTGTTGGTATTCTAACATATTATTTGTTCTTATTGGCTTGTTCCTTCTTGTATTGTTGAATGAGTTCTTCTTGAACGTTTGTTTGAACGGGTTGATGATCTTTGTATTCCATAGTGAATTCACCTTTGCCCTGAGTAGCAGATCTTAATTCTGTAGAATAGCCAAACATATCATTAAGAGGAACATCTGCAGTCACTTGGAAGTAGTCTTCTTGAATTTCAGTATCTACAATAGTACCCTTACGCTTGTTGAGACCACCGATAACGGCGCCTTGGAATTCAGTAGGGGCTGTAATGGAAACATTCATGATGGGTTCCAAAATGGTAGGTCTAGCCTTAGCAAATGCTTCCGAGAAGGCGTTCTTAGTAGCAATACGGAAAGCTAATTCACTAGAATCAACAGAGTGAGCAGCACCATCTTCCAAGATCATACGAACACCATTCACAGGATGACCAATTAAAGGACCCTTTTCAAGGCCGTCAAGGAAACCCTTTTCACATGCAGGAATATAGTTAGTGGGAATGTTACCACCAACAACACGGTTTTCAAATTCAATATCCTTTCCAGTTTCTTCATCACGGGCCATAGGTTCGATCACACCCATGACACGACCGAATTGACCAGCACCACCAGATTGTTTCTTGTGAGTGTAGTTGAACTTGGCGGGTTGAGTGATGGTTTCACGGAAAGCAACACGAGGTTTACCAGTAACACATTCGACACCGTATTCACGCTTCATACGTTCAACGTAAATTTGCAAGTGAAGTTCACCCATACCAGAGATAATAGTCTCCTTGGATTCACTGTTAACATGAACACGGAAAGTAGGGTCTTCCTTTTGGAAACGGTTCAAGGCCTTGGAGAAGTTTGGGCTTTCCTTACCCTTGGGGTTGATAGAAAGAGAAATGACAGGTTCAGGGACGTACATGGAGGTCATGGTGTATTTGAGAGTGCCATCAGTAAAGGTGTCACCACTGGAACAGTCAACGCCAAAAATGGCGCCAATTTCACCAGCACCAAGTTCATCAACGTCTTCCATATCAGCAGCATGCATACGAACAAGTCTAGGAACCTTGATCTTCTTACCAGTCTTTACGTTGGTGATAAAGGATCCTTTCTTCAAAGTACCTTGGTAAATACGCATATAAGTCAATTGACCATAGCGACCTTCTTCCAACTTGAAAGCGAGACCAACGAATGGACTGTTGGAGTAGGGCTTGAGTTCGACCTTTTCTTCATCCTTATTGATGTCCAAAGCAACATTAGTAACTTCGGTAGGATTAGGCAAGTAGTTGACGACGGCATCCAAAAGGGGTTGTACAGCAGTATTCTTGAAGGCAGAGCCCATCAAGACAGGCGTAAACTTCAATGAGATGGTAGCACGACGAACAGCAGCAACGAGTTGTTCGGCAGTAGGAATTTCCTCAGCAAGATAAAGATCAGCGATTTCATCATCCACGTTAGCCAGTTGTTCAATCAGTTCATTACGTTTTTCGGTAGCGAGGGGCATCAACTCTTCAGGGATATCACTTTCGACCAAGTGTTCACCGTTATCACCTTTGTTATAGTATGCCTTCCATTTAATCAAGTCCACAACACCAGCAAATTGATCTTCTGCGCCAATAGGGATTTGAACAGCGGCAGCAGTCAACTTGAGCTTTTGACGAAGTTGATCAATAATACGGAATGGATTTGCACCAGCACGATCCATCTTGTTGATAAAGGAAATACGGGGGACATTGTAACGACGCATTTGACGATCGACAGTAATCGTCTGAGATTGAACACCAGAGACAGAACATAAAATCAAGACAGCACCATCAAGCACACGCAAGGCACGCTCTACTTCAATAGTGAAATCGACGTGACCTAAAAATGATCATTGTCAACAATGCTGAGTTGTATTTCATGTGTGACACTTTACCAGGAGTATCGATAATGTTAATATTGTGATCTCCCCAGCTTGCATAAGTAGCAGCTGATTGAATAGTAATACCCTTTTCTCTTTCCAAATCCATAGAATCCATTTTTGCACCAACACCATCACGTCCTCGGACGTCATGGATTTCCTTGATACGGCCAGTGTAATAAAGAATACGTTCTGTACATGTTGTCTTACCAGAATCAATATGAGCTGAAATACCAATGTTACGAAGCTTATTTAAGCGATCCTAAGATATATAAAGAATTAGTTATTTGTATATTTGATAAGTTTGTGTGCTGCGATCTTACAAGATCTTTGGCATCGGCTTCGGTTGATTGAAAGCGACGACCCATTCCAATAGGGAAAAGAGAAAAAGTCGAATGAGGGGTTACCTCCAGAAAGGAAGAAGCTGTTGCTCGGAAGCTAATCTTCCCCGGAAGCCCTCCAAGTAGAGAGCGTACGAAGGACATTCTACACTTTACAAAAGAAAAAAAAAGTTTTGGACCCTTGCCCTGACAAATTTATCGGAAGGACTGTGTGGCTGTTGCAGAATTAAATGCACCCCGATTTCAAAATTCCGCTTAAAATAATCTACAGCTGTGGACCAATCGAAATAAACTTTCAGGCAAGTTGAATAGAAGTTGGACATCTTTGCTGTAAAAATTCTAAATCTCTTGTGAAAGAGAAATCACTTTGGATATGGCGATATGAAAAAAAAAAGAGAGAATGAAGATGATATGGCCATGTTGCCTCCACTCCGACCTAGGATGTGTTACTGAGTTGGTTAGAGGTTACTATTGAATTCGTTTCGTATATCATAAAGAAAAAAAGAACACATTTCAATACCTTCTTCCTATCTCAGTTTTAGTCACGCAGAATCATGAAGTTAGTTTATTGAGAAAGAAAGTTAGCCATATAAAACAGAAATAGATGTAAGAAGGATATGCTAAAAATTAAAGAATTCGTAAAATGAACAAGTAGGTTGAGTCTGGTATAGGTCCAGGTGCATGTCTTCTTTACACTGAGGTGTGTGTTTTATAAAAGATGATCAGTTTTTTGCGAATCAATTGTGTGATGATGATGCAATTGAAGACAAAGACGATTTTCTTTTTAAAGGGAATGTTTTTTGGAATGTACCAAGTCAAATGGGAGTATTGGCGTCTTTGATACTTCGCTATCATTTTTCTCGATATCTTCATGAAACATTTGAGATTGTACAAATCATCAAGGTAGACATAAATGCCTTGAATATCATATAGGCTTTTGGGTATCTTGATTGTTGTAGCTTCCGTTAAAGTGATCATGCTACATTTCAATTGCATGGTATAAAAAGCGACAGAGTGACCAATTGCTTGAAAATGTAAAAGGGAAACATTATATGCACCAGAAGTTAGACTAATCATACGGGTTCTACCTCTATCCACTACTTATGATGAAGTCCAATAAAGCTACTCAATATACAGCGCCACGCTAAACATGACTTTATAAAGTTATCATCTTGGTTTGTGTTCTTTTCAAGAAGAAAGGGATAAAAAAGAAATTTCTCTATTCTAACCTTACGTTGTCAGTTCGATCAACAAAGACCATTTTTGATAAATTCGCATTTACATTATTTAACCTATTTTCTGGTGCACGTAATGTTGGCCTTGGTTGAGCCCAAGTGGAGACTACTCATCAAATCTAGCCGTGTAAAGAATTGTAGTCGCATGAATTTCCTTGGGGCTTTTTTTTTTTGGTATAGCTTGAATTGCCTTGTAATTCGTCAGTAGAGGAAATAGTATCAAGGAACTGAATGAGCTGTGAGTCACTTATTATAATCCAAATGTTAGGATAACATTATTGGAAAGTTGAACCTGGATTACTTACTCAGCTGGGTGCTTGCTCGTGTTTTATGTATAGTAGATGTACAGTCAAGGTAACGTTTAAATGTAAAAGGGTCACTGAAGATCCGTGTTTTTATTACAAGAACTGGCCAGGGTGGGCTTGTTTTGTAACAGATTTCAAGTCCTTCATAACTGTTCATTTTTTCCAAGCATTTTTTTTTTTCATTTTCTGGCATACGTATGGTATTTGTGCTTATAGAGTTGTAAAACAGTTAAGAGTCAATAGCTAACAATTACTATTTTACTATAAGTGTGAGAGAAAACTATTAAATGGGCGTACGACCCTGGTATATACGAGGGGTGGCGACTACAAATATCTGATGTTTTCTATTAGCTGAGAATGGATAAATAGAGAATTAAGAGATGTGTGATCTATGTAAACACGACACCGACTTCCTTGTAGAATTGGTCGATAAAAATCCATGTGTCACAGTGGACATGGCAAGAGAAGAGCTTTGCAGACTGTTTTGTGACCTTGAAATATCTGCAAGTGGGCTTAGTAAACATATAAAAGAGAGGGCTGGTCTCTCGCTAAAGGCTCCGCATACTTATACCATAGAAAGAGATGCACCAAGAACTATCAGGTTATGACATCAAATTATCACTGAGTGGAAAGCTGCTGGCGTTGATTTTCAGAAAAATTGTGTTTTTATAGATGAGGCGGGATTCAGCCCTCATCAAATTAGAAGTAGAGCTTGGTCTGTTAAAGGTACACCAGTGATTGTGAAAGTTCCAGCTCAGCGAGGTATTGATCTCAGTATCGTTGGGTGTATCTCACCATTTGGAACAATAAGCTTCTCAAAAGTTATACCTTTAAAGGATAGTGATGTCGCAAAAATTACGAAAGAATTCCCCGTAACTGAAGTAAAAAGAGAAAAGCTAAAACTGAAGAGATTCCCAGAACAAAGGTAAAGAAAGGTGCAACCGTCTACCATGTTGTACATTTTGTTCGAGGCGCTATGGATGTTCTGGATAAGTACGATAAAAAGAGCTTCTACATTGTCATGAACAACTGCAGGGTTCACCACTCTCATTAGCGGCAGAGGCTATCAAAAGCCGTGGCTATAAACCCTTGTTTATGCTTCGGTACTCTCCCCTTTTGAATCCTATTGAAGAACGCTGGTCCAAGATAAAAAAAATGTAAAAGAAATCCGCTTAGCGTTTTGGATAGTTTAACTTCTAGAATACAAGAAGCTTGTGGGCTTGTCTCCACGGAAGGTTGTCTTGAATGGATCAAACATTCAGAGTCGCTGTGGGACAGATGTCTTGAGAAAGAACATAGTCTTGTATAATGAGCTATTACCGTTTTACCTGTTATCATTTCCGAATATCTATATTATTTTGTCTGAGTACTTCTTTACTACTCGTCTGATTTTTTTTCATAAAGTGCAAATACTGTACATGCACCAGAAAATAAGCTAATGCTAGGCACGTTTCTTTGAGGTACTACATGTGACATCATTTTACAACCTCATATTATCAAAGTCTCTGTCTAACCTAAGGCTGTCCAGTTCTCTCTCTGATATAAAATACGATGTCATCATAGTTACACGTGAGCTAAGTTGCCTTTCTTGATCAAACTGGCAACATATAAAGAAATAACAATATTTCTTTATCTCTTTCTTCTTGAAAAGAACACAGACCAAGATGGTGACTTTATATAGTCATGTTTAGCTTGGCGCTACACATTGAAAAATTTTGTTAGGCGATATCACAGGTAGTGGGTAGAGGTAGCGCCCGTAGTATTTGTGTATTTTTGAGTGCACCAAGTGTTTGCCCCAAAACGCCCTGACCATGTCAAAAAATACCCTTGTCCATTCTGCTCTGAAATATTTGCAGACAAGAGTGATTTAGAGCAACACGCAAACATTCCCACATCGTAAGTAAAAGAGAAATGCATATGACGGCGAGAAGACCTGTTTTCTCAGTATTTTGTGTATTATAGGGAGTTTGCTCTGACACGAAAAAAAGAAAATGACTGGCTCGTTGGTAATGTTAATATGTCCCAACTTTTTGATGAATTCAAAAATGAATGCATTACGAACTGAAGCAATTCTAATGCGGTAGACAAGAATTTTTGCAATTGCTGAGAATATCATCGATTATGGTGATTCAAAAGCGTTGTGGATACAAGGATGGACCATATCAACAGCTAGACAAATGATGCATAAGGAAATCATTTGTGGTCTTCGATTCAATCTTCTCCTTGATCAAAATACAAGCAACACTATCAAAAGTATCCTCATGCAATACCGAGATATGCATATTAGTAAGGTGGTGGGCGCACATGAGCTTAATTGAACTAGCAATCAGAATACCTCCTGAAAAAAAGGTGGCTCTGTTTGTGGAAGCAGTAATCAAATATAGAAATGATTTTAACAGGGTAATCGAATCTGAAGTCGAGCCTGGGGCTGATGTAATACATCCCTTCATGCAAGCCCTGTTCGCTGGCGATGGCGAACAAAGACAAGCCAAATGTGCAGATACTGCAATTCTTGACGATGATTAACGCAAACGGCCTGATTACATTGTGGAAAAATATAATGGGTATGACGATCATCCAACCTGCGTGGGGGAAATAAAGAAATCCAACGCTTCAGAAAGCCTATTGGTTATGAATTTTTACCGAGTTGCTCTCTTCAGCAAGTTACAAATATAAAATCATGACTTGAAGAGGTTTTTACATTTTCAAGCAATTGGTCACTCTGTCGCTTTTTATACCATGCAATTGAAATGTAGCATGATCACTTTAACGGAAGCTACAACAATCAAGATACCCAAAAGCCTATATGATATTCAAGGCATTTATGTCTACCTTGATGATTTGTACAATCTCAAAATATTTCACGAACAAGCAAAAATAAAATTGTTTTCTATGCTACATTTTAGATACAAGTGCCATAGGATGAGGCCTACTTTATTTTTCATCTCGCCTCAAAAGAAAAGCGAAGCATCTCATTTGAAATAGTTAGTACATCATTCTCTTTCCTTCTTGTCAAGTTCATACAAGATTTATTATCATAATTTTGGTTAAATATTTATATATAAACTTGTTCATGCTGAGCTTTTCATTCGATCAAGTCTAGCTCTTGCTTCTTCTTCAGAAACGGGCAAATAGTAAAGATGAGGAAGTGTTTTAGTCTTTTGGAATAGATCATCCAAAGATAATCCCCGCTTCTCTTCCCGAACATGTTCAGGTTGGGCAGTTTTTGTCTTTTCTGGAGGTGATGCAGCTACAAGTTATGAGTATAATGTAAATATAAATGTCATTATTATTATTATTATTATTACCTTGGGCTAATTGTTTTGCGATTTGTCCGATACCAACCGAGCGAGTCTTTCTTGTGTCTGAAGCTGGAGAGGAAGGTATGGGTTCACCTGCCTTTACTTTCTGAATGATATCCTCCCAATTGACACGAAGACGCTGCTCAGCGGCGGATTGTTCATATTCAATTAGACTCTCAGCTTGTTCAGGTGTTAAACCCCCAACTATAAGTTTTCTTCCTGTGTCAGAAGGGAAAATAATACCATTTACCTGATTATATGCTTTCTTGGCCTCTTCTATTGTTTCATACTAGGAAAGATAGCTTAGTAATTTACGCATGATTTGTAATTTAAACTTACAATAACATAACAATGCGTCTTTATGGAATCCATCCAGAATCTTTTAATGTTGCCATATTTTGCAAACAAGTCTTGTGCTTGACGAATAATTAAGGGACGGACGAATCCTTTGACGATAATAGCAGAGCTGATGATTTCATTATCTTCTTCTCTTTTCATGCGCTTTTCTACTTCATATCAAGCATTAATACGCGCAAGATTTTTTTATGGATCTAATTCATACCTTCTGCATTCTCATTATATTCTCCTTTTCTTTTTGTTCTCCTTTCCGATTCAATTTCCATAGAGCTTGACTCCTTCTTTTCAACAGGTTCTTTCTTATCAACAAATTCCTTCTCTTCAGTAACAGGAGCTTCCTTGGGCTCTTGTGTTTCTTTTGTCTCCTGTGCTTTTTCATTCAGCTTTTCTTCAGCTAATTGCTGAACTTCTTTTTCATTTACTCTCTCTTTTGCTTCTTCTTGCTTATCGTTTTCTACAGATTGCTTTACTACTTCACCTTTCTTCTCTACCACTTCATTATCTTTTTTATCGTCTTTTTTATCACTTTCTTTATTGGGCTCCAAGACCTCTGTTTCATTTACTGATAGCTCTTCTGTTGGTTGTGCGTTTTCTTCTTTTTCTGTTTTATCAGCTTTTTCTTCTTCTTTACTCATAGCTTGTTCATTATTGCCAGTTCCATCATGAGTTGCGTGTTCTGCTTCCATCGCTTCAGTCAAACGAGCTACTAGTTCATTCTTTTTTCCTTTGGTAGACAAGTTGCGGTTGCTAAGTTCAGCACGTAATTCAACTACTTTCAAAGACGCAAGATCTGTCATGTTTAGAGAAAAGAAAAGAAAAAATTGAGCGTGATTCTTTCGGAGTTTATTTACTAGGTTTAAATTTTAGGCATTGAAATGGGGTGTCCAAGGTGACCTTCCTCCTCTTTTTTTATGGATGAATAATTTAATTTATCAAAATAAAGGGACTTGGCCAGAGTAAAACAAAGTATAGCCTTAGAAAGGCATTGAAGAATAACTTCGCAGCTTTAGCAAAGACTTGGCCATGTTGAAAATGGTCATTCCTATGGGTGACCCAAATTGCATGCATAATCGAGCCCAATATGTCAAAAATTGGTTGATCATCTGAGACAATGTGAAAATAAGTAAGAGTCAAGAAGAACATGCACATGTAAAGGGAGGAGGAGTCAGCTATCGACGAAGGCGTAAGATGATCAGCAAGCACGGAGCTCCAGACATCAGCCTTGTAATCACAGTTAAACAGCACATGCCCTGTTTTTTCGGAAATAAAACAGTACTGACAAAAGTCGTCCGGTACTTGCTGTGGAATTATACGTTAAAGTTTGGTTTTGCTGGACACCTTGTCAAAAATTAGTCTATACCAGAAGTTCCTAGCAGAGTACTGCATAGAAGTGGTATAAAACAAACTCCAGTTGCATCTAGAAATAGCGGGAAGCTGTGGTAGCCCCGAAGGGAATTCCAGTTTATTTTTGATGATCTGTCTTATGGCCTTGTTTTTTAAGGAGAGAATCGGCTTACTATCAAGATGGAAACATAAAGGGAATGGCCGAATATCTATCGAGCTTGGAATAGACGTATTTGCCTGGTGCGTGGATGCCAAGTGTATTTAGAAAAACCCATGATACAGTCTTTTCAAAAAGTAAAGTCGCATTTTTGCAATTTTTATAATACAATTTATACGAAAAGCGACAAGCCAGTGCGACATCTCTTTCTGGAAATGGTGTATAATAAAGATACTTGGTCAAAAATAAAAGTCAGCATTCAACAATGTGTGTGCTATGCTTCAAAATGCTGGCTTCAAACCCTAATATATACTCTTTGTCCTTTCTTCACCATATCTTTTAAGCTAGCAACATGTGGATATTCACTTTTTTTTTGGGAGAGGGATAGACTTAATAGTGTCCAACGCGACGATACCAGAGAGCGTCTATCACATTGTTCCCACCTTCCTTTCCCTCTCGATTTCTTCAAAAAAAATGTGTTTATTATAAGTATTTATTAATTAATGGGGGGAATAATATTAAAAGTTGTATATAAAAAGAGGGTCTATCTTACATGTTATTTCTTTCCAGAGATTAAAACAAGTCCATTTGTTAAGAATCTTGATGGTAATTTTAATAAGCCTTGAAGAATATGGTTGTTCATTACTTTATCAAGTCGTCGTAATTGAACAAACCCTTGTTGGTATCTGTATAGGTTATCCTCAGTTAGTTGATGCATTATGGATTTGATATGACCTTTGATGACATCCTGCTGAATAAAGAGCAATAAAAGTGACTTTAACTCAGTGTCTCTTAGTGGCTGTATAATATCACTGATCGTCTGCTTTATATTGTATTTATTGGCTGTGGGTGCAGTCAGTTCCTGAATTAGCTGAGACAAGTAATCTACCTGAATGGTGATCTCATCGATTCTTTCATCCATATATTGCTGACCATCTTCTTGGGAAGTGTCATCATTGTAAAATTCTCTAATGATATCCTTTCTCTCCTTTAGTAGCTCTTTTTGCTCTCTCATCAATTGAATCTTTTTCTGCTTCAAATCCTGTATTATTTCAGCACAAGCCGGATGGTTTTTGATATTGTCTATTGAAATAACCCTGACACAAGATGTTACTTTTTATAAAAGGAAAATAATGGAGATGAACTTACTTTAATATTTCATGATACACTGTATCAACTGGTTTTGGTGGATTAGAAAGACGCTTGGCCACGTCACCTGTCTTTTGCTTTATCAGCGTGTTGTGAATAACAATAGCCTTATTTAATACAGGCTTGATTTGCTGAATGGTAATGGTTGCATTATTCATCATACTAAATACTCTTTTCACAATCAATCCCATCTGCTTCATTTGAGCGGATATATTTTCGTTTTCAGTGACGAGTCGATCAATTTCAATCTGTAACTGCTTATGTTGACTGCTTGTCTTTTCACTTGACATTCTCTTCACCTGCTTTGGCTGAGGTAACGATGATCGCTTGATCTTTGTCTCTGGTACTTCATTTGTTGTCGTTGGATGATGACGCATAGTATGATGCTTCTCAATATAATACACAAGTTGCTTTTGTTCTTTCAAACTGCTTTGAAACAAACTGATCAATTTACCAACGTCCACCGTCTCTTTAACCAGCTACAATATTGTTATTAAGTTTTCAAAACAAAGGGCTAATCTCTCTTTTACCCTAGCTTGCTTCAGAAACATGCTTTCCTTCTTTATACGATGTTTATGCTTTTCAATAAACTCTAGTTTATCAGGTACGCCACTCGTGTTGGATGAACACTGAGAAGTTAACTTCTTCCTGTTCGAACTGTTGGAATGACTCGGCTTCTTTTTGCGCCTTGTTGAGCTGGAGGTACGAACTGGAATCTGAACAGATAGGCGATTGTTTGACTTTTCGTCACTAGATGAACCTACCAAGGTAACATCATCATCGTCCTTAGGGCTCTCTCTGATGCTATGCTGAGATATACCTAATGCAGCTTCCAACACTTGGTTTCTCTTTCGAAGCTCATCCAACTCGACATGAACCTCCTTAATAAAGGCGTCACTGATCTGGATCTCTTCTCGAAGACGGGCGATTTCCTCCTTTAAGGCATCTGTCTCGCTTTGTTCTTGATTGATAGTAATCTTGTTTGTGATGCGTTTGGCTCGATTCGCGTACTTTAACGTGCTCAGCGTTTCGTTTTGGTTGCTATCTGCTGGAGAGACACAGGCAAGCATCAGTGTCTGGCTGTTGCCACCCAAGCTGTCTTGCAGCAAACGTGTCAATTTGGAGTTTCGATAGGGTATGTACTGTCCGCCATCGCTAAGGGCTGAAATGACGTTCCCAAGAGCTAAAAGACCGGCGTTGATCGAGATACCTTCCTTGGCTCGATCTCCTACAGCATTTGTTTTCTTTAACTGTGTCATTTAAAAAATAAGGTAAGTTGCATGAGGTGGTTCACGTTTTTTTTTCTTTTTTTTTTTTTTGTTATACCCGTTCTGAGCCTGCAAGGTCAACAAAGTGGAATTTGGATGTGATTTCTTTTTTAGTCGAATGTATGCTTTGCACTAGTGTTACGCTAAAGATAGCATGCGATCGCGATGATTGACTGTTCATGTCTGTTGAAGCTGTTGTACGTGCTATAGATCCTTGGTATAAACAACTATACGAGCTGTAAGATAGAATTGTTTATCTAATATTTACTTACTTTAATAAGCCTTTAGTATCATGGACTACTTCTTCATGGACTCCGGACCAAGAAATATTTCCTAATGAATCTTCTCTGATCATTATACTGTTATTGTTGATATTCAGTAGGTCTATGAGATCCTCGTTATACAGCTCAAGAAATGATATTCTGACTTTATAAGATGTGTTGCTATTGTTCGTCTGAGTTTGAATCCAGTGAAATAGGTTTTCTGCAAAACGAGGTACAATTCCATAATGCTTTGGGTCCTGATGGTGATAAGATGTACCCATATTGTATGTTTTACCACTTCCCGTTTGCCTAAAGTAATACAAGTTTTATGTTATTTTATTTTCCTCGAGAAAAAAGAAATTAATATATTACCCATAAGCCAATACAGTAGCATTATATCTATTTTTCAAAAGGAGTGATCAGATGTCAAATTAAGAAATAAGAGTTGAGAAAGTTTACCCTTTTACAAACTGATCAAATAAAGGTTGAATACAAGAAAGATAGACTTCTTCCTGGGTAACAGATGGAGAATAGACATGATCGAACGTAAACTGTCTGTTTTGATCGACGATAACTTGTGGTTGGTTGGGTATAAAAGTAATACAGCTTTTTGTCTCTTCTTTTTCTAACAGTGGCCTTACTCTCAAAGCCACTCTGTATGCATGTTATTAAATGTCGAGGATATCATTTGGGCTTATATTACCTGACGGTGCAAACTGACATTGAATAAAGAAAAAATTAAAAAAAAAAGAGATGAAAAGGAGATGAAAAAGGGAAAAATAAGTGCAGACCAGCTGAACAACAAAAAAAGCGACAGATTACACAAAATCTACCTAGTTTCCCTGTTACCTTGGCAACAGGAAAGCAGTCCACGTAGGAAAATGAATTGTGGTGTCTGGATCAACCGCAGCAAATTCTATTTTAAATCAATGTTACGTGTTTATTTTTTTTATTTCTCTTTCTCTTTTTCTTTACACTTTTTGTCTGTCTCTTTCTCTGTTTCTCTACCCATTTTTGTATATAAACAATAGCAGGGCCAAGAAGAAACTAAAGTGGGGGGGATATTATCATACTTTATATAAGGATTATAACCATTTGACTATAAAAAGGCTCCTACTGCCTTTTTTCAATTCTTTTGCCTGCTCTTCTTTTCAACAAATCAGCGATAGCACCGTGTCTATGTAAACAAGTATACCAATGAAGAAGACAAAAAAGAAACAAGATGATAATAATAGTGCTTATTTTCCACCATCACCACCGCCTATTCATAGAAAACTTTCGTTAGAATCCGATGTGGGAAGACCACCGCCTGTGATTATTGATCATGAAGTACTCCAAGATTTAGCGGCCTTTATTTCAGCAAGAGAAAGTTCAATTGAACAAACCAGAACACCACCATCAACTCCTCCTGTTCCTCCACCTCATGCGTTTGTTGATACCACCTGTCAAATGGATTTTGATCTAGTCGATTTCTTAAATGATGATGAACTTTGTTACTCTGATTCTGAATTCTTTCCTGCTTTGCCTAAGCGTTAATACAGCCCTTTTTTATTTATTTTATATATTTATTATGTATATCTACAATCCCCCATTTGTTACTGCTTTTTTTTACATTTATTACCCTTTTACATACACATAAACACACAAATCATAACTCTTTACATTTCTTTTTTATAATTCTCATTTATTATTAAAAACCAATTCTATTTTTCCCCCTTTTTTTTTTTTTTTTCTCTTCAATTTATGAAATGATGCCCTGTTTTTCACAATAATTCATGATGTAAAAGGACAAGGATCTTTATTATCCGCAACCAGATGAGTCATCTTTAGAAAACTTGGCAACAACATTTTGTGTTTCCAGAAAACTGTCAGTTGCGTTGATACATTGTCAAAGCAGCGAGTTTTGAATACCCGACTTTTTTCAAAAACAGTGGCACACATCTTGGCATGGAGTGTAAAATACTCTTCTTTTTATTTCTCGGCAAAATAATAATAAAAACCACAGAGAGAGTTCCGATTTATCATTTGATGAACTACATATAAATAAATCACATCTGATCCCTCGTTTATCTGTGCGTCAGTTTATGCATTACTTAAAGAAACAAAGAGAGGGAGAGAGAGCGGTAAGTTCGGTGATTTAAACTATTTTGCATATTTTACATGTAGCACTTTTTCTTTTCCCTTTTCTTTTTTCCTTTTTATTTTGCATAATGTGCTCAGATAACGCAAAGGACTATCAAATTGAGCAGCTGTTACAACTATTTCCTGAAGGAGGTATCAAAACGAGAGCAGCCATTTGCCTTTAGATTATAATGACACTTGTTTAGATCCGGACTATTTCCGCTCTTGCCTTGATCATTACCAGCATAATGCCGTCGAACGAGTGACAGAAAAGATTGTAGAACTAGGCGGTTACTATCCCAAGATGCCCTTATTCGACACAGACCGTGATAATAGACTGAATGCCTGTCTGAAAGTCTTGGCCCTAGAGGTGTTTCCTGATTGCGACATTCAGTTCTTGAGAGAACGGGTCCTGAGGTACCCTTTTGCTCATATTGAGCAGGTCACAGATGAACTGCTTCGTTTAGGACATTGGCCAGAGAGACTTAATTATGGTCAAATGGAAGATGCGGACGGTATTCGTAGTGAACGATACAAGCATCAAGCCTTGAAACAGCTTGTCAAAGAATTCCCAGAGGCAAGAAAAAAAAACTTTTGAATGTGTGTGTCTCTGACTAGACTACTCTCCTAGATTTGGAAATCATCTGTTCAAGCTGTGCTCGCAGAGAACAATTGGGACTATCTCAAGAGTCGTGATCAGCTTCAACGTATGGGTTCTGGTGGATTTTGGAACTCAATCAAGAATTTTTTGATACACTGGAACAAAGGAGCAAGACGAGCACAGTATGCTCGACTTGACCCTCAGTTGGAGGAGCAGCTGACAAGTTTAGAAAGACAAAGGATGAATGTTCAAGCGAGTCAAGATCTGATATTGGCCAAGGAGATAAATCAAAAAGAGTATGGTGGTCAGAACCAGTCAATCACCTGTGATTGTTGCTTTGGAGATTATACATTCGAAGAACTCTTGTTTTGTAGTGAAGGAAAGCATGCGTTCTGTCATGAATGTGTCAGTCGATATATAACCGAAGGCCTCTTTGGTCAGGGCGCACTTAGAGCACGGTCATGGATTGATTGTATCGCTTCGTCCGACGCGTGTTCTGGTTGTCTTCCAGCAAGGACGCTCAAGCAAGTACTACCGTCTGATCTATGGATGGCCTATGAACAATCTCACCTAGACAACTGTGAGCAGAACAAAGTTCAATGCTGCTCATGTGCTTACTTTGAATATGATGACTCTGTCAAGCAGTTAGAGACAGTGCCTGTTGTGGACATGATACGAAGGATAATTGGATGGTTTATGGTACTTCTAATTGTGTTTCTGTACTGCAGAGTATTAAATTACTACACCTTTTTTATCATGACCATTCCATTCGCCTTGGGCTATCAGTGGAATATAGAGAGTGATCTCAATATAGCTTACGGTCGTATCAAGCGAGCGAGGCGTGGCCAAGTATTTAGGTGTAGGAATCCAAAATGCCAAGTGTGGACGTGTTTAGAATGTCAGCGGCCGTTTAGAGGATTACATCAGTGTTGGGAAAAAGAAAATGACGGATTAAGACTATATGTGGAAAGAGCCATGGCTGAAGCCGTGAAACGAACGGTACTGTTTTAATACGAGCATAGGCACGACCCACTGATGAAAAAAGATAGTGTCCTCAATGTTCACTTTCATTTCAAAAAGCGGATGGATGTAATAAGATTAAATGTCGATGTGGATATACCATGTGCTATGTTTGTAGAAAGGATATAGCAAGAGGTATTTATATTACCTATGTCAAGTCGATACTAATCTACGTCGTAGAATCATATAAACATTTCTGTGATCATTTTCGAGCGATACCTGGTAGTCGATGTACTAAATGTAACAAGTGTGATTTATATAAAACTGAACCTGAAGATCAAGTGATACGATCAGCAGCAGAGAAGGCCAAGACAGAGTATCTGAGGGCTCACCCAGAGCTTATGAATAAAGGTCTTGTGACAAGTGTCACTGGACCCAAGTCTAGGATAGATAAAATAGGCAAGTATAAAAAAAAATATTAAGAGACAAACAATTAAGAGACATAATAGTGGAATGGAGAGATAGCATAGTGATCAGTACACTTGAATCTATTTTAAACTGGGTTGTGTAAATATCATTGTGCATATACAACAACAACTCCTTTTTTTTTTTCTGTAATATATATATTCACGCGTCGTTTATAATTCTAAAACTTCCTATTTAGGATGAATACTTACAGTGATCAATTATTATTAAAAGAAGTATGTTTCCTATAGATAAACAAACCATTATTTTAAAACTCCACAATAGATTATACATCGATTAAAAACGCGATTGGCATTAGCCAATTTCAAGACACAGCATGGATATGAAAAGATGGATTTATATACACTAGAATCAAGTTTAATCATCAAAAAGAGACAATCAACCAAAAGGAAGGGCAAGAAGTATTCAATTCATATTACTGAAGAAGACGCTGCTAACGTATTAGTCATGCTTCACAACTCATCATTATGTACATAACCACATGCTTTCTCCCTATTTTTCTTCCTTTAAATAAAACTCCATCACTAAATCACGCACGCGTTTACGAATCAAGCTGTTTTCAGCAACCACACTCGTTGCCACGTAAGGTGGTTCAACACGTGCTGAACCTAGTAGGTGAATATGAGGTTCCTTATACTCAGTGGGTATACGATTCTGTTCATAATAATAATAAGAAAAGGGGAGAGAATAAGAAGTAGTAATAAAGCATATTACCATTTCAAAATACTTGATCAGTTCACGACATGTCTGCTCTAAATTAGCTGTTGTATCATGTTTGACTACAGCATTATCCAACTCAACACTATCCAACTGACGTTGTCTATCAACTTTATACTCATAAATATATATATAGATAGATAGATAGATATAATCATAAGCTTACAGTTGATAGTTTTTATGGTAGAATGAAATATAACTTGTAAATGATGATTATCATATAATACAACATGTCTTGTTTGAGGGTCTATTGTATAAAGGTATCCATTATACTCCTTGTCGTCGTCTGTTTTAATGTTGGTATAGCAACCAATCAATGAAACAATGTCTTGGAATGAATACTGATCAAGAGACATGGTGGAAAAAAAAAAAAGAAAAAAGAAAAAAAATTTTTTTTTTCAAGTAAACTATTATATAATAGTGTTTTATTTTATTTATGTGTGTGTGTATGTGTTTATATGTAGTAGCTACAGAGAAAAAATGATTAAGTGGTATAAGGTGTGAGAGGAGTTGTGTGTACGAGAGTAAGTGTTGTGATATATACAAATGTGAAAAAGGGTTGTTTTAATTCAACCAAGGAGAGGCCAGAACTTGTTGAATAGTATACCTTTGACGGGGGTCAAGGTCAAGTAGATGAGAGAGTAAATCTTGTAAGTCAGAAGATAGATGACGAGGCACTTCATATTGACCACTCAAGATCTTTTGTTGCAAGCGAAGGTCATAATCATCATGGAAAGGGAGCTTACCGATGACGAGAGCATAGAGGATAATACCTAAAGACCAGATGTCTGTGGAAGGACAACCAATAACCCCATTGGAAGATTTGAGCTGTTCTGGAGCCATATAAGCTAATGAGCCACCAACAGCAGTGCTCATCGGAGGTGACATGGGTAATTCGATCATCGGCTGCTGACAGATGGCCAAACCAAAATCACATAGCTTGACTTTGTTGTTTTCATCCAACAGAATGTTTTCCAACTTTAGATCCTTGTGGCATATTCTTGCGTCTTGATGCAAGTAGCGAACTGCTTCACATAGTTGACGAAAGATTGTTTTGGCTTCTTGTTCGCTCAAAGGGTTCTTGACATGATCGAGCAAATTACCATTTTCACAATAATCGCAAATGATAAAGGCAGCATTGTCCGTTTCGAGTACTTTTTCTAGACGAACAATATGTTCGTGATCGAGTGATTTCCAAATGTTGATTTCTCTTTCCAATCGTTCGTCTTCGTTGTCGTCGTCTCTTTTATGAACCTTGATGGCAACCTTTTTACCATCTGAAATGCGAAACCCTTTTCTGACAATGGAAAATCCACCATAGCCAATGATTTTATCAATCACATAATCGTCGATTTCATCACCTTCTTGTTCGTCGCCGTCTTTTTCAATGGGTGAGCAAGCAAAACTGGCCAGGAAAGAAGCTGCTGGGCTTTTCATGTTTTCCCATGATTTACTCGTTATTTTAGGTGAAGCAGAATTATTATTTCTTGTCAATTGACATTTACTACGCCAACAATCATTTTTTTTAATAGGTGAAGTGGAAGTAGATGGAGAAGGATAAGGATGTGTCTGTTTAAAGTAGATCCCAAGTGGATCGGTGTTTATATGAAGCTCTTTATTTAAAATGCTACATTTTCTTGTATAATTCATTATTTTTATATTTAAGCAGAAAAAAAGAGAATTCATTCCCTAGTTAATGTTCCTATTATATTTATAGGATCTTTCCGTCCAATCATATTTACCGGATACTCCTTATCTTTCATCTGTACGCTAATATATATTAAGTTTATCTTTAAAATATGTCCAATCAAATTATAGAATTTATAGATAAGAAAAAATAAACTAAAGATAAGATCGTTTTTTTTATTGATTCCTTGAAATCTATTGTTTGTTAAAGAAAAAAAAGGATAAAAGATAGCAAGGAGAGATAATAAATGCTGTTTGATTTACAGCATCAATAAACCTCAGCTTTTCTCTCTACTCTTTTGCTGCTTTTCTCTTCTCTTTCTGTCTCTTATTCTTATCCGAAATTTTCCGAAGAAGCCATTCCAAAAAATCTTCCCACTCAAAGCAAGTGAAAATACAAGACTTTTTGTTCACATGTCAGCTCATTACGCCACATTCATCAATGCAGTATTTTTATCTATTTTTGGTTGGTTAGCTGAGTTACCTTGTGGCAGATGATAACACAAACAAATACAGAAGGTGACATAGACTGCAAGTAAGAACTTGTCACTCCCCGCAAATTGTTTGTCAATGACGCAAATGATTCTGTCACACTTTCCAAAAAGAAATCAGAACAAATGCATCTTATCAATTGCAAAAATAATGAATGCTTCATTCTTTTAAACCGGGGGCAGGTACAGTCTTTTCAGAAAATAAAGTTGCATTTTTGCAGTTTTTATAATACAATCTATACGAAAAAGTGACAAGTCAGCGCGACATTTCTTTCTGGAAATGGTGTAATGTACCTTATAAAAAAAATGAAATAACGGAAAGTAATATTATATGTAACCATCCCGTTGTACTGTTACAATGTGTGGCCCCTTTTCAACGGGATTCCAAAATTAGTAGCTGGATTTTGGAAATTATGCAAAAAATCCCGTCTGGTTTTTTTTACATGAAAAGTTTATAAAAAGGAATCATTTCTAGTGTCATTGATGTCATAGTTTACTGCTAATTGCTTTTGTAGGAATGTTGACCACCAAACATGAAGAAATAAGCTTGTAACCATTGCATTATGTTTGGAGATTTCGTTGTGATTCTTTTTTTATCATTTTTACCAGTAATAACTATCCATCATTTGGTATCACCTTTCCCAACGGACGTGTATGTTTAAGTTGATTTCTGAAAAATACAGATTCGAATATATTTTTTAATGAGTAACTGATGTCCTTTAATCAAAATAAATAAAAAAGTAACACAAATAAAATGAAAAAGATATTACTAAACAAAGAGAGAGATACTATTACCACGCAAGGTCTCTGAAGGTCTACATAAGAATGCTGCTGAAGCAAACGATTATACAGTATTTGCACTTTAAATTCAGATAATATTAGTTTCTTTGGGCGAATCAAAATTAACTTTCAAATATTTAATTTACCTTTTTTGGATGAAATAAAAAGGAGATTCAGATACAAAAGGAAAATAAATTGCTCTTTTTACCTGTACTTTCTTACTTGATTTAACATGTTTTCGATGGTTTACACCTGCAAGAAACACTGCATTTCTGATGATTCTTATACTAATAGGATCAGCATAAAAAGTTACGGGATCATGCAGCAGAAATAGAAAGCACACACTCCTCGCACACTACATGAGAATGCAGCGTCACTAATTTCGAGACAAAAAAATGCTATGTCACTATTTTGAAAGCTGGGAATGTGTCAAGAAAAACTGTCGCTTTGATGGAAGATATCACGTAAGCTACAGTCAGTCATATGTAATGAGAGTAAAAGATTAAAATAAACAAGACAACTGGCAGTTTCTACAAAGACAGTTTTCATCTTTAGAAATCATAGACAATTTCACAAGACTAATAGGTGTCAGTGCAGGAATCGTAGCCAAAGAAAGCGATACGATCGTAGCCGTAAAGGTACATTTGGAAACAGCAACTGGGTCATTACTCTATCATACAGACAGTTTATCTGGTCTAGCCATTAGGTGTTTGCAGAGCAAGCAGGCAGAGAAGAGCAATACAATCATGGCCGTAAAGGTACACTCATACATACCAAGTAATCCTGTTGTCTTGTTTAAATAAAATACTTATCTCGCAAAAAGTGTTTGTCTTGATACCATCCATTCCGTTACAATATCAACAAAGGCGGGATCTTTTATACTATTGTAATAAGACATCCAGTTCCTTGATCCGGTTATCCTGTAGCATATGTGTTTACAAACAGATCATTCGATATTACTGATAGCCTATTTCTTAATGTTTGTAAGAGATCAAGTCGGTTCTGCCTTAAATGTAGTCATTTACAGAGCAATAATCACCCAATTGAAAGTATGATGTGGGAGAAAACAACAACAAACTTCATTTACGAAAGTAGCCATATTTCTGTACATGAAGAGCCTGTATCTAAAAGATCAACGCACTAGACATTGGTGCATATATGTGTATGTTTTTGATTGTTCTAATGATGTTGTATGTCACAAAAATGGAAACAAGCGATTAATTACATGGAAAGCCTGCACAACCAACTTAAAACTACTTACTTGGGAAGGAAGCGAAACCGAAGAGTTGACCACCTTGTGTGTATTCTGGTGAATGGTATTGAGTCAGGCTATATATAGAACATAGACAGAATTAGACTGAACATTGGCAGAATGGGTCTACAAGAAAGCCAACGACTAAAAAGAGAATTGAATCAAGCAGCTAAAGCAAGGATGTATGCGTACAGTCACGTTGAACTTGGCATAGATTTTCTTATGCAGCGGCAAGATGGAACTTTTAAAAATAAAATCGCTGCACTGCCAAGTTTCTTTTTTTTTTGATAGTTTCTGTTCTTAATTGTATTGATAAAATATCCTTCAACAAAGCATATTCGATGACAGAGATAACTGACGTAAATTTATTTGTTGAAGCCCGTAAATAATTGGTTGGAAATAAGAACACTTCAAAAAAAAAAATCAACGCGTTTCTAAAAATATTATAAAAGATGGCTCCGAGCTCTTTGAAATCTATAAGGTGTATCTGGATAACAATCACACAAAGGATTGGAAGGTACTCAAAACCTTTCAATACACCATACAGAAATTTTACTCCGATGACTATACACAAGCAATAATTAACTTCAAGAGATTTTTAAACGAATGTAGCTCAACAGACAAACGCCTCCAATTGGCAATCGAAAAAATGAGCAACTGTGTAGATGCGGTGTTAGCATCAAAGCCCGCCCAAGTTGCGTTTGAAAAGAGAAGGATTGGTGTAAGTAGCTTTTGATTTATCTTTTTCCTTCTTTCTAATAAGTTAAATAGGAACTTGAAGAGTTGTACGGTGCGTATACCAAAACTAGTGTATACCAGGATAAGATCACCCTCGTTGATTCAACCAATATTGAAAATAATACTGGGCCTTCAATCTCCAAGCCGCAGCCGGAACTTCTAAATAAGAAAAGAACAATTTCCAAGCTAAAGACACGCTCAAATAAAAAACCAGAGCGCTTAGAAGTCAAGGATGTTGAAGGCTTGTCATTCGATCAAAAGGTACATACCTTGGTTGGTGCTTTGTAAATAGTTTGTTTTATAAATAACGTTATCTAAAATCTCCTATTGGCTTATTTTTGTTTAAACAGTGGTTCGAATAACATCTTGAACTTTGCTAGCCCCGGATTGAATCCAGAAAGATTCCAAGTCGAAATACGGAAAATAATGAAAAGACAAAAGTTTGCGTTGTCATTAACTGCAAATGAGCAGGAGAGGCAGCTCCTTATCCGATTCTCCAATAGCAAATCACTCGAAGACATTGAGTCCCTTATCAAGAGCATACCCCCTGTCCCACAAACAGGTAGTTTTACATTTCTCTCAATAGCTCTGACAAAACTGTAAGTTGAATTAAATATACTATCGCACTAAGTTTTATTCTAACCTTTCGCCTTTATGTCGTATCCCACGTTGAATAAGAGTCAATAAGCAGTGTTTACATGTCAATAACAAAAGTTCAGTAACATAAACTGACCAATCATAATAATAATTACAATTCTATATAATATGTGTAACTATCAGTTTTAACACTTTTATCTTTATTCTTCCAAATAAAAGAAACATAAAGAGTCCCATTGTATTTCTGTCCATTACAACCATAACAACCACAACAACATCACACTTTATGACATACCATTTTTAATAGTATTGCCCTATGGCAAAGTGAGGTGCTATTCAATCATGATCATAAGGAAACATGGTACCAAATACATGTATATAATGACTCACTGGACTCTGCATTTCTTTTTGATAAAAACTATAATATCAAACGGTATATTGTATAAAAATGCAACGATAATAGACTGACAAGTGTTCAATAATAGATCTGAATGTCACGCCTCCACAATCAAGTATCTAAAGAAGATAAAGAAGATTGATGACAAGGAAAAAACTGCAAAGTGGATTTAATCTTGTTTAATCATGGCTGCGGAGACATGTTTACATGCGAGGATAAGTGTGAAAGCGTTTCGCCAGGTGTCGTACAGGATGATTTCGAAAAAGGCAACAAGCTCAGAGAAAAGCGACTATTATACCTGAAACCAATCATCCCTTACAAGTCCAACATGAATCATATCGAAGTATTAAGTGCGCAATTTCATGGACTGACACTGACAGTATACGGATCAAAGATGACTGAAATTGGTGACATCATTCATTACCAAAAGGCCAAAGCTACGATCCCCACCTCTCCCTTTAATCATCTGCCGCAAGCTGCCCATTATCTTCTTACTGTGCTTTCCTTACAAGTAAGAGTTGATATATTATGTTTGTGATTACATGATTTAACTTTTATTGGTCTATGATTAGAGGAATATTGCCATTAATCTGAAGAAGCTCGATATTATATTTGAAGCATGTTTGAAAGATGCTGTGGAGTATCTGGCCGCTTCAACTGGTGTTATCAATAGTAACCTCTTCTTCCGAAAAGATTCACCTGGTTCAGAATATTCGTATCAATCAAATAGCAGTGATGAATTGGACCTTGAAGAGCAAGAGCGTCGCATAACGGAGTGCATTGATCAACAAATTGAAAATTTGGATAATAATGAAGGCGTCTTGACCGTCCAATGATTGGGAGAGCTTCATTGCAAAATAAATCTCTTTTATTCATTTGTTTGATATGTAATTCAAATGATTCATAAACTTCATCATATAATACCATTAATATAAATAAAAACTATTGCCGAATCATAAAGATGCAAGATGCGTATTAAGTTCAAACAAAATAGTGGACTTTTCTTTCTATTCATATACACTTTTGTATTACTCATTATTTGTTTTTGAGCTCGTTTGAGTAGCTAAAGAAGTTGCACTCTAGATTCATAGACATTTAGATATGGTAAAACTTGATTGCAAAATGAAAATGAGTGTAAAAAAATGAGTTCAGAAACGAAAATAAAAACCTTTTTTAAGCCCTAAAAATGGCCCCCACTCTCTCTTGTAGATTTTATGCTTGGTAGAGGAATAGTCGCAATAGCACAAAGCTAAAAGATAAATACACTATTTCCGGAAAGTATTGGTGCATAAAAAGAAATAAATTTGCACAGGTCGTTCCAATCCATAAGAAGAGGCCTCCATCAGACCCAGGAAGCTACCGTCCAATCGGCTTAACCACAATTTTTAGAAAAATCCTGGAATGTTGTATACAACCCACATTGACAAGCGAAGGACCACCACAGTATATTGTGCAAGGGGGATTTCGTGAATCTCGTACTGCTTTGGACCAAGCTTTATACCTTTCTGAGATCTGTCAGATACTACGTTCACAATTCCGCATTACTCCGGTCTTAGCCTCCTTGGATATAAAATCCGCCTATTATACGGTTAACCGCAGCTTCGTTTGGGAAACTCTCAGTCAATATATCTCATCTTCTTTACTGGGCCTACTACGTAATCTTTTCGATTACGTCCAAATCGAAGTTTTACTTTCTAATACTACCTCTCGTCAATTTCTTCTAAAAACAGGCGTTTTACATGGTTCTATACTCTCATCGTATCTTTACTCGGTATATATTAACCAACTACATATACCCTTTACAATCAGCCATTACCAAGAGAAACAACTTTTGCATACCTTGGCGTCCCCTTTAAGCCGATTGGGCATCTCGATCCAGAAAAAACTAATTCAACGTAATACTCGTAAGGCTCTTGCAACGATGAACATGCTGTCATCTGTTGGTGTGAATCCTTCCGGTTTCTCCAAACTTCTTTGCACTAAGTTTTACGCTCACATCGTTCGACTTCAGCTTGAATACGGTCTAGCCATCAATCGCTTCACGATCTCTTAACTTCATACTCTAGAGGAAGCCCAGAATAGTTGCATCAAGAAAATCTACAGTGCTCGAGACAAAGCGTCCATTAAGATTATGCCAAGCTACCCCTCATGTCGGAACAAATCAGTATACTACAGGCATAGTTCCTCTTTCGTTCCTTATATTTGCCAGAAGATGCACTGCTTGCTTGTCTGTTACCTTATATCCGCAATACTGGAGGAAGCCAGTGGTACGCTCTCTCTCGTACACCGCTTTGGAAAACGGTGCTATCTACTACTGAGGAACCCGATACTTGCTCACTCAAGGCTGCTAAATAGCGCTTTTTGCAACAGAATTTAGAGATCCGCCAACGATATCGAAACTCCAAATTGCTTTCTAGCTGCCGTCGATCAATCTCTCTGGCTTCTATACTCTGGTTGCCCATGTCTAAGTCAGAGCGCAGTCGCTGTATACGCTGGAGATTAGGCTGGCTTCCTGGTGGCAAACCTCGATAATGTCTTAAGCACCCAACGCAACAGCTATCTAAGGATCACGCTATTAGCTGCCTTGATATGCATCGACGTCTGTTTATGCCTGAAACAATACGAGATCCATTGTCATTCCTTCTGAATATGCTTCCTTTACGCCCTTCGGTTCCTTCAAACCTAGCCCTCATCTGGTCTCAACGATAGCCGATTAAATGCTCCCTACTACATGAATTAGATCAGCTACACTATAACAAATTGATCTCTACTAAGCATCCTCATGGTCAAAAGCTTCTTGTGTGGTTAAAGCAATTCATTTAACTTTTCACCGATAACCCTACTCATTAATTTCCTTTTACTTTTTTTTACCCTTGTACCCATAAGGGGTTTTTTCGCTAACATTCACTTCCAAACGGATTGAACGGGTCCGAGCGAATGTTTATTTTATTATTTTATTTTTGCGCTCATCTGGACCATCAATAAAATATCATACTTAAAAGAAGTAAAGTGTCGGCCAATCAGGAATTTTTTTTTTGTGAAATGGTATATCATTAGGCATTACACTTCGTAAGGCGTGATCTTGGTTGTTGTTATCAGTCTTTTCTTTATTATTTCGAACTTGTACTACAATAAAAGACAATAAAATAATTGAAATAAAATTTTTTGATCTTCATCTTCTTTTCATTCGACCTTGTAACTACGCACCTGGGTATATTTCCGTCGTTCTTACTGTCAATGAATGAGTCATCAAACCAGCAAGCAAATGAGCAGCCTCCGGCATGGGCCATACAGCTCATGCAACGTCTTTCCGTTATGGAATCTACCATGGCTTCTAATCCTCTGTTCCAGGCAGACCCTAACACTACTATTCGTGCCCCTGATTCTGATTTCATCCCTTCAGAATCTATGTTTGAACAATGCCCCTACATTCAGGAAGACTTTTTCAAACGTCCACTTCCGGAAGCGGACCGTCGACGCTTTCTCTACGAGTGTCCTAAGAACTCTCTTCGTAATTATGACCCTCCGAAGCTTAATAAAGTTCGTTTGTCTTCTACTGCTAAACAGCATGACACGTAACTCTACAACATCCAGTATCGCCTGTCCGGTATCACTCGCCCTTTGGATTGGTACACCTACCAGCTTTTGCACGGGAATTGGGACCTTCCCACTCTTCAACAACAATCTTTGGATATAGTCCTTGCTATTCACGAACTTTTATCCGATCTTGCTTCCCACATTACAACTCAGCGTACAGATAACATGTTTCGCGGCATCTCAAGCCAACTTGACGCTCCTTCCACTGACAACAATTACCTGCTTGATCCCAAAGAAATGGTCGATCACATCAAGCTCCAGTAAAGCGTGCAGCAAGCCACCACGCGTAGACGCAACAACAATACGCCCCGACCTAAACGTAACGACAACCATGACACCAACAGTACAACATCTAATCAACCTGTTATCTCACATAACACGACCGATCTCCCAGCTCCCCAATCGTCCCAGATTCCCCAATCCAAGACGGTTTTTCAACAGCGCCAATTATCAAGGAAACAGAATTGAGATTAGTAGGTGGTCGCTTGTCCTCTTACTCCTCAATTTGGCCTTCCTCTCTCCAACAATCATTAAGCTTATGGTTCATCAATCTTATCCAACACGGTTACCGCATTCCTTTAACACCATATGCACCACTCGTTTCACCAACTCTTCAACATCAACCCAATCACCCTCAGTCAGCAATCACCGTTATAGACAACGAGATCCAAACGCTCCTACAGAAGCAGGCAATAGAACCTGCGCCGCTAGGATCAGCCGGCTTCCATTCTCAGCTCTTCGTCATCCCCAAAAAGGATGGAGGCTTGCACCCAGTACTCAACCTTCGACACCTCAACAGCTACTTACCACAACAACGTTTCAAGATGGAAACCATGTCAACCATTACTCGCCTCCTACAGCCACACGACTTCCTCACGTCTATCGACCTACAAGACGCCTTCCACCACATTTTGATCCATCCCTCTTCTCGACCCTTGTTGCGCTTCCGATGGAAACAGCAGACATACCAGTACCGCGTTCTGCCATTTAGGCTCAGCCTCTCGCCGCTGATATTCACGAAGGTCTTGAAGCCACTTCTATGTTGGGCTCGACGAAAGGGGATAAGGTTGTCAGCATACCTGGACGATCTGATCTTCATGGCCAAGTCGCGACAAGAATCCCTTCGACACACAGAACAGGTGTGTCAAAAAATGACCGAAATAGGCTGATTAATAAACTTCAAGTCATCACTAACTCCTTCTCAACAGATTACTCATCTGGGTTTCACCATCGAGAGCAACAAGATGTCACTCTCGCTACCCGGCAAGAAAGTTCGCTCGATTCGCAGGACAGCTTACAACCTCCTGAAGAAGACATCGGTCTCATGGACAGCCTTGGCCCGCTCTGCGGGGATAGCGCTCGCTATATCTCTAGGCAATCAACAAGCACGCTTTCGCACGAGGCATATGGTATCCCAGTTGAATCTCTTTTGGCGTCAACACCAATGTCCCTTGAATCCGAAGATCAAACAAGAACTCGTATGGTGGACTACACAGCTCGCGAAATGGAATGGACAGCATATCCTGACACATCAACCTACTACTCAAGTTTTTACGGATGCCTCAAATCAAGGCTGGGGCATCGTTTCCAACCAACATGGACATCGATGGAACGCCGCTTACATATCAACATCAAATAACTCTTAGTGGTTTGGAAGCTTCTGAAACACTTCTCTATACCACCGAACCATCATCTGCAGCTATGCATGGACAATACCTCTGCAATGGCTTACATCAACAAGTATGAGGGAACTCGATCTTCAGCACTGAATAATCTCGCGATGGATATTTGGAAATACTGCTTTCGCCACGCAATCAAACTATCGACTCTATATGCGCCTTCAGCATGCAACCCAGTCGATGTACCATCCCGACAACTACAGCAACAGATCGAATAGGCCGTGCCCCGCTCAATCTTCACCTGGATCGACCAACGCTGGGGCCCTCACTCGATAGATCTCTTTGCATCACCCAGCAACCATCAACTCCCAATCTTTGTCACTTGGAACTATCACCCACAGGCGGCATGGGCGAATGCCTTTTCACAGGAATGGCATCATCTACAAGGCCGACTATATCTTGCTCCACCGTGGAACATGATTCTCCCGACACTGCAACGACTGACGCAACGCCCGCAGCCAGCCACTCTCATCACGCCCAACTGGCCCTCAGCCCCTTGGTACCCGCTAGCTCTCCATCTAGCTCTCCATCTAGCTCAACAACCTCCGCTCCTTCTCTCGCAGCCTCTCTTGGTAAACGACGATCAATATCATCAGTTAATTCAGAAGAATACCAAATGGACGATGCTTGCTTGGAACCTCGGCCGAAACGTGCCCGCCAACTCACTATCAATGCAGCAGCCCGTACGTTACTAGACTCTTCTCATCTCGGCAGCAAACGCCAGTACGCCTTCCGACAACAAGCATATCGATTGTGGTGTGATGCCCAGGAGTATGATTATCTCGATCCTTCGCCCACATAACTGATTAATTACTTGGCGGACCAGCGTACTACGAAATACTTACAGTCTTCCACTTTGCTAACATACGCCACCGCCATTATTGCTATGTTTCCCACCGATACCCAGTCCAGCATCCGTAATTCCAGACTTTATCAAGGCTTCATCAAAGCACTACGCTCGAACACCATTCTCTCGCCAAAACATTGGTCCTACGATGTTACTCCTGCTATTCAATACCTCAAATCTTGGGCCCTAATTTAGCTCTCAACAAGGCCTAGTTGGCGGCGAAAACTTGTTGGCTCCTCGCTATGGCTGGTTTCCTACGACCTTCCGATTTGGAACGCGTGGATTTAGACGCGACTATGGTTTCCTCCGACAAGGTTCTCTTTCTAAATATCATAGCCCCCAAGGAGAAACGTCATGGTCAGCGTGTGACGAAAGTCATCACAATTCATCCACACACGGACCCTTTCCTATGTCCCGTGGCTGTTTTCGAGGAATACAAACAGCGAATCGCCTCGTCAGACTGTCGCACTGCTCACCCTTTGTTCCTAACAATAAAATTGAATAGGCTCCTCCGCTCCCTACAGAACCACAACACACCCATCGCTGTCAAACGTATCTCAAAGTACATCAAGCAGATAATGACCAAGGTTGGTAGACCCGCTCAAGCTCCTGTACCTAAGGCTCGTGGACTTGCTGCCACTCTTGCGGTACAAGCGGGCGTCTCCGTTGACAACATTATCGCCCATGGCTCCTGGTCTTCCCGCGATATCTTTGAACACTATTATCGCCTGTCCTCAGCTACTTCTACAAATTTTAGTGTATCTACTCTGGATCAACAACCAAGATCACGTCTTACGAAGTGTAATGTTATGTAAACACGAATATATGAAGTGTTGAACACATTACACGAGTAAGTGATCTTGGTTGTTCCCACCCTCCTCGTCCCTTTCTTGTCTCTGCTTTGTTTCCTGGTCTTACTCAAGAAGATGAAGATCAAAAAATTTTATTTCAATTATTTTATTGTCTTTTATTGTAGTACAAGTTCGAAATAATAAAGAAAAGACTGATAACAACAACCAAGAGCACTTACTCGTGTAATATGTTCAGCACTTCATACATTCGTGTTTACATAACATTTATATGCATGTAGTACCGGACATTAATGTTAGAACATATATATTGTGTTGGAGGCAGAGTGAAGATAATTTTATTCATTTACAAGCATAATACCCAGTTGTATTTTTGCGCTTCCTATTTTTCTTTTTTTCCAATATGAGCATAACGTCAGTTGCAAGCAGAGAATCACGACGCCAAGAAGAGAGATCAGCATTAGTATCTTCATATTTGCAAAAAGATTGGAAAACATGCAAAACGTTTTTCAAGTTGCTGAAGTTTGTAATATAGGCAGGGATTTCCGAAACAGACATAGGACATTGCACATGAGTCAATTCAGTCATGCAGTACAATCCATCAGCTATTAGTTGAATTAAATAAAACGTGATATATGGGCCTAAGAAATAGAGCTTATTCAATATACAATCGTTTCTACTTTTTTAACAAAGACTTACCAACTACATGTATACTCAAACTTCCTGACAACTCATTTTCATTAATTGTGTTTTTCCCAAGCGTTGCAAGCCGCACAAGATCCAAATTGACCAAATAGTGGTCTCCTGCCATTGACTGTCTCTTTCCCTCTCCATAGCCCACGTTCACAGCATTATCCGTTTGGTGTGGGAAAACACTAATAATACAATCTGGACAACCAGTAAAACTAACTTCTCGATTATGGTTGTCAGCGGTTTCAGTAAAAGTAAATTCCAGTCGTATATCTCGCTCATGATCGTCAAATAAAGGTTGCATCGCATGTAAAATATATCTTGTAATGAGCTTTGTTTCACATATGTCTGAATATGTTGGATCCATAGGCAGAAATTGGAGAAGCTGAGATGCGGATACAATGAGTTTTTTATCTATAGGATTATCCACGGTATCTGCTAGGCTGAGTAATGAAGCTGCTGCATTGATTCGATTATTGGTTTTATTGTATACGCTTTGTGCAGTTTCAATGATTCCAAGCAAAGTTTCTCCGGGAAATTTGTACGTCATATTTAGGGAGTCAAGGATGCTTTCGCGAACTTTTTGGTATATTTTATCGCCAAAAAACGGGATCATGTCTTTGTGGAGTCGATTGTTATTTTGTAATAAGAGAATTGAAGATAACGATAGAATGAAATGAACATCAGATTCCAAGGTTAAGTTATTGGCTTCCACAAAGTTAAAGACATATTGTTGCATGTTATAGAATCTCTCAGAGATATCAATATGATCAACGTAAAATCGATGTGGACCCGGTACATGTAATGTTAAAGACAGTGGTGTTGATGTCAATAATTCATTAGGGAATGATGCTTCATCAGAAATTGACATCGAATGCGGACTGCAAACTGGGCGGACCAATATGGGTGTTGCCGTATCGTTGTCCTCGTTAGCGTCACAATAAATATCGTTGTCGCCTTGTGTAGATTCATTTTCATCGCCATCAGGAGGAATGGGGCTGTTCGAGACATTATTATTCGTCGGAGTAATCAATTGGCGAACATAGGCAGCAGCAGGAGTAGCAGCCGTAGTCAGTGTGTCTATGGCTTCTTCATGATATACGTTGATTGCTTTTTTCTATTTAAGAAGTTAATATAAAGAAAGAAAGAAAGAAAGAAGCAAGGAGCTTACCCTGCGCATAAAGCTTGAGTAAATTTCGCTCCAAATAACAGTGTTGAATCGTTTCGATTTTGGTGGCCTAAATCCACATAAGTCAATTGATTTAATGAATATAAATACTTATTCCTATTGAATTTTCATTCTTCGCCCTTTTTTTGTTTTCTTAACTACCACGTATGCATCACTGTATCGGTTAAACCATGCACTATGTAGACCATTCATAGAATCGGCATGTATGTCCATGGACCAACCAGGTATTAATTCCTTGTGCTTTAACACGAGTGGAAAACCGTGAATTTTTGTTGTGTTTTATATATTCTTTGAGATCTATAAAAATCTCAAAGACTGTTGATTATTTATTTATTTATTCTTTAGCTTGTTTCCTACCTTCCAGCCCAGGGTGTTCCATGTTAAAAAAGCAGATATATCTTAGGAGAAAGCAGTTCTGATATAGATTGGTAGGTGGCATTGGCATAGGTCTTTGAAAATACCGGATTTTGAATTCAAGACTGTTGTAAATACACCATGTTCATCACATAATATCTGAAGAAGAAATATAATCATACCGCATTAACACAAAAAAGAAATATTACTCAATATAGATATTAGTAAGTAACTAGTGGTTGAAGCCTATCCTTTACTATGAACTGTGCATGTAACGATCATAAATAATATAACTGAGAAGTCTCTGCTACACCAACTGCTATCGCAGTTTAAATATCCATCTATGTTATTCCTCTTAGAAATGAGGCTGTATAATTTTATAGCTCAAAATAGATAGTATTACCCTTTCTTCAGTCGAATTTTATTTCACTACTTAACAGTAACAAACTTTACCTTAAGGGATTCTCGCATTTCATAAGTTCCTTATATCAATTTTATTACCGTTACAACAAAGATGGCAAAATGTTGTTTTCAATTTGGCAAAAGCTACTGATCAAAAAGGCTATAGCCAGATCAGCATATATGAAAAATTGACTTAAAACAACAGAAATACCCTTAATTAATAAATTTCTTTTTTATTCATACAATCCTTAAAGAATTCAATGCTATGTTCAACCCAGTCTTGGCAATTTTCTTCACAGATCTTGTAAGTACTCTCTTGAATGTGTTCAATCAACTTTCTTGTGTCTCTCAGATGGGGCTTTCTTCTTACCAAAGACTTCAGTTTAGAAAAACGTTCCTCAATAGGATCGAGGAATGGTGAATAGGGAGGTAACAAACACATGTGATGATTCGAGTACTTGAATAGATATCTTACTTCAGGTGTTTTATAGATAGAGGCATTGTCCATCACAAAAAAATGAGCGCCAGCATTTGTTTGATCTAACTTCTTCATGATCCCGGCTACAAAATCCTTGAAAATGGTCTCTGTGGTTCCACCTTTAACAAGCTTCACAGATGCGTCTTCAACACCCTTGTACGAGATACCGGCAAGAATTGACAAGTTTTCAGTTCGCTTTGCAGCGTTTACAACTATACTTGTTGAATAGTCTTGTCCGCGAATGAGGTTGGAATTAAAACCATACTCATCAACGAAAATACAATTTGCTTTATAAGAGATACCTCTTTCATTGAATCTCTCAGTAACATACTCGTATCGCTGTTGAATTGTCACAGGAGTATTGCGTCTCTCTACGACTGGTTTAGTACGTTTCAACGTAAAACCAATTCGATCTGTTAGGAGCTTCCATAATCCACTTGTCGATATGCCTTTTTCAGCAAGATCAGGAAATTTTGCTAGTAATTTCCTCTTTTATCATGTCAAGAGTTTTGGTGCAATCTTCATCAATGAGCTCTAACATATTCTCCATGAACATCCTCGAGCTTTAGGACTTCTTTTCTTCTACCCCTCTAGGCTTTTTATCTACGCGACCCTCACTATGCCAAGCATCCAAGATATTTCTTACGGTCGAGGTATGTTGCCCATACCTTCTAGCCGCCTCTGATTGAATGATAGCTCCTTCTAGGGCTACTTGTTCAATAATGAGCTGTCGAATATTAACTGGGATATTTCTGTACGATCTTTTTTTAGCTTTGTTGTTTTCAGTTGAAAGAATACGAGGCATTTTTAAAAAATTGCAATTATGAAATTGAAAAGAAAAGAATATTTTTGAGCGGTTTATCAATGTTTTGTTTCTAAATCACTACATAATTTGATTTACGTTATGATATCAGTATTATGGTTTTGCCTTTTCAATTGACTGTTTTTGTCAAATTGAAAACAACATTTTGCCATCTTGAATTCAAAATCCGGTAAAAAATAAGTGGTCACAAATATATTACATCACTTTTTCAGACGCATACCAGACGAATTTTTCTTCTACTTTCTTTTCAGATATATGGCAAAGGAATCTACTGGTATTCGAAAGGTACTTGTAGTAGCCACGCGTAGTTCAGTCTCCTGGCGCCCTAAGTGAAAGTGATTGGGACCCTGGTGTTGCTATGCATATTGGTTCTTAAAGTTCCGTTTGTATAGACCATCATGAGTAGCGTATGCCTTATATATGTTTTTATTTAGATGCTCAAAAGTAAGTTTACAAGCTAATTATTACCGAAATTTATTTGATTAAAGAACCAAAATTTCCTCATATACGAGATTCATCAACACTATTTAACGTTCAGATGTTGGCAGATTGGGTGAAGGAATCTACTGGTACTCGAAAGGTACTTGTAGTAGCCACGCGTAGTTCAGTCTCCTGGCGCCCTAAGTGAAAGTAATTGGGACCCTGGTGTTGCTATGCATATTGGTTCTTAAAGTTCCGTTTGTATAGACCATCATGAGTAGCGTATGCCTTGTCTGCCTTGCTTGTCCATTGTACTTTTGTGATAATTCCTTGTTTCGCTGGTCTTGACTGATTTCAAGATGCTGTACTACTGATGGACATTTTGTTTCAGTTAGCAATACGATTATAATTTTACACTTAATGCACACAAGCTTGACGACAAAGTCAATGCTTTGGTCCGAATATTTATTTTTCTCTTGGCGTCGTGATTCTCTGCTTGCAACTGACGTTATGCTCATATTGGAAAAAAAGAAAAATAGGAAGCGCAAAAATACAACTGGGCATTATGCTTGCAAATGAATAAAATTATCTTCACTCTGCCTCCAACACAATATATATGTTCTAACATTAATGTCTGGTACTACATGCATATAAATACATAAAAACTGCATTCTACTATCAAAATAATTTAATGTGTAAATTAGTTCTCCAAAAGAAAAATGGTTTTTTGGCCTGTTGAAGTTGTTTGTATGGTAGAGGAAACCCATTCGAAAAGAGATGCTTGACACCTTACATTACTCAAGTATGCATGATCCTTTGGGTTATACAGTCTTTCCGGAAAGTAATTTTTTTTTTTTTTTTTTTTT